GATTAGTTGCGTCATGAAAATGAATTTTCAACCGACTTCATGCTAAATTATTACTTCATAGGATAAAAAAAAAAAAAATTCTCATGTCTTATAAAATTACACATATTATCTAAAAGTTTAAAGATTTTATAAAAACTTTCCGTATGTTCGAGTAAATTAATAATACAAAAACTTTATTTGTATCCAACATACTCTTCTCACTTATATTTAGGTGAATACTACAAAAACCTCTTTTATATCCAAAATACTCTTAATATTTTTAAATCATTCCCCTTGACATCAAGAGCATTTTTTATACAAAAAGAGGTTTTTGTAATACCATTAAAGTTTTTGGTGGGCGAGAGATTATTGTAATTTATTCTACTTTGTACAAGATACAAAATCATCTCAACGATATTGTTAATCTATGCACAATTTCAAACGTCACATTATCAACAATATTTTCCAACACATCTAATTTATTTACTATCAAGAAAAAATAAGAAAATTAAAAAGGTATGCACACCTCTATTTATGATATTAATTCACCAATAACAAATAAATATTAAAAAAATAATTCTAATGTTATTCATCGTAAGAGCAATCTTTTAGAATACTTGAAGCGTCAAAGCGTTGTTCGAACTCAAGATTGTTGGAAAACTAATTAAAATTTTGATTTTTAAATCACCTTTTTTCCCTATTTCTTTCCCACTTGGCATGCCTTGACCCTTAATAATTTTTACATATCCGGGACATACGAGGTCAAATGATAAGTTCATCTTTTCACCTCCTAACAATGGAACTAAAACAAGTACAACCTATAAGAGCTTGTACTAAAGAGATCTCAACCTTGTACACCAAGTTATCATCTTTTCTTTTAAACAAGGAGTGCGGTTTTTCATCTATCACGAAAATCAAATCGAGTCGGTTGATAGCACGGCCTCTCGTCGGCTTTTCCTTCAAATATAATTTTTGTTCCTTTCTTCCATCCTGGTTTCACTATTATGTTTACCATCTCTCCTTGTTGTTCAATTATCCTGCACAACATAGACATGTATCGTTGTTAGAAATGAGATCTTTTGTGTTTTTTTACCATATCATGTTATTATCTCTTAAGAAAATCTATTGTAGAAAGACATATCAAACTTTTACTCTCTAGCGAAATAATATTTTCTTCTTCTTTTGTTGTTTTATAGGTTTTAACAATTATGATGTTTTTTGATTAATTTTTATGCACAAAGACTAAGTCATTTGTGATCAAATCTTAGACCATCTACACTTATACTCTACATTCATGAGAAATTTAATTATGTTTTACATTTATACTTACGATCACATGATAGGAAGCAGATTAACTTATCGCATAACCCAACACCTCAAATATGTAATATTGTATCTCTTTAACTTAATAAACTTTGTGGTGGACTATAAAAATTAATTTTTCCGGTACTTTATTCACATATTTCTTCATAAAATTACTATAAAAGTATTATAAGATTTATCTTTTTTTTAAAAAAAGAAATATTTGAACTACTCAATAGCCGAAATTCTTCATTTTTGCATGGTTGAGTTCATTTATAGTTTGTGAACAAATGATGTTTTTTTTATTGTATTTCTACAAATATTTAAATGAAGTGTCAACCTATGCTCATGCAATTAACTAGTATTTCGTAAAATAGTCGGTGGAAAACTAACATACCCATTTATGATGACGTCTCTACCGATCATAATTTGTTTGACACATCCATTGAATAACTCCTCTAGGGTGCACTCGAGCTTCTTTTCGATTGCTCGAATGTTTTCTCAAAGGAGTAGATTGAGAGAATATAATTGGAGATTTAGGGCTTAATCGACTCATACTTCTTTGTAAAGATGACATTTCTATGTCGGAAGAATCTTGATGGCTCTTGTTGTTTGAAGAAATGCCAATTGTACTTGCACTCTTTGATAAAAAGGCAGGGCTTGTGGTGGGTGTACGATTCTTTCTACTTAGATTTTTTAAAAGAATTGAAGGTCGACGAATAAAACTTTCTTCGAGCTTTTATAAGGACTTGAAGCTTCGGTGATAATATTATAGGTTCGTTGTAACTTTTCAAATTTTCTTTTTCTTTGCTCTCATCAATATCCTACGTAAAAAAAAATAAAAAATCATAAACTAAATGCAAATAATTGAAATTTAAATTAGAGATAAAAAATATATATGCATGCACACACAAATATTCAAATATGTAAATTATTTCTTCTTCTAAAGATTCCTATATAGGACAAAACAATGTGGTGCAAACATTTTTAGCGCATAGGAATGTAAATGTGCATGAATAATGTATATTACTACAACCGATTTCAAACCTTGAATGGTTCTTTAATATCTTGTAACTTGGCTTCAACTTCGGCTTCGGCTTCGGCTTTGCTTGACGAGTTCCTCTCGGGATACCATTTCATGGCAAGAAATTTGTATACCTTATACATCTCTCTAATGGCTGAACTTTGGGAATTCTTAGAATGATAAACGTAGAGGATCTGTTGGTATTGATGCTATTTGTTAAAGTTGTTTCTATAAAAAAAAAAAAGTATTTTCTTCACGATAGATAGAAAAACTACATGGTGCCAAAAAGCATGGATTGGTAACCAATCGAGCTGGTAGAAATCCATAGAGAGAGAGAGAGAGAGAGAGCGATTCTTAACAGAAAAGGAAGAAAGATTTGAGATAAAAAAAAACTGAGGAATTCTAGCCAAAGAAATTTTTTTTAGGTAATATGCTTTTATTAGGCAAAATTTGTTTTCTTTTGTGATGGTAATAGCTAGATTGGTTCTCTTTTTTTGCGATAGATGATAATACGTCTTTTTTTCTTTCTTTTTTTGGTTACGAAAGAATAGGAAACACAAACTGCATGCCTCCATAACAAAATAAAACATCTATTAATAGATTATTAAGAGTCTGATATAATGGATTAGTTTAATTTGATATCAATGTATCGATTAATGCATGCTTTACTTCAAAACAAAAGAGGATATTATTTTTTAATTAAAAAGATGATAATTTTCTATTATTCTTTTTAAATATACACACGAAAAATACTGGTGTTTTATGTAACTCTATTTTAAAAATTATTATATTTTGTTGAAATAACGTGTCTATATATATTATGGTTCCATTTAACTTCTTTTTTCCTAATGTTTTTTTTAACTCAAGAATCACTCTCGTAAAAAACATGGAAGTTAAAAAATTTATAGAAATATTTTATACAAATAAAATATATTAGTTAAAATAATTTTACTATGTTATAGTCCTTGTTGGTCATTTTATCTAAAAAACGCAAAAATAAAAATTAACTAAACACCAGAGAAGCTTGTCATTGAATACTTTCTCGTTGCATGTGTTGAGCATCTCAATGTATAAATTTCCCTTTATAAGAGATCATCTATTATTCCAGTTACTATGTTTCTTTGGTCGCTTCAAAAATCAGTATCTTTCCACCTATATATCGATAAACCTAGTAAAAACAAAATCGTATTCTACCAGTTCATTTCTAGTTTATTTATTTACTCGTGTGTATGATTTTTTTATAGATGACTCAATTATCAATTCTTGTTCGGTATGGATTGTATAATGAACCCAATTATTGCTTATAATATTTTTTGATATATTAAGTGAGAAAAGCTCCAAAATAGCGAGGCATACGTCATAGGTTTATTATTATTTTTTTTAACATGCAAGTTTCCCTAAGTCAATAAGTTTAGTGCAAAAATGCCTTGACGTGATTTACAAATTTAATTTGAACGTAATTTTATATTTGATTTTCTGTGTTGTTGGATAAAAAATTACGATATTCTGCAAAAAAAAAATGATTGTAAATGAAAAGCGATCATGATTCATGAATAATTTATTTTTATGATAAGTTTACGTTGAATTTTTATATTATTTTATTGTTTCTTTTCTAAAATTTGAATTTAGTTTCTTTTGCATATCAGATTTTGTTTTAATTTAATATATATTATGTTTTAAATTTTAAATTACTATACATGTGTCAAATTTTTAATATCCGTGATTTGGTTAACCCGCACTTTTAGTGAAACTAGCTTGTCATAATAACAAAGGTAGATGAAAATGTTAAAAATGACCAACAATTGAAATAAAAAGATTAGTTAAAGCCATTTTTATATGAAATTTGTTTTATTTTCGAAAAGATACAAATGCTTTGTTTCTTAAACAATAATTCTTGAAAATCCTCAATTTTTAAAAACATAAGATTACATGTTTTTTTTTTTATATTTTTAAATGAGACTACAAAAAAGATAATATCGTAAGTGGAAAATAACAAGTCGATTGTTGTTTGTAAATTTTTTTAAGTTAACAATTTAGAGAACAATTTACTCAAGAATATCATACAACACAAAAGAAACACTGACTAGGTGTTTTAAAATCTATTTGTAACCTATTTATTTATTTATTTTATTTTTTATTTCTTGAAATAAAAAATTAATAAAAAATATATTTTTAAAATAAAATAATATTAAATTAATCATAGTCAATATTGATCAAATAAATAATTAATTATTTTTAAAATTAGAGAAATTATATAATTTTCTGTGCAAAACTTAAGGAGTTAATTTATAATTTAGTTGTAAAATATTTTTCAAACCCCCTTGAAAAATCAAGGCTTCCCCTGTAGAAAAAAGAAAAGAAAAGCTGTTCCAATACCAAGTCGCCACGTCCCAGAATGACGTGTATAACGAAGAGCAGACAACTCTGTCTTCGAATAGTAGAAGAGAGAGAGACGAAAAGATCCTTAATCGAATCAGTCCACTACTGTCTCGTACCGAAGTCGTCTGTCTCCTCTTTCGCCTCCTTTGGAAGCTGACTCTTTCGGTCTCTCTCTACCTCTCTGTTCGCCTTCGCTTGCCTTAGAAAACCCATTAATTATTACTCCATTTATTACTACCACTACAACACACAGACACACTCTCTCTGCACTAGTAATGTTGGATCTTCTTGAACCCGTGTACTAAAAGATCCGGTAATGGAGAACCATTTTAGATCCAGTTTTTGTGTCTTGATCATTCTAGTTTGTGTAAGCTTTTGTGGGTTTGGTTCGGTTTCTTGTGGAGAGAATCGAAGACCCAAAAACGTTGAGGTTGCTGTTCGGGCTAAGTGGGAGGGTACTCCAATTTTATTGGAAGCTGGGTATGTTTGCGCGCTATCTCTCTTAAACTATTATTTTATATTGGTTATTTGGAGTTAATATTTTCTTCGTTTTTTTTTTTAAGTGGGCTTTCGTCTGTTGATCTTGTCTTTGCTTCATTGGTATAAAATTTCTTTTTTAAAGTTTTCTTAATTGGCGTATTGAATTTAGATACAAAGTAGGTCACTGGTGCATGAATGCCGTTGATAGAGATAGACCACATGGGTGGATGTCTGGAAAGTGTGAAGTGTGACAAGGGGTGACTTGAAAGGACACCCCGTAGTATGAAATGAAAGAAGGTTGGAAAAAAAATGTTAACAAAAATTCAACAATCAGTTTATTGTGTTGGAGTTTCTTGTGAAGAATATATTCAGTGTCCTAAGCTTGTAATGCCATTGCTTGTAGTTTTCTTTTAGCGAGAAGTTTGAGACATCAATACCTCTTCTAAGATTAATGAAGTGGATAGATGGTGACCTTGAAACTTCAATGACCTGTTGCAAGTTTGGAGTTCGTTAAAAATCCATTTGTTTTTATGTTGTCCAGTGACATGACATGTGTGGATCATGCTTTTTGCTTTTTGCGGTGAATAGTTTGTAGCCCCAAGTTGGCTCGAGGATTTCTCATCGATACATTATTGGGTGGAAGAAGAGATAGAATTGTAAGAGATTGTAGGGGTGCCTAATATCTTAAGCTGTTCTGTCATCTGTGTGCTTGAATGATGATAAATTCAAGAATCTGCTCGAAAATTCTGTCTTGAGGCAATCTATGTTTCTCTTTCATCGATGTAGATGTTTGCCATTTTTACTCTATGAAGATTTGAAGTCCTTGAATGCTATCCCAGGTTCCTTTCTTTGTTTTTATGGAGAAACTCTAAATGATGTATGAAAAATAGTAGATGCATTACCAGTTGATTTGATAATTTCAAGATCAATGGGAATCGGTAATAGCATTCTAGTATGCTGTTAAGTAGTTTGGAGTTGTTAAGTTTGATTTTCACTTTCTAGTGTAATGTTGCTTACTTGGTTTTACATAGCATTATTTTGATATTGCTAGGTGGTTTACGTGAATGACCTGTGGATGGGTTATTCGGTCTGTAAACATTTTCATTATGTTTGATTTGGAGCATTTTTTGAATGAGGCAAACAGATTAAATTTTGAATTGCTTAGCATGTGAGTATGTCTGAATTTTAGTGGCATTTTTTTCTCGTTTTGAAAACTCATGTTCTTTTCAGCTATTTCTCTGACAATTTAGATTATTTAACCCCGTAAGTACTGGTGCTGAATGCCCCTGCACATTGTGGGATGTCCATTCATGTGTCACTGGCCTTACTCATTTAGCAGTTCCATACAAATTAGCATTTCTTCCTGAATATGAAACTTTCTCTCATTAACATAAGAATGTGTTCTTATGGTATTTTTTTTTCTTTTTTCTGGCCATTTCTTGTCCATTAAGTCACTATTCCTGAATTTTGTTTCACTTCTGGGCACAGGGAATTACTATCTAAGGAAGGGAAAGACCTTTATTGGGAGTCCATTGATACCTGGCTTCATTCAGTGAAGGAGGAAGATGATTCTTATACGGCTAAAGATTGCCTGAAAAGAATTATTAAACATGGACATGCGCTTTTAAGTGAGCCATTGGCCTCACTATTTGATTTTTCTCTTATTCTAAGATCTGCATCCCCAAGATTGGTGCTTTACAGACAGTTGGCAGAAGAGTCTCTTTCTTCTTTTCCACTTTTGGATGATAGTTCCTCGAACAATGCTAGCGGGGGCCTTGAAGAAACCAATGAAAACAATGAAGTGAAAAGGTCAGATCCCATGCTTGTGGGCAGAAATCCTGAAATCCCTGGTGGGAAGTGCTGTTGGGTAGATACTGGTGCAGCATTGTTCTATGATGTTGCAGAGTTGCTATTGTGGCTTCGTAGCCCTACTGGACTGTGAGTATTTCTGTATTGTTTTCTTGCATGCTAAATTGGTACATCTAAATGTGGTATCACCAATACTCTGCATGGTTTCCCTTGGTTATATTTGTTCATGGTTGCCAGGGCAGGGAACTCGTTTCAGCAACCTGAACTATTTGATTTTGATCATGTTCATTTTGAATCACATCCTGGAAGTCCAGTTACTATTTTGTATGGAGCTCTTGGAACTGATTGCTTTAAGGAGTTTCATTCCACCTTAGTGAAAGCTGCCAAAGAGGTATATTACTTGTGTTATGGAGAATTTCTATCATGCCATTAAATCTAGGGGTGTTTGCCATTTACTTCAAACAGTTAAATCTAATGAAATCAAATTCCACCAAAACAAACCATATATTCTCCTTTTGCTTAGATTAGCCAGACTATTTGGTTTGGTGGCAATTTTTTATTATGTATGTTAAGTACATCAAAAATATATGAAAGACACCCTAAGACATGAGTACTGTGTTTGACCGAAGCGAAATACTATCAATGTCTTCGTTTTTCAAAAGAAAAATGAAAAAAAGGGACCAACAGTATTAAAAGTTGAACTAAAAATATTTCAGTTTGGTTTGAGAAAAATTGAACTGTAGTTTTGCAGTTTGAGAGATTGCTGCTTCCCTTGCTGACATTTATGGCACTGTTTTCTTCTCATTTTATGATTATGATGTGCATATTTGATATCTATTTTCACTTTTGTTGCTGACAAGCTGGCTCACATTTTCAGGGGAGGGTAAAATATGTAGTTAGACCTGTTTTACCTTCTGGTTGTGAATCAAAAGTTGGCCAGTGTGTAGCTGTTGGTGCAAGTGACTCCTTAAATTTAGGTGGTTATGGTGTAGAACTTGCTCTGAAGAATATGGAATATAAAGCTATGGATGACAGTGCAATAAAGAAAGGTTAGAATGATTATAATCCTGTGTTCATAATTTAAAGCAAAATCTGAAATTCTGAAAGAGAAGTGTCATTCCGTATGAGCCAAGCTTCCATTTTTGTTGCTTTTTTTAATTGATGATGTGAGTTGCAGGTGTCACTTTGGAGGATCCTCGGACTGAAGATCTTAGCCAAGAAGTTAGAGGATTCATTTTTTCCAAAATACTGGTTTGTTATACTTGAAACTTGTACTTTTATTTATTTTCACCAATTTGTCTTTTTTTTTGTACAAGTGGCGACGGCTTCTTTGACTACTTTGTGTGTGTTCATGTGTGCACCTACTTTGCATGCTGTCTTCTTTTTGGCTTGACAAGAAACTGCCTTAAGTGTTGCAAACTGTTCAGTTTCTCTCTCTTTCTATCCACATGCTCATGCGCACAAATAGACACATGCTCGTGCACAAATTTTTGATCTTGATTTTGCCAGTGCTGTGTAGTTGCGGTCTGTCTTCCATTGATTAGGAAATGCTTAATGCAGATAGAGTCCTCACATGATTCCAGCTGGTTGATTAAAATGGAAGCGATTAACCGAAAGATGTATAGAAACTCCATTCAATCATGAAACCCTGCTGATCTAGCTCAGGATAAGGGTGTCAAGATCTCTGTAATATCCCCAATATTACTAAATTTATCAAGAAAGCCCTTCTTATATGTCTCTGTACAATAATCCATTATTGGGAAACATTGATTATCACTACTAATGCTTGTAGACCAAATACAACTTCTCAAATTTTATGTGTAGCTGAAATCCCATACTGTTCTTTCTTTGTGAATATTGTTTGAACTATAAGTAAAAAAAAAAAAAAAAGAAGTAGAAGTTCGGCTGCAATGTTGGGAGGGACAGGTTTTAAGTTTTACTGACCAGAACGTGAAGGGGGGAACACTTTAAAAGAGGCCAGAAGGAAGAGTTAATTAGATAAATTCTTTCCTGGGTTCTGTTCTTCAACAGCTTGGTGTGGCGTATTGCTCAAGGCTAGCACATGATCTGTCACTTGCTTACTATTTTGGCTTATGTTTAGTTTATTTGTTTTTTCTGCCATAATGTGCATCCTTTTGTTTTGGTTTTTTTTTTTTTTTTTTTGGAAATTTATAATTCATCATCTTTTGCTTATTAGAAATTTAGGATTCAAGTGGTTTATCATCTTTAAATGAGAACACAAGCTGAGGTTCTCCATTTTCCTTTATGTTGCTCTTCAGTCTTGGAAAGGCTTATTTAGTTTAAAACTAATTTATTGTACCAGAAAGGCTGAAACATGAATTTTTTTGTATGATGGAAGATGTAAACACGAGATGTAAAAGCTATTTGTTGAAGCGACAGATGTATAAATTGGAAAGATCCTCATGGAAATTTTGTATTTTAGACTATTCTTTGAAGTACTAGACACCTACCCACATACTGTAGAGATGATGATGTACCCAGTTTCTGCATGCAGGAGCGTAAACCTGAGCTTACATCAGAGATTATGGCTTTCCGAGACTATCTATTGTCATCAACAATATCTGACACACTTGATGTTTGGGAACTAAAGGGTATACAATATAAGTCTTTCTTCATGATTATTTAGACAGACTGCATCTTCTCTAATCTCTTTTCCTTTCAACAGATTTAGGACATCAAACAGCACAAAGAATAGTTGATGCCTCTGATCCTCTACAATCAATGCAGGAAATCAACCAAAATTTTCCTAGTGTAGTCTCTTCTTTGTCTCGCATGAAGGTAACTTATCATATGATGTTTGGATTTGACAAATTATGAAATAACTATTCATAATTATTATCTCCACAAAGGAAATTTGTGATGTTGGTTGTTCTAATGTAACTGCATCAATGTTGCCTCTTACAGCTAAATGATTCTGTTAAAGATGAAATAACCGCAAACCAGCGAATGATCCCTCCTGGCAAGTCATTAATGGCTCTGAATGGTGCTTTAATCAATATTGAGGATATTGATCTTTATCTGTAATGCTTCTCGCCTCACTGAACTTTTTTTCTCTTGCGGTTGATCATATCTGCCTGTTTTGAGTTTATTGAATTCTCAATCTTTAGCTCAACCCAACCAAGCTCCAGTACACAAACTAGTTATGGTGTTGGCTCATGAAGTTATTTTCTTCATAACTGTCCTGACGAAACCATTTGAATTCTATATCATGATTGTCATTCTTGTTTTCTTTGGAACTCTTACTTTCTTTCACCCTTTTCTTTCTCTGTGAAATTTAATTTATAATTTGTTGAAGTTCAAATAGAAAGATTTACCACAGAAAATGGTTTATATGCTGTCATAATCCATGGTCTCTAGACTTAGCATTTGTATTCTTATCATCTGTTTTGAAATTATGCATTCTACTCTTATTTTCTATTTGAGCTGACTTGTATAATTCAATGAATCATACTAATTGAATCAAATCGTGACTGAATTGCATGGTTCATGTACACCTGCTATTCACACCACGACTTGCATTTTGTATCTGAATTGTGATGGATTGTAAGAGTTTTATGGTGAATCATAAGATCTAACAATCAATTTTGAACTGTTATTTTACATATATAAGTATGGGGCAGCTTTTTTTTTTCTCATGTGATTATTTATATAAATTTTGGGAATGGGAGAAGCTGAAATTAGATGTAGAGTTGCTCCTTATCTTCTAAATTGCCCCTTGAGGAAGGAGGGTGAGGTTGGTCTCTGCCTTGCATCCTACAGTAGAAAAAGAAGGAAGAGATGTTTGTGGATTAAAACAGTTTTAGTGAGTTACTTTTTTGTCTTGAAAGTACCTGGATCTTGTACTTAGTGAACCATGCATCTGCCAATGTTAAAAAGAGACTGGTTGCAACAGCCAAAGATATCACATGTACTTTGAATGGAAATTTGTTTTTAGACCTGTCCATAACCAGACAGGCTTCATTTCATTTTGTTAGTTTTTTAAATACCACCCTATATTGTCACCCGACATTAATGTCATTTGCTATCATTTGGATCTCTTCAGTGAAGCATTTCAGTACTTTGTGACTGAGTTTATTGTACTTCTAATAGTTCTTTCCTTTTATTCTTTTATAGGTTGGTAGACTTGGTTCAGCAGGAATTATCATTGGCTGATCAATTTTCTAAATTGAAGGTGAATGTTGCTAAATTATCTCTTGTTTTATTTGACATGCATAGCAAGGACTATAGGTGATGAGCATCCTTCACCCCCATTCCTCCCCAAAATTTCCCTACTGGAAGAGCAAAATCATTAGGATGACTCAAAAAGCATGGTTAAATAATTGATTTACTTTTGAGCATTGTTGTTGGAGAAGAAAGAAGGAAAAAAAGTGAAGCTACACAACTGGAAGAGAAGTACACCAGTGTGTAGAGGTGACAAAATTGTAAAAAGTACACCTGGTTACTTTCTAGTTTCTGAGACTCTCTATGTGAAACTGGACTTGATCTGTTGACTAAACTTCTCAGAATCTGTGTTATGGAAACATCAATTTTAATTGCTCTCAAATAGCTAGGGAATGACGCAATCCAGGGGTGTGTATTTTGCTGGGTAATGTGGGAGGTGTTTTATTCTGAAATTACTATTCAACCTAGCTATTTGGTGCTTATTGCAATAGAATAAGGAAAGTAAAGAGAACTTTTAAGTCCTAAGAAAAGGATTTTGTATTAGCCGTTTGAGTTGAAAACTAAACAGAATGGGTATTTAATAACAGTTGAATTCTACAGGATGGTATTGCAAACTTGTAGAAATAGTGCTGATAGTTAAGAAACTGTTCTCCACAATCTTAACATCAATTTGCTGTAGTTTCTTTTTTCAGTTAGTTTTCAACTTTTGAGAGAACAAGCAATTTCTCCTTCAACCCTACGGCTCTTTTTTGGCCAGTGCTGAGAGAACATAACTTCGAGGGAGAGGAGTTGCTTTACTCTATAACTCTAGATGACTTAAAAGTCTACAATGTGTTATAGGGAACAATATATTGTTTCTGCTTTATATTTTGTAGATTTGAATGTTGTTAATGAAGTTCTTTTTGTATATTCTAGTTCCAGCATGTGGTGCTCTTATTAGCAATAACTTTGATAATAATTTTGTTTCTGCTTTATTAACGTGTTCTATCTAATTTGATTCACACGCACGCACACATGTCAATTCATATATGTAGACACAAATAGATATCATTTCATGCAATTTAAGTTAACTTGTGAAATTGGATTGTTATTTTATGAAGTGCATTTTAAAAATAGCTCGAATTGTATTAAAGAGTTAATAATGCTAGTATTTTTGCAGGTTCCGCACAGCACAATAAGGAAACTTCTATCAACAATGTCTCCTCCTGAATCCAATATGATCCGTGTTGATTTTCGTTCAAGTCATGTTCATTATCTTAATAATTTGGAGGAGGATTCCATGTATAAGCGGTGGAGGAACAATATAAATGAGGTAGATATATTGTTTTCAGCAGTTTTCCTTTAAGCGTATGATGATTTTGTAAACTCAAATTTCCTTGAATTTTTTGTTTATTGTTTAGATTTTGATGCCTGTCTTCCCTGGCCAACTACGTTATATCCGCAAGAACCTGTTTCATGCCGTTTATGTTCTTGATCCAGCCACAAGTTGTGGTCTTGAGGCAAGTTTTAACTCTGGTGTTTGCAATCAGCACCTGTCCTCCTCCCATATTGATTGTTCATAATGCTAGTTTTGTATACTTGCAGTCTGTCAACATGATTTTATCTTTGTATGAGAACAACTTCCCGATGAGATTTGGATTGATTCTATATTCGTCGAAGTTTATCAAAAAAGTAACCAGTCATGGCCTCGATGTATCTGCTAAGGAGAATGATGCTGAAACTGAGGATATATCCAGTTTGGTATTTTCTTTCTTTAGTTTCCATTTCTTCATTTCTCTTTCCTCATTTCCCTCTTCTTTTCCCATTAACTCTTATTGCTAGCCTTATGAACAGTGTGTTGTCTGCTCAACAGGCTTTCATGCTAACTTTTTGATTGGTGGTGCATGTGAATTATGTTGACATGTTTTGCAGATGATACGTCTTTTCATATATATCAAGGAAAGCTATGGGACTCAAACAGCTTTTCAGTTTCTGAGCAATGTAAGACCTGCTCTGTACTTTGGCTTATGATCAATTTTTAGCACTGCTCTGGGTTGTAATTGCCTGCATTAGAAACGTGCCTTCTGCTCGTTTGGGGATTAAGTACTGGGTTTTATTTTTCCCTGTTTTTAATTAAGCACTAAGGTTTGCTCTATTTTGATAGGGTTTGCAATTTTGTGTAATGTGAATCTGTTAGAGAAGTTATTAATCAATAGAGAAAAACTGCAAGGGAAAATGTTGTCTATGTGAATGAGTGATGGGAGGGTCTATTCTCTTATGGAACGAGTAAACTCTTGAGCCAAATGCATGTGCATTAGTTTGAGTACTGAGTGTACCCGCTTCCCTCATAAAATGCTAAGGTCTTGGACAGGTTCCAGATGGACCATGCAGCACCCGCTAACTAATCTTTGGCACTGGTGATGTCCATATGCAAGTGTGATAGTTCAACCTTCTTCCTCTTCGTCTTGAACATAGCATTAGCTTCCTCATGCAGGACAGCCTTGAACGTGTCGAAATTTTAGTGTTTTTGGTTGTAGTTATGGTTAGGTTTTGATGCATGCAGAATTGGGATTAATGGTCAATGTGTTTTAGAAGAATTTTGGGTTTAAATCATGGCAGAGAAAAGTTCTCGAGGTACTGGAGCAACAAAGGCAGCAATAAGAAAACGGAAGAAGAGAAGATAATAGAAGAATAAGAGAGAGTAAAATCTAAGGCACCTAGTGTACAAAATAACATAACTCAAATCCAATGAAAATAAGACATTGCATCTCTATTTCTAGAGATTAGGATGGCTTATCAGACTATAACTATTAAATAGAAATACTAAAATAGAATTGGCTAAGAAACCAAATTCTGATAATGCTACATCTTCTATTAAACCTGAAAATTACCAAATAACCCTGCTTTGCAGGAACATGCCGAAATTATAATTATGCCTTGTACAAAATCACCCATAAGCTAACAGATTAAACTAACAAAGAAATCTACCATGGACGTGCATCCTTGACCGAAAAGACTTCTTGATTGATGAAGAGAATCAAATAGTCTAGCCCCTCCATCATCTCATTTCTTTTAGGCTTCAATGGACCCTTTTTGGTAACCTAAAATGGATTTTTCCCCTCCCTTGCTGCTATTCTTTTAGTATAGTAGCATATGGTCTTTGTTGGATGGGAACATCTATTTCTGCTTACGTGCATTGCATTTATTTGGTACATTTTGATTTGTGTAAACAGGCAAATTTGTATGATGTGGCAGGTAAATAGATTACGTATGGAGTCAGATCCTGCAGAGGATGTTCCTCAAACGCACCATGTAGACGTAGCATTTGTAGAAACAATATTGTGAGTTTTAATGAGTTTTGCTGGTTAACTTTTTGCGCTACAGTGCTGTCTCTCCTGCATTGCAAATTCTTTTACGAAGATCTGGGTTTCTTTTTCCTTCAGTCAGCATGACTTCCTTGCTACATGTTTTTATTCTATGTAGACCTAAGGTAAAAGCCCCACCTCAAGAGATATTGCTAAAACTGGAAAAGGAGCAAACCTATAAGGAATTGTCACAAGAAAGCTCTATGTTCGTGTTTAAGCTGGGTTTGAACAAGTTGCAGTGTTGTCTCTTAATGAATGGTCTTGTCTTCGATTCTAGTGAGGTAATTTTAATGTTTTCTGTTGCATGCTTGCAATTGGACGACTTTAAGTACGCTAAGAGGTGATACTGCATTACAGTTTGCATGGCCAAATCTTAATGTGAAATCTCCTTGAAAGAAATTTTTCTTTGAAGAGAAGTAAATCTGGATGCTAATTTCATACATGTTTAGTTTGTATCTCAAGACTCTTTCTTTAACTTGGGTCGTTGTAACTGTCCTGGTTCTCCTTTTTGTTTAGTTAAACATAGTTATTCTGGCATTGTTGGTCATTGGTAATGGAAATTCTTGCCTCTGTTTGGTTTTATTTTCATCAGGAGGTTCTTATGAATGCCATGAATGATGAACTTACCAGAATACAAGAGCAAGTTTATTATGGGCATATAAATTCTCGCACTGATGTACTGGACAAATTCCTATCAGAAAGTGGTATAAGCCGCTATAATCCACAGGTAAATCACTCATAAACTGCGATTGCATGATCATCCGTTTTGCCATGGTTGTTGATGATGTTATGCATACATCATATTTCTATATTTTGGTATTGATGTTTCCATATAGATCATTGCCCAAGGCAAAGTCAAACCAAGGTTTATTTCTCTGGCTTCGGGAGTTCTTGGAGTGGAATCTGTGATGAATGATATTAACTTCTTGCATTCCCCTGGCAGTAAGCAGAATTTATGTTGAGAACAGTGTAATTTTACTGAAAATTTCTATTGGTTGCTGTAATCTGACTCTTCTTTTAACCCTAATATTTCAGCCATAGATGATCTGAAACCTATAACTCATCTCCTTGCTGTTGACTTCGCATCAAAGAAAGGAATAAAGTTGCTTCATGAAGGAATACGCTATCTGGTTGTGCTTTTTGATTACGATCTTAATTCTATTCGTTCATCCTTTTCTTGTCATATATCTTCATGCTTGTTGGCAATGTTCATCACAACCATTGATTGTCTTCCAATATTTGCATTATGATGCAGATAGAAGGGTCTAAAGGTGCTCGCTTGGGTGTCCTCTTTAGTTCCAATCAAGATTCTGATTTACCTGGTCTCCTCCTTGCAAAGGTTTTTGAAATCACCACTGCCTCTTATAGGTTTGTCAAGTCCACTTTTTTTTTTGATGGCATGGATCAAATTTTCTTTGATATTAGCCCTTATTGCTTTCTTTATGGTGTCATGCAGTCATAAGAAAAATGTGTTGAACTTTTTGGCACATGTATGCTCATTTTATGAGCAAAAGTACATACTTGCATCTCCTGTAGCAGCTGAAAGCACTCAAACGTTTGTAGACAAGGTGTATGATCTGGCTGATGCAAATGAGCTGCCACTAAAGGCCTACAAGTCTACCTTTTCTGAATTTTCTGTTGAAGAAATGAAAAAACAATTGAATAAGGTATATAGATATGTGTTATTTCTGCTAATGGGTTCTTGTTGCATGCATGAAAGTGGTGTCTTTTTCATTTTCTGTTTGTCTTGCTAGATATGATCTTGTATGAATTTTGTCCTAGCTTCTACTAACTCTGCTATTTTCTTTTCATTTCTTGATTTATTTTGCTTGAGCTTGTTCAATGTTGGTACTTTGCATTTGTTTCCATGAGCAAGAGAAGCTATCATCAATTTTTTCCAATTATATTCAGGTGTCACAATTTTTCTACCAGCTTCTTGGGCTTGAATCTGGAGTGAATGCAGTCATTACCAACGGAAGGGTGAGTTAATTAGACTCTCAAACATAACCAGAAGCTGGTTTTACGGTTTAATCTCTCATTCTCTAAAGCTCTTTTCTTTTCTTTTTGTTTTCTGCATGTAATATTTTTCGAAATTTGTTTAATTTTGGTCAATGTTGTGCAGTTTCATACTTTGACTTTATTTCATCATTGGATAGGTGATGTTTCCTGGTGATGAAGAAGCCTTTTTGAGTCATGATTTACATCTTCTTGAGACGATGGAGTTTAAGCAAAGAGTAAAACATATTGCGGAAATTATTGAAGAAGTGCAGTGGCAGGATGTAGACCCTGACATGCTAACAAGGTTGGTTTGTTTTATGCTCCTGGATCCTCACCCAATTCCACCTCAAATACCAAAATCTGTGATTTCCATTTATCAGAATTAAAGCTTTAGCTCATATTCTTATCTATATTTGCTTATGATACCTTGCCCATCAACAAGCTGGGGGGAATGAATTTTCTTTCTTCCTAATGGTTAGGGGTGGAATTGTTGGGTGTGTGGTGGGGAACTTGTTAAATTGAAGTTAGTGAATTAGATGGAATCTTGAAGTTGTTGCCATGGTTATTTTCAGAATGTTGCTATAATTGATTCCATACCCATTTTCTGTATCCTAGAAAGCTTTTCCATGGTTTTGTAACTGCCTGCTTCCTTTTCTTTTCATTTTTGTTTGTTCGAGCATAATGTTTTGTGGAGCTCAATTCTCATCTTTGATTCGAAATTCTAGTCACATTTTCCCTTTTTTATATTATTGATCCAATTGATCCAGCATCCTTAGTTAAAGTATTTCCAAGAAAATTTCATTCTAGTTTCTTTTCTAGTTTCTTTGATTAGTGTTTCTGCTGCTTTGGCATTTGGAGAAGGTTGGAGGAGTGACTAGGAACTCAGCTTGACTAGCCAAGTGTTTTAATTATATGCACTTTACTTATCCAGTATGGTACATCTTAAAATAGGTAATAATGTAGGGGTTTCTTCTATTAATTAATCTATGTATTTTGAGATCTAATGTTGCATTTACATAATGTTATACAGAGAAATGTTGGGGGAGGAGGACTAGGGAATGCTTAAGGAGCTCCAACATCATAGTAGGTGACGGTATCATATGGTGTATAGAGAGTGCACAACTGAATGAGTGTAAAATGTGATGCCGTGATTGGTTGATGGTTAAGAATAAAGTGGTTTAGTTGGTGATTTAGTTGTTAGTTTTTAAGTACAGGGTGGTAAAGGAATGAGTTAAGAAGTCTCTTAATTGGAAAGGGAAAGAAGGTGGTTTCCACCATTAGAAATCTTTGTGGTTGGCCAATTGACTACAAGTTGATCATCCCTTAGTAAGGTCAAGAAAGGTGTGACCCTTCTCGATGAACTATCATCTAAGCTCACTGAGCTATTTCTCCCTACAAACTATCCTATAAGTTTAGGACTATGAAGACACTAGCAAATATTTGAGGCTGAAGCACCCTTGTAACTTTGATGCATTTACAGTAGGTTACTAATGTTTTGAATCCTTTTATTTTCAAGCTCTATACTCTTTTCCTGTACTTTTCAATCATGCCATTGCTGGTCTTTTTCTGTTTGACTGATTAGTTTTTAATTTGTGAAGTTTTTAGTAGATGGTGTTCCTTCTGAAAACATTTCATATTCTATTCACTCCATTTTGATTTTACATATTCCACTTTCAGTAAATTTGTCAGCGATGCTATAATGTATGTTTCATCTGCAATGGCAACACGGGAAAGAAGTTCGGAAAGTGCACGCTTTGAGATTTTGAGTGCAGAACATAGGTAAGAATTGATCTTGTCATTTCATTGATGATGTTTTTTTTTTTTTACTTGTTTTGGGAGAAGATTTATGTTTTTATCTTTTGTGAGCTTTGTAGCAATGACAATGACTCATGGTGGATATATGATGACCGATGTATATAAATACTTGGGCGATATTGAGCATTAGTTACAACTTTTGTCAAATATCTGATGTATTTCACAAATATGAAGGAGAAATTGCTATGTATAGTACATTTTTCATTCTATCACTTAATGCTAGATCACTAGCTTTATCTCATCTCTTTTCTCATGTTATAGTATTTTATCAATTAAAAGTTTTTTTTTTTTGGTATGCATTTTTCTTTTGCTTCTGATAAATAATCTGATCAATATCTTTCTCCTATTCGGTAATTGCAAGCTTGCAAAACATTCAATTAATTTTACCATATTAGTACTGTTACCTTTTTTCAACAATCCTGTTTAGTAGAGTTGCCTCATCAACATTGCCATGGTTACCACCTGCTTGAATTCCCAAGTTTGTGTACAAAATTAGTAATTATTAAGAAGGTATGTTAAAAAAAGAAAAAGAAAAAAGTAATAGATTCAATTAAGACTGCCATGGTGTTAATAGTTTGTTCGTATTTCAATTCTGTAATTTCCAATAGATTGTCATCTGTTGATTTCTAGACAATTGATTGCTCTTGAAATCTAATACAATTTTTTTTTGTTTTTTTTTGTTTGCAGTGCTGTTATTATAGATAATGAAAATTCCAGTGTTCATATTGATGCTGTTGTTGATCCTTTAAGTACAGCTGGTCAGAAGGTTTCTTCACTTCTTAGAGTTCTCAGGAAATACGTTCAACCAAGCATGAGAATAGTATTAAATCCCATGGTGAGATAATATTTTCAAAATTGTACATTTTTCTTTCCTTATTCTGTTACTTTTGTGAGGTAATATTTACAAAATTGTACATTTTTCTTTTCTTATTCTGTTACATCGGTTTGGCAACCTACTATTCTGATGGCTTTGGGCCATGCCAACCATATAATTTGAATGCTCTCTTGTAACAAATTTGGTGGCTTTTGAAAGCTATTAAACCAAGATGATCCAATTTGGAGACCAGTGGATCCGTATGGTGGTTTGCTGCTTTAAGCATTGATCAACCTGACATGGCCTTTTCCTTTCTGTCAAACCTGAGTTGCAATTTTGGTCTGTAAAATGAAACGAAGAAATTCACTGCCACTTTAGAGTTTGACTTTATGACCCCCTTGTCAGATCAGCACTCTGTGCCAACGCATATGAATCTGATTTGGCCTTGAAAATGAAAACTGATGAAGGTGCTTTGTTCTCGTATAAACTCGTCACATTAGCTTCTGGAGTTGTTGCTTAATTCCACGATAAATGTAGGAAGGGCCAAAGGGGAAGCAGTGACTTGGACATTGGAAATGTGTGGCTGTGCTTTCTATGCCTAAACCATATAGTTGAATAATTCGGTACATATTGTTTGCCAAATTTAAATTTATGATTTGGACAATAATTAAACTCTTATCATAATAGTTCAACTAAGGAATTAAAGGAAATCTGTAGAATGCTGAGAATGGGAAATCATATATCTCTTTAAACCTTTATTATACTCATAAAAGTCCAGATCAACTTTTTCCAGGCAATAGACTTGGAAAAGGTAAGAAAAAGAGCATTTTTAAATCAGTCTCTATGTAAACCCAGTAATAGCTCATAAAAAAAAATTTCTGGGGGTCTATGTACTTCATAGGCAACTTAGAGACTGCTATTACTGGGATTATGGCATTTAGGTTTTGCTGCTTTTCTGACATGTAGTTACTAATCCATGCAAACAATAGTTCAGTTGCCCTGGTTGGTACCTTGTTTGATGATTTGTGATTAGTTTACTGTAATTGCATGAAGTGAATGAATTTACAGGATAAAAGTGTATTTGTTTCTAATTGTATGCACCATTGATTTCATGTATCAAAGTAAAACTATGTTCCAACTCTTTTCTATGTATGTATTGAATTCTGCAAAATCGATGGTGATTTTTGTTGTATTTATAAACAATGATGGCTGTAGAATTGGAATAAAACTCTCTCCTTTTTAGTCATGCTTTCATTATAGCTTTTTATAATCTTCTCTAACACATTATGAAACGCCACATGAATTATCCTGCATGCAATCTGCAGGTAGACAACTAGATATAGTTTCTGAAAGAACTATTAAAGAGAGAGAATAGTATGGCATGCTATAAAATGTTATTTTAACATATGAAGGCAGATGAATTACGATGGCTGATTAGAGATTTGTGGAAATTTTATTTAGGTGAATTAGCTCAATCTGTCCTTATATTTTATGTCTAGCCTCCAATTTGTCTAAAAAATTATAATTGCTCTCAATTTATCCACTTTAGTTCATCTTCAATTTATCCTTCTGGTGGATATTCCCATGCAAACTGATGGAAATACCGGCCCATGAGAAACTCAAACCTAACCTGATTTCTTAAAAAAATTAATTTGAAAAATAATGAATTGTCATATGGTGTTAAAAATCATTTTTTTTCTTTATTTTTTTTAGTAAATCAGGTTGGATTTTGAGTTTCTCATGTGAGTGCAATTCTGTTAGTTTGGATGAGAATTTCTAACAGAAGGATAGATGGGAGAATGACCCTTTATTCAGGGACGAATTGGAAGCAATTAGACTTGTAGTGACATATTGGAGACTGAATCTAAAAGTTGAACTAATTCCCTGAATATTTTTAATTTTTTGAAATTAGTAGCTGCTTGGAAGCTGGGATTTGATCACAATCCATTGGTGTTTGCTTTATGGATGTTATGACAATCTTATCTAAGTACGCCAAATAGGTTTTTGCCTCTCTAACTCTCTTTTATGAGAAAGATGCTCCCATATTTACAGTCTCCTTTAGGAGTTTGTTTGGAGAAAGAATAGGATTCATTTTCCATATCATCTGCTCGCCCTTTTTCTGGCAGAACCAATGCCAGAAAGTTACCTTTTTACTTTGATTTCTCATGTGCTTGGATTGCTTATAATTAATCTTTTTCTATATAGATTTTTTCCCCCTAAGTTTCATTATGTTCCTTGAATTGCTTTGAATTGCGAGTTTGCCTAAATTTATGTGGAAATTGTAAGGCACGTATACTGTTTTCTTCTATGTACTTTACATTTTTCTTAGGTGCTTAGTACTTTTGCCTGCATCTGTGCTGCTAGCTGAGCCGTTGTTATGCATGGATATGCTTTTGGGAATATTCTTCATTAAACACTTTTTATCAACAACTTTGTTGTATTTTTTCTACATGTTGTGGAGCTAACATGTTTTTGGTTTTCTACCAGGGTTCGCTTGTTGATCTTCCTCTGAAGAATTACTATAGATATGTGGTCCCAACCATGGTATATATGTTAGATAATGAATGCTAATTTTGAGTTCCACATGCTTTGTGTCTTATTTGTGCTATGACTTTTCAGGATGACTTCAGCAGTACTGATTTCACAGTAAATGGCCCTAAAGCTTTTTTTGCAAATATGCCATTATCGAAGACTCTTACAATGAACCTAGATGTTCCTGAGCCCTGGCTTGTAGAGCCTGTTATTGCTGTGTATGTTTCTTCCCCCGTCAAATACATTTTGAATCATCTTTACGCTGTCACCTTTTTCATTATATATATCCTACTAAAGGTTAGGAGATTAATTATAGCTTTGCAATGCTTAATCATACTGTCTTGGTGGCTTATTCTTGCTATTCTTATTGGTGCCAAATGTTTCAAATGTCTCAGCCATGATTTGGATAACATTTTGCTTGAGAACTTGGGTGACACTAGAACATTGCAAGCAGTTTTTGAACTTGAAGCTCTTGTTCTTACTGGTTAGATTCTATTTCATCTGAGCAATTTCTAATTATAATTTGGTGTTTCCCTACAAATTTTATCATATGACTACCGATTCTTTTGTTCTTATTGACGTGCTTTTTTTCCCTTTTTTTTTCTTTTTATTTAGGTCATTGTTCAGAGAAAGATCATGATCCCCCCGAGGCCTTCAGCTATTTCTTGGAACTAAGAGTAACCCTCACCTGGTTGATACTCTTGTGATGGCCAATTTGGGCTATTGGCAAATGAAAGTCTCTCCTGGGGTGTGGTATCTGCATCTTGCGCCAGGTCGAAGCTCTGAGCTTTATGCTCTCAGGGAAGATGCTGATGGAACTCAGGAAAAGCATCTGTCAAAACGTATCACCATTAATGATTTGCGGGGTAAGGTAGTTCATCTGGAAGTGGTGAAGAAGAAGGGCATGGAGCATGAGAAACTGCTCATTTCCAGTGATGATGATAACAATTCACAAAGGAAGGTCAGTTCTTTTATTGGCATATAATTGTTCCAAATTTCAAGAACCTCAGCCAGAGAATTTGGTTAAGTTTTGCAGCCTTAGGATGTTTTCTGCCAATTTTTTACAGGGAACTCATGATAGCTGGAACTCAAATTTGTTTAAATGGGCTTCTGGTTTTATTGGCAGCAATTCCAAGAAGAATGAGAATGCTTTAGCGGTGAGTTGATTTTTGTTCACTTATATGTTTCTTTTGTTACGCTTTATTCAATTGTTCGTAAAGTCCTTGCAGTGCTTTGGTGGATTACACTTGTTCTCTAATTTTATATTTAGAAGTCCTCTCTAGAGCGTTGGTGCATTCATGGTGCTCTGATTTCAGAAACATCAACTCTCATCATCTTTCTCTGGTGGATTAATCTACTCTGATGGACAGTTGTTTTCTTATTTCTGCATGGTTCATAATTCAATTATTTTTCCATCCAAGCAGGGGCATCTTTATAGCTCTCCGTCATTTCTTTCTTGAAATTGATACTCCCTCTGATCCCTAATAAGAGTCCACTTTAAGTGTTGCACATTGTGTTAGGCAATCATTCAAAATGTAGTCAAGTGTTACAAAATGTCAAATTTGCCTGTAACTTCAAAAGATGCACGCCTTTTGATTCAATGATATATTTAAATTGTTAAGTCATATAATGGGGGCATTAAGAGAACAATTTATTTTGTTAGTAAGGACTAACATTTTGGGATGGGAAATACTGCTAGTACAGAAAAATGTCCTCCAGAAAAACCAAGCGGCATGTCAGTCAGTCATTTCTCAACTTGCGCTAATGTTTTGGTTATGCTATTAAAAATTTATGTTTGACTATGAGAACTAGCTCTTGAGTTGTTGTGCAAGTTAATGGAGCATTTGTGATTACATTTACCAGAACTAGAAAACAAATTCATTGTTATGCATTTGCTTTCGTTATTCTTTTAGATGGTGAATGGTTAAAAATTATTTCTGTAGGAGCATGGGAAGAGTGGGCGGCGTGGAAAAACCATTAATATCTTCTCTATTGCTTCTGGGCATTTGTAAGTGTTCTCTTATTCTCTTCATGTCTGTGTTTGTATTCTATTCTATATCACTATTTGTTGGCTTCTGCTGTCTGATGTGATGCCAGTGCTTTGGTTCTGTTTGGTTACCGCCAATCAAAATGCAGGAATGGGAATACTAATATCAAAATGGGAATAACTCATTCAGTGCCTTTTTTGTGTTTGGGATATAAAGTAAGGAATGGGGAATGAAGCTCTGGTGATTTTTTACCGCCCTTAGAAAATCCATCCCTCAAAAAAAAAAAAAAAAAAAAAATGAAAAGAAATTTGTGATAGATTGAATGTCATGACGCAAGACAATAATCTGAAAATCAATTTTCAGTTTTATTTATTTATTTTGAGAAAATGCATAGATCTCATTCGATCCTCGTGTTTTTTAAACCCTCTGAATGAAGCAACTGACCATCTTAGCAAGAGCTAGAAATTGTTGAATGTGATATGCACAACAAATGGCAAGAACCAGAAATTTGTTATGCATGTAGATTCTTTGAAAAGTCATCAAATAACGGGAATTGTGACACAGAAGGCATAATCAGCTTCTTAGATAGAACCAGTTGTTTAAGCCACTGAAACAAAATGGTTTCTTCGGGTTAGGATTTTTAATGGAGAGGAAAACTCTCTTTGGTGATGGAATGACTTACAAAGTACTTAGAGGGTTATTTCTGTGACATTGAAAAGCTGATACTAGTATTATGTGAATCAAGATAAGCGGTCTCCAATGAAGCGTTCATGACTATAACCACATATGTCTGGGTATAGAATTGAAATGAAAGTTCATGTTCATTCCCATTCCACTTCCAATTCTGCAAAATGAACAGATTATGAACAGGAATGAAGGCTTGATTCTCAGTCCTGCATTATTGATAGTATCCAAACTGAACCTTAATGTACCCTAAATTATGAACTCAAAACATTGATGTTTCTAGAAATTTAGAAAACTGAATTGAGGCAAGCTAAACTCGAGATGAGTAACTATTATGGGGGAATAAAATTAGCTCCTAGGATTCTTTTCCGAGACTGTTTTCTATCTTTTCATTACAATGGAGGTAACAAGCTCAAACAGCCATTCGCTGGTGGTTTTGAATGAGAACTTAGGAACTTTTAGTGGGGCACTTAAGGCACTTAATAAATAAACTTGTTATAGCTGTCTGTCAGTTTTCTCCCTTGTAATTTTCATATCAGTTTCTCATAGGCTGTTGTATTTGTATATATATTTTCTTCTTACTTTGCTGTTTACTTAATGAAATCAATGTACAAGCAAAACTAATGTGAGCTGCAGCTGCCCACTCATTGTGCCTATTCACTCTGGCTCTCACTAACTCATCTGCTTGTACACCTCAAAATGCTTGGTTAATGCAATATCATAATGATTTCCTTATATGTTTCTGGTGTGGCAGATATGAACGTTTCCTTAAAATCATGATTCTAAGTGTCTTGAAGAACACCCAGCGTCCTGTGAAATTTTGGTTTATAAAGAACTATCTCTCTCCTCAATTTAAGGTTGCATTTATTTCATTTATATTTGTCACTTGCGTATTGTTTTTTAATTTGTTTGTCTAACATGTGTGCATTCTCTGGCTGTTAATGAATCGTGCAGGATGTGATTCCACATATGGCACAACAATATGGTTTTGATTATGAACTTATCACCTATAAATGGCCAACATGGCTGCATAAGCAGACAGAAAAGCAGCGAATTATTTGGGCGTATAAGATTTTGTTCCTTGATGTTATCTTTCCTCTTTCTTTAGAGAAGGTATCGCTGTTTTTTCTTTTTTCCTCTCTCTTCTTGTCAAAACTTTGTTATATTCTCTTTCTACTGACTTCATATTTCCAAGATATTGCTTAAACATGCATCAATGGTTGTATGTGCAGGTTATATTTGTTGATGCTGATCAGGTTGTGCGAGCAGACATGGGAGAACTGTATGACATGGACATAAAAGGAAGACCTCTTGCATATACACCATTCTGTGATAACAACAAGGATATGGACGGATATCGATTTTGGAGACAAGTATAGTTCATTGATTAGTCTTTCCTTCTTTTTAAAAATAATTTGTCATGAATTCGTTTTGTGCTACCGAAGTCCTAAACCAATTGCCATCTAATCGCTGTTTGCTTACTTTTTCCCATTATTTTGTGTGGCACAGGGATTCTGGAAAGAACATTTGCGGGGAAGACCATACCATATCAGGTAAGCAATTTTTTTTGTTAATGTATTATTCATAGTTGGTTCAATTATTTAAACCCAGCCATGAGGTTGACATGTGCTATACTTCATCCAGTGCTTTGTATGTTGTCGATCTGGTTAAATTTCGAGAAACTGCCGCAGGAGATAATCTAAGGGTTATTTATGAAACACTGAGCAAGGATCCAAATAGTCTAGCCAATCTGGATCAGGTAACCAGTCAACTTGATATTTCTTATAACCACTGTGCGCTTGATGTGCTCACTTCTTAGTTCTTATATGATATCGTCTTCTTTATCCAGGCTTATGATCTGCTTAGTTTTTATTGTTTACTGCATGTGTAGCATGCAGGGCTTACATGCAGTATATGTGTTATAGTAAGGTTTGACTCAGCTGTATATACCTATTACGATATAAAGGTTCGGCAGCTGCTAGCTTGATTCTGCTATAGGAATTGGATATCCTCACACAGTATTGGATCCTATGGGTCCTGTTCTATGTGTCTTTGTAATGTTCTTTAGCGTACTAAATCTGTCTGAAAAGGTTGCTTTGCAAGTCTAGTGCTGCACATGGGATGTTGTTGAATCCATGTCACTGTTCCCTTTTCAGGATCTTCCAAACTATGCTCAGCATATGGTGCCCATCTTCTCCTTGCCTCAAGAATGGTTGTGGTGCGAATCATGGTGTGGTAATGCCACAAAATCTAGAGCAAAAACTATTGATCTTTGCAACAATCCTATGACAAAGGAGCCTAAGCTTCAGGTGATTTTTTTTTTGGAGCCATGTTTCTACAGATATAACTTGTTTCCATAATCAACACCATTCTTCTTTTCATTATTCTTCTGCTCATAACACTTTCTATATTTTCATGGATCTATTCTTTTCTCATGTTTTTCAGGGTGCAAAAAGAATCGTATCAGAATGGGTGAATCTCGACTCTGAGGCGAGACACCTAACTGCAAAAATCTTAGGCGATGAAGTAAATCCTCAAGAATCTGTTGTGTCCCCCAACCAATCACCGGACTCTGGGACTGATAATTCGGTGGAGGAAGAAGACGCTGAATCTAAGTCTGAATTATAAACCATAGTCTTGCAATTTTGAATCCAGTCATGTGATCGCTTTTTGGAGGACTTAGGGGTTAGCTGGTGCAGTTTAGCTGTTTACGTGGAAATCTAGACAATCTCTACATCCTGGAGGGCAATAAAACGTTTTTGGTTGCATGTTTTACCCTGCTTGAAGCCCTCTAGGAGACCCATGCTTTGGTAACAACTACAGGCACCATGTTAGGAGGTTTACAACTCATTCTTCTTACTTACAACTGAATAAGAGCACAGGGTTCTATAAACTCAATACGAAAGAAGGCTACGCACCTAGTTTTTTTCTTCAGGCTTAGCCATTTTGATGTGGGAAATTGTTCCATATCCAATTAACTCGAAACATAAAATTTTGATGGTGTCCAATATTTGATGGCAGCAAGTTCTGGATTTTCTTCTCCATGAATCTTACTAGCCCTAGAAGTAGCTTTGCTTCGGCATCTCAGCTTGTTGTCAAACGGTAACTCACCTTAAGTTCTAGCCTGGAAAAGATTACTCAATTTTTATTTTTTTCCTGCTCTGAGTTTTGCTTCCGTGGCTGATATTTAGCATTAGGAGTTGAACTTGAATCTAATCCGAATTATTATTATTATTTATTATTATAATTATGTGAATTAGTTATTTGAAAAGAGAAGAATGTAAGTTAGGAAGATTGAAAAAGGGCCAATGTTGTTAGAAAAAGAAAAGGCAACTGGGCAAGCGAGGGTGGAGGAAAAGAGAGAATGATCAAACCAGTACTCTATTTTTGAAAAATGAATCAATTAGTGGTCGTTGTCTTAAAAGTTAATTATTTAGTTTTGTGGCTGGTTTAATTTAATATTATTTTTTAAAGAAAATATCATGTTTTTTCATCAATTTTTATATGCTTTTTTTAGAAAAAAAAGAAGGGATAATTACCAGAAAAATCATCTAAAAAAATCTTATATCCAATAAACTCATCAATTTATTCTTAAATCTCTCAAATCTAAAATAATATTTTTCTTACTAAAACATTCAATAGTTAACCTCTAACTTAACACTAGTTAACTATTGGATCTTTTGGTAAGAAATTTTTTTTATTTTTAGTTTTGAGAGATTTAAAAAATAAATTGATGAATTTTTTAAATAGAAATTTTTTTAGAGTTTTTTTTTCTCATAGTTTTTATTTAATAATAGACTCTTTTTGTAGTTTTTAATGAGTTAGATATATATATATATTTTTTTCACGATCAAGTCAAGTTCTTTTTTATTGCATTCAAAAGAAAAAAAAGTTTTTGAGGTTCCTTGACTTTTAAACATTAACATTTGATTGCTTTTTTTTTTATTATACTAAAAAATTCCTTATATTAGAGTTTTTTTTTTTTTTTTTTTATGGACTGTTTGTTTTATTACTTATGAGATTAATTTTACTATCTAGTAACTATAGCAACCGAGGCAATTTAACTAATTAATATTGATAAAATGAGACTCTTGTCATTCTCTAGTAATTTAATCAAAGGGTTATCATACAAATAAGAAAAATAAAATATGTATGATTACGAATATTGGTGATTTTTTAAATCCTAATATATTGATAGAAAAAAAAAACATCATCGGTAATACTAGTTTTTAATTAATTAAAACTTAACATTTTTTATCAAACAATTAAATTAAATTACAAAATAAATGTATAACATATTTTAGTGTATTAATTAAATAAAGCATGATCAACTTTGATAGAAATACATATCTTGAAAGATAATTGTTTCATTTAAATTAGAAATAATTACCAAAATACATTCTAAAAAATCTTCAATCTAAAAAAATTGGTATTTTATTTTTTATCTCTCAAACACAAAATAATATTTTTAAATTTCACAAGCCTAAAACAATATTTTTCTTACCAAAACAACGAATAGTTAACACTAAAGTTAATTATTAGTTGTTTTTTATAAGAAAAATATTATTTTGGGTTTGAGAGATTTAAAAATAAATTTGTGGGTTTTTTAGATATAACATTTTTTTATAAGGTTTTTCTAGTAATTATCCCAAAAAAAAAATCAAAAGAATTTTTTTAAATAATTAAATTACAAAAAACAAAAATTTAAACTACATAAATTAAATTAATTTTTAAAATAAGAAGAATTAATAAATTTGTTTATAAAAAATAAAAAAGACTAATTTATAATCAACTTGGTGGGTGTTGTGTAATTTTGACTGACAACTAGCATATTATTTTTATATTTTTCTTTTATTTTTATAATAGATAAAAAAATTAACAAAAATAGTTACAAAATTGTAATCTTTGTAAAACTTTTGTTTTTAATTTAAATCAATAAAACTAATAAAAAAAAGTTGATCAAAATTAGGTCTGTTGACCTTTTGAAACTTACGAAGGCCAATAAACATAGGGAAAAAAATTTCTGATTTGGAGGTGTAAAAATCTGATATAATTGCAGGAAATTAATTTCTGAGTTTTTTTTTTAATTAAATGATCAGTTATCAAATTTTGTCTCATTTGTCGTCTCGTTTAGCCATAAACAAACGGAAGTGGAAGGAAAGAAGATGAAGCAGAGGCAGACAGACGCCAATGGCAGCCACACATTAGCAAACAAATTTTTCGCCTGAAAGGATCGTTCTACGAAATTCTCTCCTTCAATCCCAACGGACACAGAGCTAACCGACAATTGCTCCACACCCTCTCTTCATCTTCCTCTCCGCCAAAATCATTTTCTCCAATCAGAATTAGGGTTTGGTTGTTTCCACTCTCCTGTCACTGTTCCACCGCCACCACCACTTCTGTTCCGTTACTGCCGTCGAAGGAAGCCCTCTTGTCCCTGTTTTTGCTGCTGCGCTGTCTCGACTTTCTTTTTTTTTTTAAAAAAAAAAATGGACTCCAAATTAACTCTAGGGTTTAACCGTACACAAATCGCCGACGATTCAATCTCTCTTCAACTCGACTCCAGCCTCCGAGACCACCCAACTGCAAACCCAGTCCCACCTGTCCCTCTCCAATTATTCGAGCCACTGGCCGAGACTCGCTACAGTAACCACCAAAACGGCGAGAAAGAAGAAGAGGACGATGACAGAGATGTCGAAGAGTTTAGGATATTAGGGCACTCTTTGTGTTTGAAACGCCGAAGAGGTAGCGATTCTTTGATGAGCAGCAAAAGAGTGGTAGCCTCCTCTTGTAATGGATTGGATGTCGGAGAGGGGATGAGGAATGTTGTCAAATCATGGGGGAACCAGCCGCTAAGCACGGCGGATTCAGAAATTTTTGAGATAATGGAGAAAGAGAAACAAAGGCAGTTCAAGGGGATTGAATTGATTGCGTCTGAGAATTTTGTATGTAGGGCGGTAATGGAGGCTCTTGGAAGTCATTTAACTAATAAGTATTCGGAAGGAATGCCTGGAGCGCGATATTATGGTGGGAATCAGTACATTGATGAGATTGAACTTTTGTGTTGTAAGAGAGCATTGGACGCTTTTGATTTGGATTCTGAGAAGTGGGGAGTAAATGTGCAGCTGTATTCATGTACTACGGCAAATTTTGCCGTGTATAATGCGTTGTTGTTGCCGGGGGATAGGATTATGGGGTTGGACACAGCATCTGGAGGGAATACGAGTCATGGCTATTATACTTCTCATGGACGGAAGGTTTCCGGTGCATCTATTTTCTTCGAAAGTTTGCCTTATAAGGTCAATCCTCAAACTGGGTATATTGATTTTGATAAGTTGGAGGAGAGGGCACTTGATTTTAGGCCAAAAATACTAATTTCTGGTGGGAGCTCGTATCCAAGGGAGTGGGGTTATGCGAGGTTAAGGCATATTGCTGATAAGTGTGGTGCTGTGCTTATGTGTGATATGGCGCAGATTAGTGGTCTTGTTGCTGCTAAGGTGCACATTATGATTCTCTTTTTTAGCTTGTCATTTCTTGCTTTTAACTTTATTTTATTGCATTGCACATTTTGTGATAAAAGATGTCTTTGTTTTTTCAATTTTTTTTCTGTTAATTATGTTATCTGCTTTCTTTCACACACGGCAGTAGCAATCTGTTGCATGGATTTGGGGCTTGGTTGCTGCAAAAAAATATTTCTGTTGATAGTTTGTATTGATGCAAGATTTGTTGTTGTTCAAAATGTGTCAATTTTTGTTTCGATTAGTGTTTTGTCCTTAGCTTACCATGCAGGCTACTAAATCAACAGTTGTCTTGGAATCTGTGGAGAAATTTGTGATCTCACATGATATTCTTTTGTTTGGTGATGCTATATTATATTATGTAATGGCGAATTAATTTCCCTCTGGAATGTAAAGCCATAATTTAATAGAGCAATGGCTGTGTTGGCCGAGATTCTGAAAATTGGGGCATGAACTTATTGTTGTAATGCTACTCTGCAAATTTTGTCATTTATATGGAGTGTCTGTTCTGTGGGAACAAGATAACGAGGTTTTGCTAATTGATAAACTATCTAGAGATAATAAGTGTCATAGGCTCATAGCCTCATATGTACTAGACACTGAAAGGGAGGAAAGTTCCAGCACCCTTGGTTTTCTTTGTGAACTTTTATAGGTGAATATGCAAAATATAGGTTCCTATAAGCTTGAGGAGGGAATGACCAATTGTCAGCTGAAAATACTGATCTAAGGCATGGGAATGGGTTACCGACTTAGGACAACAAGCTGTCTTACAAGTGTGCTTGGAGAGCCTAATTTTCAGGATTTATTATTGATATAATACAGGCGTTATTTATTTCTTAATTTCCAGGATCGTGTTATTTTAATTTTTACAACTTGCTAATTCTATCCTAGTTGGGATACTATATAAGCGCAGCTGAACTATTTTTGTGATTCATTCACTTATCAATAGATTATTTCTCTTGAAGAGTTTTCTCTTCCCTAGTGAATTCCAGACTCTATTCCCAAGGCTTAGTTAGTCATGGACTAGCCTAATTACCTGCTTTAATTGCCGAAACACTGCTCATGAGAAACATGTCTAAGTCTTGTGCCCATTCCTGAATAAGACTAGATGATGCAGCAGGTAAGGACGAGTTTTTATGTATTTATTTGTAATTTGATATTCTTAAGAGTTTATTGTTATTGAGGAAGTTTTCAGGATTTTATTATTACTAAAGACAATATTTTATATTAGTACCTTTGTTTCCTATTTGGTTTAGGTTACCAGCATTCTTGGTGTCTGTATAAGCATTATGAAGCATAAAATTTTGTCAATGTTTGGACAGGATCATGATAGTGCTGTATTTTCACTTTTGACCATTTCCTTCATATGCATGTTGTTAAGTGAATGGGATCGTGAATCAACTAATTTGGCTAATTTTAATACAGGAATGTGTAAATCCCTTTGATTACTGTGACATTGTTACCTCAACAACTCATAAAAATCTTCGAGGTCCAAGGGGAGGCATCATTTTCTACAGGAAGGGTACAAAACCAAGTAAAAGGGGGATCCATCCAGGTCAAGGAGACGAAAGCGATCAATATGACTTTGAGGAAAAGATTAATTTTGCTGTTTTTCCATCATTGCAAGGTGGACCACACAATAACCACATTGCTGCTCTTGCCATAGCTTTTAGACAAGTGGCTACCCCTGAGTACAAGGCATATATACAACAGGTGAAGAAAAATGCACAGGCTTTAGCAGCTGCTTTGCTGAGAAGAAAATGCAGGCTAGTAACTGGAGGGACCGATAACCATTTACTACTCTGGGATCTCATGCCTCTCGGATTAACAGGTATGGTCTGCATGGAGCTATCAGCTATTGCATATTACAAGCATAAAATATGAACTCCCCAACCCTTGAGAAACGAAGCTAGTTATGATGACCTTTTGTTCCCATGTGCACACCAAACATTAGCCCACACAAAGCTGTCCCATATTCTTCTGTCCGTTCCCATGTACCAAATGCTGCCTTCATTTCCTGTTTCTTGTATTACCTGACATTCATCTTGAGAGTCTCGTCTAGTGCCATAAAGAATAGCTAGCGTTATTGTTGGCATGTTAAATAAGCGTTTAACCAAACAGCCGCTCTCTGTTTCCAATGCACCACTTGGCCATTCTACTTTATAACCTTATTTTTCTTTCTCAACAGAATTCATGACAATAATCGGTGTGAAACTTCAATTGTAACGATCATTCTGACTTACACGTAGTGGATTCTTTTTTCCTTATAATTTTCCTCATTATTTGCATCAGTTGCAAGCTTTCTGCATCAACATGTGACTTTTGTGAATCTGTTGGGACGAGGACTTTGTTCCTTCCTTAATGCTTTAATGGATGAGGTCTTCCTAATCTTTTCATTCTTTTGTGCGTACATAGGTAAAGCTTATGAAAAGGTCTGTGAATTGTGCCACATTTCTGTAAATAAAATTGCTATTTTGGGCGACAACGGCACTGTTACTCCTGGAGGTGTAAGGATTGGTAAGTGAAAGTTTTGCTGTAACTTTTTCCATCAAACACATTAACCAAGCACACTTCGGTAGAAATGGCTTGATTGCTTTGAACTTATACTTGAATCCCTCAGGTACTCCTGCCATGACCTCAAGAGGTTGCCTGGAATCTGATTTTGAGATAATTGCTGATTTTCTCCTGAAAGCTGCACATATTGCGTTTATGGTGCAGCGTGATCATGGGAAGCTGCAGAAGGCTTTCATGAACGGTCTGCAGACCAATAAAGAAATTATAGAGCTCCAGAAGCAAGTTGAAATGTTTGCAACTCAGTTCGCAATGCCAGGTTTTGACATGTGAAGGGGTTTTGGGAGTGAAGTTTTTGGAAGTGCCTCCCTGACCTCTTTTAGACTTGGGAGTCGTCCCTAGTTGCATAATTTTGTTGGCTACATACAACAGTACTAGTTGCTATAGACAACAGTTTCAGTTATAGCTTTTGTGGTTGCCAACCTCCAGAAATTGCAAGATACCGCATTGCCATAGAGAGGGATTTTACTATCTGTTGACGGATAACAAGAGGATCTTTTTTGGTTATACATTCTTGCCCCTCTTTTAACCAAACAGCTGCATCACCTCTCTGATCACTCGGGTCAAATGGTGGCCTGACTCCAGAAAATGAGTTGGCCTGATATGACGTGACAGGTTGGTGGTTGCATCTATTGATTGATGTTCCATATATAGTATTGTAGATTATCTGATAGGATTTATTGGGTATACTCATTTTTCTGATATACTCCTATTGAGAATCGAAGCCCTGAATTCTTTTATTACTGGCACGGTGGTGAAACATAAGGTGGACGGTCATTTAATCTGCCATTTCGTTACAAGTCATTGGTATTAAAATAATGTGGATCATACATTTTTATTTTTTATTCAGCCCAGTTTCTTTTGAAGTGTTTAATTGTGTATATGAATTCGCACTGGCGAATGTGATTTAGCCATCATTTGTGCAGGTTGTCTTGGATCTCTTGTAACTCTACTGTTGTCACATTTTGTTTTGAGTCATTTGCTGCTGTAGCTTGGGATGATTTTCTACCAGGATGCAGCTGGTTTAATTCGCCACAATTGCTCAGTATGCGAGATGATAGATCAAGTCAAAATAAATTGGTAGACCATAGCCATGTTTTTTCTTCACAGATTTCTTTTATGCGATATATCATTTTGGACTGCAGGATAGACGGATGTGCATACTATGTTGCAGGATCTGCGATGCACATGCGTCATACTGGATCATTTCATCTGTATTTGATCCTTCAGTGATCTTCAATTGTTCACGAAGAGACACAATAGCATTGGTAACAATTTAATTTAACTTTTTTTTCTCATTTATTTTATGAGTCTACTTGTTAAAAAAGATCTCCTGTTGTACAAAATTATCAATTTGACAATTTGGATCTTTTTCTTGCGTTGTCACAATTGATTTTAGTTTTAATTTATTGAGCTATGCAATTCTGTTTATTTTGTTTTAATGATTTAAAGACAAACCTGTAGCATGTCTTTTATGTTTTTTTTTTCAAATATATCTAATGTGTGTGAGGTTTTGGTCCTTTATATATATATATATATATATATATATATTCATTTATTTTGAAATGAGCATATACTACTTTAATTGTGATGAAAAACCAACAACTTGACCTACTTACAATCCAATATGAAAACATAAGGAATTAATAATTTGTTTAGTTAAAAAAAAAAGAAAAAAGAAAAAAAAACCAAAGGGATTAACTAATTATTTTGTTGAAAGTACAGGGATGAAATAATAATTTACTAAAAAAGAACAAGAATAACATGATCTCAAAGTTTAGAAAATTTTGAAGTTTATGTAGGTGGTATTCGGTTCATGGAACCTGATGGAAAAGTAAGTTGAGAAGAAGAAGGAGGGTAGAAAAAAGAGGATTTTCGAGGCATTATTATGTTTGGTTAATGCTTCTTTTATCTTTTCATTTAAAATTCCAAACTTATTGTACGTATTAATGTTATTGTTATGTAAGGTTTATGTAAATCTTTCTCATCTTACTACAACATTAGATTCGTTTCTATCTAATGCAGCATGTTTATGTAAAAGCTAAAGGAACATGCAAGTGACCAAACAAGCTTGAAGGGACGTCAGGAGAACGACAACTGCTAAATTTATTTGCTTGGTTAAAATGGGAACAAATAATGATCAAACAGTATATGTCTTCAGTAATTTTTGCCCTTTGTTGGTAAAAAAAAAAAAAAATTGTTGTTTTGGTTAAAAAAAAAATGCCGTCTTCGGTGAAATACTGATGGGCTTATATTTCGTATGCTAATTCTTGTTGATCGGAAGGATTCTAAGTAAAGGAATTTACTGACAAAAGGATACAGTTTTCTTAGTATGAACATTTGTTACATAATTTTGACAATAAAAAATTAAAATATGAATACCATGTAAGTATGTCATTTTCATTTGCCGAGAATCGACTGTTTCTCCTATGTTCGGCAAACAAGTACAAAATCTTGTAAAATAGCACCATTTCTCAGTTAATTATCAAAGAACAAAGTTTTTTTTTTTTTTTCTACTAATATTTGGATGATTGGATTAAACATTCTTCTAATATAAATTGATTAAACACCTTCTTCTAATTTAATTTTTTTTTTTAAAAAAAATGAATTGCGTGTTTTTTTCTTCATCAAAATAAAATATATCCCAAGGATATATTTAAACTCAATTATATATATATATATGTGTGTGTGTGTGTTAAATTAAAAAAAATTCACAATTAGTGTTAATTAATCTTTATTTTTTGCTTATGTTTTTAAATTATTTAAAATATAATATATAATAATAGATTTATCAGCGACAACGTCCTTATATACTATGCTAGGTGCTTCACTAAAAATGGTATCGTTAAGCATTCGATTTGTCTAGTTCTGCAAAAGTAGGACAAACAAGAAGCATCATATTTATCATATTTTTTTTCCCAGGATAAACAACACGTAAGTACAATCTTTAATTCTTTTTCTACAGAAGGAGAATCTGTCCATAGGATGAGAGAGATTTTGCTTTGCATCGAAGCCACTGGCTAAGCAATTATGCTTCCTGTTTCTTATCTTTGGATATTGGAAATGTTGCTTTCTTCAAAGGAAGAAGAATCACATTCCTTTTTCTCTCTTCAAAATTTTCCTTACCTGGTTTTTCTTCTTTTAAGAACTAGAATCCTCTCACTCCTCACAGCTTCAAGACTGCTGTAGCCGCTAATTAATAAAGCATAGATTTGAAGAGAGAAACGAAAACAAAAGAAATGAAAAATATTGTGAAAGAAAACGATTCTTTTAATTCCTTGTACTTAAAGTTGCTGCACCTCCGTACTTTGTCTACCTATGAGACTGATGAGAGCACATGCCCAAAAGCTTCTTTCTCCCTTCGACTATTTCATCAAAGAAATCATCAATTTGTCCAATTATAGTCTCAACCCCACATCTCAACAACCCAAAGCAACTCTTCAAGCTATCGACCTTGTCCTGGATGTCAATCTCTAATTCATGCTGATCCACAACAGCACTCTCCATCTCTACTTTGAGCTCTTCCATTGCCATTTTCGCTTGCTTAAACTCGTAAAGTATGATGCCAGCTGAAGCTGATTGTCCAGAACCAATTTGTTCCATCTCATTTGCCACTCTTTGCTGCAATCTTGCTATTGAAACCATAAAGGATGAACCAAATATCATGTGCCTGTCATGCGGATCAGCTGCTCCTTGCCAAGAAGCTGGCCAGCAATATACTAGCCCAGAAAACAAGATCATTAGAAGGAACGAGTTAACATTCTTCGTTGCGTATAGAACCCCTCGAAATCCATTGAATGCGTTGCACCAGCTCGATTGATCAATCATTACAACATGGTTACTGTTTCCTAAATCAAACTGCAGTGATAATGCTTCAACTCTTGTTTCTATCAAGCTCTTATTATTCTCTTCCAACCCCATAATCTCCCTTTGACATCCCATGATTGCACGAATGACCTACACACAAGTTTTAATTTGTTGAGTTGAATGAGCAGTAGTGCGCCCTGTACATATATATACATATAAATTTACTAACCTGACGTGAAACTTGTGCATTCAAATGGTGATGATTACCATCGAGAGACGAAGCTATATTGGCTCCGGAGGAGTGATAATTTTCCATTCCTGAAACACCTGATTTGAGTATATGACAAGCTTCCCAGAGCCTGGAGCTTTCATCCATGTACTCGTCAAGCCACTTTTCTCCTACAGGAAGGTGAAGCTTTTGAACCAGAGTGGTTAACTGGGAGTGGATAGATTGGAGAGAGGATAGAACTTTCGAAAGGAATTGAATAGAGATGAAGTTGTGAGATAGGAAACTCTGATCAAGTTCATCAAGTTCTCGCGTAAGCAAGTTGTAGAAGCCATTGACAGAAGTAAGGTTACATGAAGCTGGATCCATTATGGGAGGAAACCGAAAAACAAAATCAAGGATGGTATATGGTGTTGATAAGAAAAGTTGATAAATACTGAACAGCTTCTTATGAGCACACATGCAGGTTTCTTTCTCTCTGCAAGGAACAGGATTAATATTGTTGGGTGCAATTATTTGTGTTTCCTATAGAGTGGAGGGGATGATTAGGAATCTATTGTTATCATTCTCTAAAAGCAGAAAAGGAAGAGAGAGGGAGAGAGAGATTTCTTGCTAGAAGTGTGAAACAATATGAATCAAACAATCTTTAATGACACCTTCCTTCGTGCTGAATTGTATGCATAAAAGAAAGTAAGTCAAAACAATCTTGCTGCTCTTTATTTTATGATATGCTAGATTATGTTTTCTTGGGCGGTAAAAGTATGACCTTTTTTCCCCCCCAGATAAAATCGAGATTAGATTAATAAGAGAAACAATCTGGTTAAACTATATAGTTGAGATGTACATTAAATATATTTTAAAAAACTGACAAAAGAAAAAGATTATAGCCGAAGTCGTGTTTTGAGGATCGGTGTCTCTTAATCATGTCTAGAAAGAGATTAGTTTCGACATATGCAAAAACTATGTTAATTTATAAAGACCGACATGAACAGAGATCTACAGTATAGAGCGTTATACGAGACAATACGATAATCTACAAAATATGAAATAAGATATATAGGCTCGTTAGGTTTTTTTTTCTTTATAATTCTAGTTGTCCACATTATAAATAAATAGAGGCAACATTATTTGTATTTGCAGCCGCCACTTGACAAAATTTAATAAGAATTTTAATACAGTCGTGAAGTAGACATTTTTATCGAACACATAAAATTTTTGTATTGTGTGATTATTTTTGTTTTGTTACTTTATGTTGCTTGATTCGTTTTCTAACAAACTGGTGTGGAAATACTTTTGCTATGAACAAAAAGAAAAAGATTATAACCAAATCTCCAAATCATGCTTAACGTAATTCTTTTAAGCCATTCAATATCCTCGTCTTTACTTTCATAAGAAACAAAAAAATTTAGTATTGATTTTCCTGCACGTGGCTGCGATGTTTCTTCCTTTTTGTGAACACCAACAGTTTCTCTTGGAGTCACAGAGCTCGCCATAGGGTTCACAACCTTGACATGGGAACTGTTTTCCTGAGTGATTTTTGGACGACCTTAATTTCTCTGTTGTTGTGTAATTCTTTCCTTTGCTGGAGAAACTGTTGGATTAATTCTGCTTTACCTTGTTGAATCCTGCAACATTCGCTCGTAAGTCGTAACTTATATGTTCCAAATCATATGTCGTTTAGTTGAAACAACAAAGGTTTCACCAAAGAATCGAAACTCAAGAATGGTGTGGCTGATTCTTTAGCCGAAAATAGTTTACATTAAAATCATGACTTTATAGCTTAGCTATAGTATTATGTTTTTTTAAATGATTCTGAGAATTTTATTTCACTGTAATAATTTTGTTATTTTATCAACTACCAACTTACTTGCTTTTTTATTTTTAATCTATATCGATTTTCATAAAAAAAAAAAATTGAAACGTCTTTCCGACTTGGTTTTCTTTTTAATTCAATCAAATATAAAACCTCTCTAATTTTGGTAAAGGTTTTTTTTTAAAAAAATTCCTATAATCCATCCAATCGGAGAACCTCTCAAAAAAGAACACGTAGATAGAGGTTAGTGGAGCATGAAATAGGTTAGGGTTTTTTTATGAGGGAAATTAAGGTGGATTATGTTTTTTTTTTTTTTTTTTTTTTGGGGTGGGGGGGGAATTTTAGTAGGGATCATTTTTTCTTATAAAAGTTTGACTGCTTTAACCGAGATTCTTTCCCTTATTCCTCTATTTTGATTTGGATTCTCTTTGTCTTCTTTAGCCGAAAATAGTTTACATGAAAATGATGACTTTATAGCTTAGCTATAGTACTAGTTTTTTTTAAAAAAAATGATTATGAGAATTTTATTTCACTCGTAATAATTTTGTAATTTTATCACTGCCAACTTGCTTGCTTTTTTATTTTTAATCTATATCAATTTTCATAAAAAAAATAAAAATGAAGCGCCTTTCGACTTGGTTTTCTCTTTAATATAAAGAAATATAAAACCTCTCTAATTTTGATAAAGGTTTTTTTTTTTAAAAAAAAATCTCTATAATCAATTCAATCGGAGAACCTCTCAAAAAAGAACATGTAGATAGAGGTTAGTGGAGCATGAAATAGGTTAGGGTTTTTTATGAGGGAAATTAAGGTGGATTATGTAGTTTTTTTTTTTTTTTTTTGGGGGTGGGGGGGGGGAATTTAGAAGGGATAATTTTTTCTTACGAAAGTTCGATCGCTTTAATCGAGATTCTTTCCCTTATTCTTCTATTTTGATTTGGATTCTCTTTGTCTTCTTTAGCCGAAAATAGTTTACATTAAAATGATGACTTTATAGCTTAGCTATAGTACTAGTTTTTTTTTTTTAAGTGATTCGAGAATTTTATCTCACTCGTAATAATTTTGTAATTTTATCGACTACCAGCTTGCTTGCTTTTTTATTTTTAATCTATATCAATTTTCATAAAAAAAATAAATAAAGCGCCTTTCTAACTTGGTTTTCTCTTTAATACAAACAAATATAAAACCTCTCTAATTTTGATAAAGGTTTTTTTTTTTTTTTTTTTTAAATCCCTATAATCAATCCAATAAGAGAACCTCTCAAAAAAAGAACATGTAGATAGAGGTTAGTGGAGCATGAAATAGGTTAGGGTTTTTTTATGAGGGAAATTAAGGTGGATTATGTAGTTTTTTTTTTTTTTTTTGGGAGGGTGGCGGTTGTGGGGGAATTTTAGTAGGGATCATTTTTTCTTACAAAAGTTCGACTGCTTTAACTGAGATTCTTTCCCTTATTCTTCTATTTTGATTTGGATTCTCTTTGTCTTCTTTAGCTTTCGTAGATCTATGTCAATCCCATATGCATTCATCTTTTAAATTGAATCTTATTGGGTTTTGTATATGCAATAGTATATGATCATCTCCTAGTAATATAAATATGCTATTTTAATCAAATAGAGACATGGATGACGAGCTTCTGTGTGAGGATAGCTTTATGCTTAATTACAAAGTAGATTTTTTTTTTTTACTTAAGTATTTATCTCTTATATATTAGAGATAAAACTAATTATATTCATAACGAGAATGATAAAAACAAATATGATTTTAACATTCAAAACCTTACATATTAATAAAAAAAACCATCTCAATGCTAATTCACTTGCTACTGACAATAATTTCTTGGTAGATTCTTTTACTTTATAAAGACCAAACATTTCTATTTTAAGCATCTATTGAGTTTAGCTGTCAATGTTTCTCTAGGAATAGAACATTTCAATGGGTAGATATATAGGTACCTTTTGATTCCAGACAATCTTACTTGACAGGTCACCTCATGATGGACCATGCCCCCAAAGCCTAAATGTTCTTGTAATATTAGATCATAGAGGTGGAAAAGGCACAGCCCCACTTTACCGTCTTTTCTGTCCTTAAATCCTACTTAATTTGTTTCAGTGATACTACAAAGTGGAGGAATATATGGATAGTTCCATACTTAAATTTCTACGTGGAAATGACACAACTCTCGGATATAGTTTTTTTTTTTTTTAATCTTTATTTACAAAGAGCATCGAGCACCTGAAATCTCTTCAAAGGAAGAGAGATAAGAAAGAGGTTGATGCAAATATCTTTTTGTTATTTTTTGGATGAAAATATTCTACAACATTAATGAAATTTTATTTTCTAATAGTCTAAAAAATAAATTTAAATTCAAAAAAATATGAAAAAATCCTATTTAAAAAAAAACCAAAAAAAAAAAAAACAAGCATTAAAGAACCTTAAAAAATAACTTGTAAAATCTAAAATAATAATAATAATCATGTATAGAAAACATCTTAAATAGAGATATGTCTAAGGCAACAAAATAAGTTTGTAGGACATGGATTTTTTGAAATTTTTATTAGTTATCAATTTTTTAATATATTTTTTTTGTGTTGTTTCTTCTTCTTCTTCTTCTTTTTAGAATATTCCAAGTTTTTTTCGTTCTAGATTTTTTCATTTTTTTTCTATTTTCTTGTTTTTCAAGTTTTGTTAAGTTTTACAAAATTTAAATAGTTTTTACTGTTTTGAAAATTAAATTTTCCTTTGATGGTACATGGGGCTTTTTTTTCATGCCAAAAAGTGAAGAAAGACTTATAATTAAGAAAATATCAACATATAAGGACATATGATAGTGTAAAATTCTTGAAAAAAATATATAAGAGAATATACCTAATATATAAGGGTAGTCATATACATTAACCCTGTTTTTTTTTAAAAAAAAAAAAAAAAAAAAAATCCTGCCGAACTTTTTTATTTGGTAGAATTCATGAATACGCCCTATATGAGTAGGATCACCATCCTGTTCCTAAAATTAAGCAATGGAACATGAAGTTCTTTTACCAAACACCTTATGAACGCTTACAAATTGCAATTGCTTTACTTCGAAGAAAAGCTAGCTACTAACATGGATGTACGTATCCACAGCAAAGCTAAAATTAGAATGAAGTACTCCAGCAACATCAATAATACTGGCACTAGAAATTCAATGATGGAGCCCAATTACCACCACATTTCACCTATACGCTACCAAATTAGAGCAAACCCCATCCTACATCTACTGAATGATTTTTGGTTGTTGGATTTGAATGGCTGGCATTGGGTTTGTGCGTGGCATAGATATAAATAACAGCTGTTACGTTATACAACGATTATTAGATAACGATTTTGAATCATCTCATTATTATTATTTTTAACATTACAGTAAACTACGATCTGCGATAGTAATCGTAATAATTTTTTCAACCATTCGTGATTTAAAACTATAAAATAAATGAAATTAGCAAGAGATGAATAGAGATAAACTATAAGAAATCTAGATCCATAAATTTTAGTTCTTCTCCCTTTAAAATCAATAGCAGACACTATTAAATTGAGTTGATAATATTTGTGCGTCAGTTGTTTGCTTTTGTTCGTTAGCTGTTGACATTGAAGGATTGTAGAAACTATACTGCTAAGAGGAGACCATAAAAACTCAAAGTTGGAGATGCTGAGATGCTTATCAACAATTTTTTTTTTTTTTCCATGCGAAAGACTAATCCAAATTTCTTCTATTTGCCAAAAATGGACGAGAATGGCCGTTCACGAAATGTATTTTGAGCTGATGCAGGTTCTATATGGAGTTTTTGGAGATGTCATAACATTAATTAGATTCAAAGTACTTAATTCATACGTATGACATGTCGTTCCTTTTGTCGAAATTAATCATTATGGCCAAACTACCATTTGGACGTCGTTTATTACATAAAAAAAAGATACGAGGAGTTATACTAGGTTGTTTTCATACATGGTTAGAATGTACATAAGGTTTAATTTGAGTATTTATGCAATAACCGATTTTCAATTTGGGATACAGCTATAAAAAATTAATTAATAAACTAAAGAAAAACACTTATTTACCGTAGCTATACTATTTGAAACACCGTGTACACATTCACATTTCACTATTCACCATTTCACAATTCACTATTACTTTTACTCGTTCATTTTTTTTATATACTTTGGTCCCTAAAATTTTTGAACACATATTTCGATTCACATGTTCATTTGCTTATCCATTTTTGTCACTAGATGGAGAGAGGAGGCTAAAAGGAAAAGAGAGACGGGAGGAGAGAGAGATTACCGACCAAGCTCATTTAGGCCACTCGGTCGGCGAAAATCCACTAGATTTTTTTATCTTTGAGAGATGAGTTTGTCCATGGTGGTTTCAAGCCATTAAACAATTAGAGGAGGTAGATCGGAGCTAAAAAATAAAAATAAAAAAAATCCAATTTGATTTTGTATTTTTCTTTATTTTTGTGTATATTAAAATAATTTTTAAGGTTTTAGATGTATTTATTGGTTTTATTTCGATCATTTAGAGGTGTTTGGGGAAAAAAACGATACCGGAATTCAATTTCTAAGAATCCGAAAATTAACTCCCGATTTTTTTGTGAACTTGGGTTCGTTGGAAGTTGCGGGATTTTTTTTTTCTACGAGCAAGGCTCGGCGCGAGAGCTTGCCTACACAGCCCAAGCGCGTTGCCTCCCTTTTTTTCTTTATGTGCAACTTGGTCGCATAAGCTAACCGTGCACGCCCCTACCCCCCCCCTCCCTCTCTCTCTCTCTCTCTCTCTCTCTCTCTCATATATATATATATATATATATTATTTTTATTGTTTAAATTTAATTTTTTAATTATTTATTTCTTATTAAAATTCACATAAAAATAATTTTTTGATTTAGTTTTATTTGTTAATAATTTTATTTTTTTAATATATGAATTTTGAAATAAAATTTTAGAACTTCGATGTTTTATTTTTTAAATATATCATTATAATTTATACAATATATTTTTTTTACTTTTTAAATGAATTTTTTTTGTTGATTAGTTTTATTATTTAAAATTTACTACTTTAATTTATCTTTTTTTTTAATTCCCATCAATTTAATTTCAAATTACATTAAAAAAATTAAAATATTTTTTTCACCTTTGATTTTAAATATTTTTATACATTCACACTATAAAAAAAACTATCAAACTAAAATAATTTTTTTAAATGATTTTATTTATTTTATCCTACCTGCAGTATAGCACAAGCAAAAAACCTATTGTATACTAATGACATGTTTATGTTAGCTCATATGGAATGAGCATAATGATTGTAATTTTGTTATCATCAACCACTATATGAATTTGGATTCAGATTTTGATGATAACAAAATATTTAGTATTAGGACCATCAACATGTTGGATTCAAATCAAATCATAATAGATTCAAATTTGATTTGTTTAATGAAACGGATTGAATCGGGTTTTAAAAATGTAAATCGAATCCTAACGGATGTGGAGCTCCATTAGATTTATAACTTTGTTTTTGTAGAAAATTTATACTTATTACATTTAATATATTACTTGAATATAAAATATATTTTAACCACTATATGTATAATAAAATATATTAAGATAATATTTTATCTATTAATTTTGTAAAAAAAAAATTAACATGTCACACGATTCAATTAAAAGCACAAAATCAAATAATCTTAATAAAATTTTATCTTGAATTAGGTAACAAATATGTTAAATTTTTTTTTAAAAAACAAATAATAAATAACGTAGTTTTAATTTGTCATAATAATTGCACGACTTGGACCTCTATATAAGAAGTCATTTCAAAAATACTCAAGTATGTTTGAATTAGGAAATTTTCTTTATTAGAATTTATTTAGAAAAAGAACTCCAATAGCACAAATCTTCTTCAAATGATTGCCTTGATTATCAATTAGTTTTTCTTCTAGTCTTTTTTTCTCCTTTTATTACTCTTTTTTTGTGATTTTATCTTCTTCTTCTTTTTTTAGCAAAAAAAATGAAAAATATAATAATACCAACTCTTGACAAAATATATAAATCAATTTATAATTTTTTTCTCAAAGTTGAATTAAAAAAAAAACTTATATGTATTTTTTGAAAATATAGTCGTCATTGTGAAAAGATATATGTTAATTCAATTTTATAATAAATATACTCTAAATTTTAACATAATCTCATATATATATATATATATATATAACATTATTTTTAATTTCGTGTCGAATTATTATCAAATCAGATCAAAATATATCTAGATTTTATAAATTTTAATAAATCAATAAACTATTTATCATATTTAATTAATTACATTCGAGTCAAGATCTGATCTATTTACGATACTGTTTAGTATTACTAATATTGTGATTGAGGTTGTGATGCTAATAAATGTTATTCAAAGCAACTAAAATGAGCAAACTTATAAATTACACGAGAATGGATTAATTAAAGGTTGAGGATATTGTAAAATGATTTTAAAGACTTGCTTATATTTAGAATTTGATTATACAAAGTTGATAAAGAAAAGAAGCAAACAAAAAACCGGTTGGATAGGGGCAAAATTGGTGGAGTAGACCTTTAAAACCGACAGACCGATTTTGCAAAGCAAGAACCTGTCAGGTAGTAGTCCTAGGACCGACCGAGTAGCCTACAGAACAGACCAAGTTAAGTTTGTGCAAACTCGTTTGTTTTGGCAACTTTGTGCAACGACAGCTTCCACTTTGAGAGGATTATTTCTAAACAGATAATTCCTTACCGAGCCACAAAGATTATCTCCGGTGGATGATACTACTTGGTTGAATTATCACAAGGATAAATTATTGTATTTGATTTTTCTATCTCCACATTCTTTGCTTTATTGGTGCAAGTAATTTATACATATTGTCTTGTAAGGTTTTGGTTTAAACTTTTATTTGTCCATGAGTTTTCATTGAGAATTATTTACTCATCTCTAAACCTATCTCTTGATCCATTGATTTAAGTAGTTTTAAGATGAATTGCCCGGAATGTTGTATTGTAATCTTGTGCCCATCAAGACAAATGGGTCAACATTCACATTTCAAGTGACAAATCCTCTCAGAGGAAAACAAGACAAAGATAGAAGCCAGGTTATTTGCAATGTTTACAATAATGAGATTGGATTTGATATTAAATCCACGAGAGACATTAAACGAAACATAAACATTTACAGTTTTGCTAATTTCTGTATACATTGTTGCATCATCTGTAGGAAACTAAAAATATACATTTCTACTATGTAAGTGAGATCAAAGTATACTTATCTATAAAATTAATAAGGCCAAATGAGTTCTGATTGCAACCCTAGATTCATCCAGATGGGTTGATCAGGAAGTAACTATATTTACTGTTAAATTAAGCAATTTGGGTCTTCAACTATGAAAAGCTTGTCATTATCTCTGATCACTTCAACAGAGTCAACTTCAGCACCTTCTTGATCCGTGACTATGGCATTTCTTGCATCGAATCCAAACTTTTCACCTATTAAGAAGAAACATTATTTCTCCATGAGTTTTCTTATGTCTGCCCAAGAATGTGATTTTGCTCAAAACATACAAACAAAAACTCTTTAGTAACCGATATACCTGCAACGCTCTTGAGCTCCTCCAGTGAATCTGGCAACCTGATCAATCTCCCAGCTTCCAGACAGCAAGTTTGTCTCCTAACCAACGGATGGCCTCTATATATGCTGACCCTTATGGAATTCAATGATCCTTTGGATTTACCACATGATTTGCATTCCTCTTGTTCTTCGTGCCTCTTCAAAAGCACTTCATTAGTTGCTAAAACATCAGGCACCGTAATTCGGTGTCCAATCTCTCTCTTTTGAAGCATTTCATTCAGGGTTGTGGAAGAGAAGTCGTGAGCGTTTGCTTCCGCGACATCTGCGCCGTTCATTACTAGTAAATTTACCATGTCTTCATGATTCTCTGCCATAGCCACTTGGACTGCTGTTTTCCCATGACGATCCTTTGAATCAACATTTAATCCTTCTTCCAATAGTTCCTTCATCAGCGTCAGATCGTTTTGTTTTGCAGCAGTGCACAAGAGATCACCGGCGGTGTAGGGGTCTGAAATGTTCGCGAAGTGATAGAGAATCCTAAAGATGGAATGATGATTCGACGATATAGCTTCCCACAAAGCAGTTTTGCCATTAATATCTGTCATTCAATAAAGAAATTCAGGAAGAGCAAACAATTGCTCGGACATGGTCGTTGTGCTTTTTGAAAGAAAGAAGCAATGAAATTGTGCACTTACCTCTCACGTGTATGTTGCATCCATGCTTAAGGAGCACCCATACACACTCTTCGTGCCCATTTGATGCTGCTATGTGCTGTTGCACCACAAAACAAACCCAGAAAGAAAGAGATTAGTAACTAGCTCTCTTTTGGCTATTGTTGGTATTTAAAAATATCATGCATTTTCCATCCTTCTTTCCTAAATTTGATCATCATTCACTGTCTCTGGAGAGTCGATCACAACGAACCGGTAGATGGTGAAGGGCATCTGTTTCGTTTGACAAGTAAAACGTTGAGGAATGAAATGAGAACGATCCTCAGATAATGATAATAAACAAGATCCATTAGGCCAATGGACAGGCTCAGGATTAATGTCATTTCTTCATGAAGAAAGGCTAAGCATGGTAGAAAGATGAGATATGGTGGACTAGTTAACGGTCAAGACAATGGTTGAACATTTCCATGTGCAATATGTATGCTCTGTTTAAAATTAACCAAAAAAATGAAACAGCTTTGAGGTTAGGTAGGAGCATACCAATGGAGTTCTTCCTTTAGAGTCTCCAATATCAGGGTCAAATTTTGCCTTGAGAAGTTCTTCAAGAAAAGCAGCATTACCTGTACTCGCTGCAGTTAGCAAGTTGAAAGCCATGTTTGGATCACCCTCTTCTTCTTCTGCATTCTCAACAATTACATCTCCAATCTTTGAACCCATTAGCCCTTTGTGATGCTGCAGAACAACACATTATTTAAGCCTCAAGTCCCCAGCCCACCATATGACAATAGCAAAGACATAAATATGGTATAAAATTTTTGGAAGAATTAAAAATTAAGCCTTCAGAGAATCAACATCAGATCAGAGGATTGACTTTAAATCCAGTGCAAACCAACCTGAAGAAAGTTCTTTATCATAACTACGTAATCATCTTGACTGGCCTGCATTGCCTCTATCAGAGCAGCGGTTTTGAGCCTCAGGAGTTGTGAGAGTGTTCTGGTCCGAAATGTATAGCTCTGACGTCTGCAACAAAGTGCACCCACTTCTCCGAACATGTCTCTAGAGTGCAAAGCCCCAACAACTCGTTCTTTCTCTTGATCACATTGAATGATTTCAACCTCTCCCGATACAATTATGTAAATATCATCCGGAGCTTCATTTTGCATAACAACATCTTCTTTTGGTGGGATGTACTCAGCTTTCATCTTCGCAACCTGGTTATTTTATTGACATCGTTTGAAATTTTAGAACTCTAATGATGTTCTGATCTCAAATTCCACTACATGGTGCATTAAAATGGTTAGAGAAGAAGTTGTTTTCTTACCAGAAGCAAGAGTATTTCCTTTGAGACACCCTTGAAAAGATAGACCTTCTCCACCGTTGGCAGAAACAACTGCTGGCAGATGCTTTTGCAGACGGATTTTGGTAGCTGTTCGATCAATTGGTGCTGGTTCAAGCTCTCAGCCTTGAATCTCAAGCACATGTAAGCCAATATCTGATCCTTTAATCTTGGGGGCAAACGGTTTCTGCACACAAAATTGGATGCTGCTTCAATGCTGTTCCTCTGCGCCAATCAATGGTGTCCAGCGTTAGTTGAAGGATGGATCATGGAGAAGAGATTGAACAGCCATAATTAAAGTTGGAAAAATCACTTACAAATTCCATGGTACGTCGAGTTCCTTCAACGACTAGATTCGTCATGTTACCGATTATATAAGCAGTTAGACCAAGGTTGAAGAGCATGTAGAAAATAATGAAAATCATTTCCATGGTGTTGACGGCGTGGAGGTCACCATAACCAACGGTAGTCATGGTGGTGATGGACCAGTACATAGCTGAAATATATCTGATCCAAAGGCTTGTCTCTCTGAAATTTGGAATCACAGCACCTATCCATGTCTTCCCTTGGTGTGGGTATCTGTCAGCTAGTAGATAGTAGAGGCAACCAACACAATGCACTGGAAATAGTGTGACCTAAAAAAAAAAAAAAACAAAAAACAAAAAAAATATATTTTATTTCCTGTCATTTTTTACTCATAAATTTTCATTTTTACAAAAATGCCATCCATTTAAATTGCAATCACCAAATAAATAATAAATAAAATTTATAGCTTTGGAATTAGAGGTTGTTAGGTCGATAGCATTTGTTTTATATAAAAATGTCCTTGGAAATTGAAGGGCCTGCGACCCTTAGGCTCCTATTGGTTGTTTAATACTTGTGGAAGATGTTTGTGTTAAGCTTTGTAGTTGTTTTGCTAGAGTAAATTATTGATTAGTCACTTTAATTTACAAATTAAATAAAATTTTTATTTTAACAACTAATTAATTATTTTTTTAATCGGTATTGACTATAATTAATTTACTATTATTTTGTTTTAAAAAGATAATTCTTTTCCTCAATCTTTTCATATTTTTTACTTAATTTTTTATCTTCTTTTTTTTAGTTCTTAAAAAAATTAATTTACAAATATATTTAAAAACATAAAAACTAATTAATTAGTTTTTAAAATTAAAGGGCTATTCAATTCATTTTTTAAACTTAGAGGGACTAATTTATAATTTACTCTGTTTTGCTTGGGCTCTATCCTAAGAATATTATTCAAGACAAACCGTGTTTGAACTTCGACCCACGATTATGAAAGGAGCAGCATGTACGATGATAATAATTATTAGCGTAACTAATTAATTCGTTTCTTGAAACGAGAAGAACTAATAATTTATAATTTACTTGCAATATGTATGAAGATACTAAGAAAACGAAAGATTTTTTTATTTTTTACCAAGCAGAGAATTAACAGGACAGAATGAGAAATTCACTTACACATAGTAACCTAGCACATCGGACCCAAAAATAGTTAAATCTGATATCCTTCTCAAGTCTGCAAAACCCCCCAATTAAATAAGTTAGATGCAAAAAACTTACATAGATTTGGGGTAAACTGTGTCTTCAACACTTGAAAAGAGTAGACCTAAATATATACCTAGTGAAGAATTGTTTAACTCGTCGGAGTCTCCAAAACCTAAGCAGTCCCAAGAGAGAATAAGAAAGGCCAACTTTTTCTTTGCCCGTGAACAAGTAGGCCAGTGGTTCAAATGGGACAGTGGATGCAACATCCATCAAAAACCATGTCGATAGGTACCTATCACACACAATAGCATGCACCACCGCCTTTAATCACCTCTATTCCAAAATGGAACAATTCATGAAAAGAAAAGGTGAAAGGGTTTTTTCTTTTTTCTTCTAGACTATGTAAGTTTTCTTTTTCTTGTTTTCTATAATATTTGTTAGAATATAAGTTTAACGAGACTCTTCTACCTACCAGCAGGTCATTGTATGCACTAGCAAAATAAGAGGAATTAGCGATAGTTAAAATTATTATTAAATTATAAAAAAATCGTCGCTAATATTTATTAACGATGGTTTCGCGACAATATCTTTTATAGATTAAGTCCATAAGTAATCTTAGTATAACTCATAAAGAAATAAATTAAAAAATATATTAAAATGGAAAAGGATGAATAGATTTCCCAAAGAGCTGGTTTGGGATAGAATTGTCCAGGATCTTCTGATGATGATGACTATGCATTGATATCAATTTTTATGTGAATTGCACTCTATTTTAATAAAAATAAACAAGTAAATAAAAATAAAAAGAAGAATTAGAAAAAGTTGGGATGCTTTTCTGAGTCAATTCAAGGGTGGTAGTGGAACTCAAAAAGCTAACGAAGAGTTGAAGCAGACAAGAAAAATCAGATTCTTGACCCTACTAATTTGCATTTTTGGTAACAAATTAAAGAAAGATATATAGATCCCCAATAAAATAAAATGATCATAGCTGGTCCACCATACCCTAACTCAAAAGTGGAAATTGCCACTGCCAATTTCCATAACTAGAGAAAGGAATATTGAGAACCATATGCATAAGATGATAATTACTATGATGGGCTATGGTGATGTTGCAAAAGAAAGGAAAAGTGCTATTGGCATTAATGTCTAGCCATGTCTATGTGATTCGTTTCCCATTACAGAAATTAAAATGGGGTATGTGATTAATGACAATACCTAGTGTCTTAACTATATAAAAAGATAGAAATTAAACGTCAAAATCAACCTTTTTATATTTGTTTACAGCAGATACATAAAGTTTTCTGTGATTAATAAAGGAAAAAAGAAAAAGGGCAAGTGTTAAACGTAAAGTTTTTTGTAGTTTTGCCCAGGATTTATGCATGTGTGTTTGTTTTTATTCTTTGATTTTGGATAATCTTTAGGGTTGTTATATAATTAAGGTAAGCAAATGAAATCAAAATATGTTGGATTAATTAGTAGGCATGCATGTAGTCAACTAATTAATAATTACTACCTCACAGCAATCTTTCTTCTGTCACGTACAAGGAGTTGGGTTCTTGAATCGATGTACGCAACGAAGAAGGTCAAAACGATGTCCACAGCAAAAAATAGGTCAACAATGCTGTCTGCGATGTATAGTGCACTATATGGAGAGGAGTTCAGAAATGCAACTTCAAAAGGGTAAACCCACAAGGAATAAGCTACCAAAACCACCATAAATGTCTCCCAACACCTGCATACACACACACGAATAAATCTTTAATTAAACACATAATAACTCATAGTCATCACTCTAATTAATTTAATTCAACATTTGTTAAAAAAAAAATACGCTGTCTCAAGGCTTTATTGAGATTAACTAGTAAAATGCCTAGAATCGGGAGCGATCTTAGAAATCAATAGCGACGCTTAAAAAATCTCAATATTGTATTCATTTAGAAGAAAACAAAAATTACATTTTTATTATAGTCTTACAGAACGATACGTTCGTAATTATATATATATATATATATATATATATACATACACACATGATTGACATGTATATAAGTGGTACAATATTATTTATTATGCAAACCCACAAAAAAAAAAGCTCTAAATTATAAATACAAAAACACAAAATATCTCAATGAATATACTTTAACTACCATTAAGCAAAATTATGCTAATCGACAGTTGGTGTTGCTGCCAACAATTGTTGTTTAGTCAAGTAAATTATAAATTAATACTTTTATATTAAAAAAAAGAATTAATTATTTCTATTTATTTTAAAAATTAATTATTTAATCTCTTTATCACTATTTACTATGTTTAATTTAATATTAATTTATTTTTTTAAAAAAATAATTTTTTCACCAACCCTTTCATAATTTTTTATTTTTTTTCTATTTCTTAAAATAAAATATCAAAATAAATTTAAAAAATTAAGTTACAAAAAAATTGAAAGATATAAAAACTAAATAATTATTTTTTGAAACATTAGAGGTTAATTGCTTGTTTTTTAAAAATAAAGGTACTAATTTATAATTTACTTGTGTTTAGTCCTGACATTCTCAACTTTATCAAAAGAAAACGAGGGAATATCATAATCATAAGGTGATAGCTCACTAATAAAAAAGCGTTGACTTGTAAATTAAGTCTGGAATTTAATCTTGTGCCTAATATTTTTAAAAATTTATTCTAAGAATACGAAAGATAATACATTGGGAAGTGGACCCTTAATGTTTTTGTTTGCACTGGCTAAGTAAAATTCAATCAAGATCTTGGCATTTTGTTATGCATTTAGGTAGTACTAACATAGTTAAGATTGATTAAGGGATCAAAATCTCAGGCTACAATAAATGAATTCAAGAAAAAGGGTTATTACTTCGGCTTCTGGTAAAGAAAAACATAAACCCAGAGTTGCCGACATCTAGTACAGGTACTTAATCAATCATTAAACCATAATAATTACCACTCTAATTAAGGAGATTTAAGAATTTTATTTAATCATGTTCTTTACATGTTCAGTTAACAGAATTTATATAGATTAATCAGGTTGATGCTCACACTTCCATGTACACATGGCTTGACTAAAGCTCATGGCAAGGGCATGGGCATGAACACTTTCTGACTACCCTCAACATGTAACATCTTCAGCAAGTATGCTTTTCATGCACCACCCCACTAATTTCAGTTTCTTTATTTTTACCACTTCAAAAAAAAAAAAGTAAGAAAAAAGAACACACACCTGCTCCTATCCGATAGAGTTTGATTTTTTTATTTTCTTCATCCTTCTGTATAACTCTCAATGATATTTGAAAAATTACGAATCTTATATTATTATAATATTAAAATAACATAACAGAATACTCCAAAATATATACATATATATATATTCATTGGTTTTGTTGCTTTAATATCATATCATCTATAGAGTAATTAATATCACCATGGAAAATTAAAAATTAAAAAGATACATATATAGAAGCAACATATAGTAATTTGTATTACCTGTATCTTGAGTCCATAGGAGAGATTACCGAGCCTTTGGACTGTATAGGATTCTGGTTAAAGCTCGAAACACCCAAAGGTGGAAGAATAATCTTTGACAAGCTTGAAAGTGAAGTAGAAGTGGAGTCATCTTCTTTTTTGTGTGGGAACGTTTCAGACTCATGAGCATGTTCATGGTAGTTTCTGCAAGCACTCCTCTTCATGCTAGAAGTAAGATGAAGATTGTATGGAGTGAAGTTCGTTTCCATTTTTCTCTATTTACAAATCAAGATGTCTCTCTAACTGATGAGAGGGTAAAAGAAGACGATGTCGGAGGAGTATAGAAGTGCAAAGAGAGAGGCAGAGAACGCTGCTGAAGTATTATTATTATTAGCAGGAAGCAAAGAGAGAAAAGGTAAGGCCAAAAAGAAAGTGAGAGTTGCCTTCATGATATTATTACGGTGTGCAATGGCAGGTAGGGGACCTCTACACTAATTCCCCTGCATTGATTAACTGATAGTACGTTATAACTTGATAAGATCTTAGATCTTGAGTAGAAATTGTGGGGTGCGCAAATATTTGGCCTTGTGTGTGGGGGTGCCACCACCATCCTCTGCCTCCAATATAATTCCAAATAATTATTATATGTTACATCAATTTGTCACGTATATATTTACAAATGATGGGATGTAATATCAGGAAGGATATGACCCAACTGCTGATCTACTACTCTACATGTGGCCACAAAGATTTCCAATAACCAGCATTAGTTGTTATTGGAATATTGCAATTTCTTTTGATTGTCAGTTTTTTTTTTTTTTTAATTCGTTGAGAGGTTTATAAGCTTTAAGTTATTGAAATATTGCAATTTCTTATGATTATTGGCTTTTTTTTCAATAATAAAAGTATCTTTAGATTAGTTTTCGCCATGTCAAAATTAATTTTTTTCTAGACATAAATAAAATACATTCTTTAACTTTCAATCTCATGCATTTTTAAAATAAATTCTCTAAGAATACGGATTACAAAGATCAAATTTTAAACATAATTTAAAAATAATCTTTTCTATTATATAGTCGTTAAAAAAAATTAATTATTAATATTCAACTTTTGTTTAATTTACTAAAAAAAACTTATCTGCATAAATAATCGTTACAATAGATTTACTTGTATTTTACTTATGGAGGTTTTTTAGTTGCATTTTTATAAATTGCATGTGTTTTACTTCATTAATAATGTATCTGACTCGGATGATATAATGATAAATACATTCTAATATTTTATTTATTCATAAACAGGTTTTTTTAGTTGTAAAAGTGAGGTTTGAATCTGAATTTTTTTAAAAAAAAGAAGGTCATCAATACCAACATCGATTAATTATCCTTATTGAAACTCTTACAAAGACTTCCATATTTATTTTAAAAAAGAAAAATAGTTTTTTTTTTTATTGGCAAGGATAAAAACGCCATAAAAAAAAAGGTATCACATTTTTTCTTTTATTGGTTTCCAGCTAATGATATCATCAACTTTCCCCATATATATATATATATATAGACACTTTTCTAATATAAACCAACTAAAAGGTAGATTTAAATTGGAGAAAAGGTACCTTTTGTCCAATTTAAATCTACCTTTTAGTTGGTTTATGTTAGAAATTTTGGTTTTTGTTGAGATAAACATAATGCGGCTTTTGAAAAAAGATTTCTCCTAATTCTTTCTCCTCTGACTCGTTGCCCCGCCCTTGAGATAAACCCCAAACACCATAATTGATTACTTTATTCCTGATGTGGAGAACTCAACGATTAACTTTTTTCAAGGAGACACTTTTAGGTTCTCCGAACCATTCAATTGTAGAATTATGGAAGCAGGTATTGATCCCCAGTGTTATTGTTATCGGATTTAAAGATGACAATAGCCCAAACACTCATTGATGTTGAGTTGAGCAAATCGTGGCAGAGAGCTTTGATTTAAGTTGCTTGGCAAAACTAATCGCTATGAGTATTTTTGGTCCAAAGTGAATCATTTGTGAATGCCAAAAGGAGCGTTAGACTTCATGGATTTGGGATCGGATTACTATCTCGTCAAGTTTATGGTGGATAAAGACAGGGAGATGGCGATGCCAGGACGGCCATGAGTAATCCAGGGCCATTATTTGTTAATGGGACGCTGGTATCATGATTTTTTTCCTTCTGAATCCAAATTAGGTTCCACTTTAGTTTGGTTTCATGTTTTTGAAGTCCCTCTTTCTTTCTACAATGAGCATGTTCTGCTTGCTATTGCTTCATGCATTAGGAAGCGTATGAAAAATCACGGATTCGATTTTTTTTTTTTTTTTCATAACGAAACAGAGACTGGAGGCCTCTTGGAATTGAGACAGACAGTCATTAGCAAAAGTAGTTCTGTTTCTGCCAATGAACTGTAATTTCAACTGATCATTTCACGAAACCGAAACTTACAAGAAATAACTAAACACCGTTCATCTCAGACTCATACATAAATTTTAGATGCAAGTAATTACATACAAATACTAAAAAATAGATTTCAAATTTCGTTAATTTAAAAAATATAAAAAATTAAATAAAATTAAGATATCCTCTCATAAATTTTTATTAATAAAAAAAATTACTTTTTTTTGCTTCTAAGTCATGCATAGATAGAAAATTCAACCTAAAACCCTAAACCAACTCAAAAAAAAAAAAAACAAAAACAAAATTCAAAAGTAAAGAAAAAATCTCAAAAAACAATAAAGGTCAATTTTGAGGATCTAAATAGTTTCTTTTTTTTTGTCAAAATCATTCTTACATCACGACGAAGCGATGAATTTGTCTCGTTGGATCGTTTGGCATCGAACTAGATTAAAAAAAACTTTAAAATTGAATTCACAATTTTTTCAACTTTTGATATGCTCATTCTGTTCTATAAATTTTAAAACTCGTTGAACCGCATCATTATTGTATCTTCTCTATTCTTAATAGATTTTTTTTTATCTTGATAGATTTCAAAAAGAAAGAAATAGATTGTTTATCTGCTCGTTCATTTGATTTGTCATTTATCAAACAACGCCGCGTGATTGCCGTGTGGGAACGAGTCGAGGACAACCACACTTCGCCAAAGGATACGCGCAAATTGCATATTCAAATAGGCTCTTGCTTTGTCTGCCCAAATGTCTACGAGAATGGTCCACTTCATCCTCCTCTACCTGGATCCTTCAGTAATAAAAGTTGAGTCTTTCATTTTGTCTTAATTGGAACATCATTTGCACCTCAACAAGATGATTTGGGGGGCTTCAATTCCCTCCTTTCTTACTAGAATGATTCTATCTATCAAGTATATCGTTTTCTTCACCTGCCATGGATCCGACAACTACAAGCTTCCAACATGAGATGGAACCTTTCTAGAATCGCCTAGTATGAATTATAGACACGAATATGAATATAAATACAGATCCGACGATACAGTAATTTAAAAAAAAATTAGAATCCGACACGTAGAAGATTAATCTAGAATTACTTAGAAATTAAATCGGGTGACTTTTCTTCCTAGATCTTGTTCTTGTTCTTTTTCTTTTTTGCTTGATTAGCCAACCCATAGGATTTTGCTTGATTTTCACGTCTAGCTTTATATATATATATACATTCTTAATCCATGAGGAAAAAAAGCTTTATTTGAATGTAACCAGTGTTATATATATATATACACACACGCACACACACACACACGCGAAGATAAAAAGGTATTATCTATCAATCGAGATTAAATTCATCACTTTCTAAATTAAATCAGCATTAATACATGTTTAGTTTTTGATTGATTACTGAACTCTTTCTTAAACCAAATGAGCTCAAATCCGATACTATTAAAAAATAATTATCGCTAATTATCCGTGAGTAATGAAAAATTACATCTTGATTTTGGTCAAATTAAAATAATCTCCTTATTGTTAGACTACATTCCTTGTTGGTGGATGTAAACAAATATTATTTTCAAAAAAAATAATAAAATAAAACAATAATTAAGAATTTCAACTATTATTTTTAAGGTGTTGCTAAATTCATCAATCAAATTGTCATTCTTATTATTTTTTGTCAAAATATTATCAATACATCTTCTACTAATATTTATTATATAATAATTATTGGTAATTAATGAAAGATGTGTTGATAATTGTCTAAAAAAAAAATAATAATTTAATTGATAAATTTAATAATATCTTATTTTCCAAGTAAGTATTGATAGTCTCTTCAATTAGACTCCACTGTTTTTTCTTTCACCTAACAGGGGTCGTGGAAATTTACTTTTATTAAGAATTCCAGAATACTTTTTTTTTTTTTCAATTGTTCCAATAGTGCTTTTGTTTTTTCATTCTCTGACTAAGTAAATTTCATAAATCCTCCTCTATTTTGAAGATGGTTTTACTTTGCTACCTCAACTTTAGAAACTTTGCATGTTCCCTCCTCTATTTCAGGTTAGGTGCAAATTGCAACCTGTTTTGAATAGTCGTTAGTTAAAGTTAAGCAATAATTGGTTTTTCTTTTTTCTTTTTTTCAATCAATAATTGATGCTCTCATTGGTCTTAGTCATCCTCTCTCTGTCTCAGGTCCCTTCGAAGATAGATCCAATTACGAGTGAAACTAGAGATTCCTGTCTTTTTTTCTACGCTTTTTCTATTACCATGTGGAAAGAAAGGCTACTAATGTAGCAAGTTAGGACTACTAAGTCTATTACAATTATTGCATATTTAAGTTTCTTGTAGTTATTTTCGGAAAAAAAATATTAAATTTTAATTTTAATATAAATACATTATGTATTTGATCAAAGAGTGGCACTAAAAATTGTATTTTTAACGTGAAAAGCCTAGGGTAGCTAACTTATCTACCTTACTATTTTTTTAAAAAATTATAGGTTGAAACGATAGATTTAAATAACAAATGTTATGCTATCTAACGATTATCATATAACGAGTTTTAAAATATTTTATGATTATAATAAATTATGATCTACAATAACGATCGTGCCCTTTTTTCGATAGTGTGCAATTTAAAATTATGATTAGAATTGGATAGCTAAGGAGGCTAGACTAGGGATGTTAATGGGGCGGGGCGGGGACGAAGATCACCATCCCCATCCCCGCCCCGTGCCCCGAACAAGACAAAATTTCCTATACCATCCCTGTCCCAAACGGAGACGGGGATCCCCGCGAGGTCAAGGAGGCGTAAACGGGGTAATTTTTTTTTCTTATTTTATCCAATTCTACTATCAAATTTTAAATTATAGCAAAAAAATGATAATTTATACGGAAAATAAACCCTAAAAGTCACTAATTATAGATTTTATATAAGGTATAATTATAATTTTAATGAAAAAAAAAAAATGAGGGCAAACGAGGTGGGGCAAGCAAATCTCATCCCCATCCCGTCCCCGCTCGCAGGGCGCCCCAATCCATCCCGTTCCTTAGTTAACGCGAGGAATTCCCGCATTAACCAAGAAAAATTAACGCGGGGCGAGGCAGGGCTCCGTTAAGATGGGACAAATTGCCATCCCTAAGCTAGATTGGGAGTTTGTCCTCTTTCTTGGTAGGGACTGGCCCCTAGCAACTATGTAATCTGACTTCAAGAGATTGTCTGTGATTTGGGGTATACTAGTGAATGAAATCCATTTTTTTCCCCTTAAAAAAAAAATAATAATGAAATATGGCCATCCCTAGTCCATACATAATTTTAACAATCGAAAACAACAATGTATGGGCGCAATCTGAAATCTGAATCCTGTATATTAAAGCAAGCATATCAACGGCAACAAAAGCAGAGATTTTCCTTTCGGTTATGTCCACCTGCAAGTACTGCATTCGGGGCCAAGGCCAAAACCCAGAAGGCAAGGAAGGATGGCCCCAGAGCTTTGATTGCGAGAACTTCCACAGCCACGTTTGTTACATGATAGGGACAAAGCGGTATTCTCCACTTTCTATTTCTTGATGAAGCTTCCTGAAAAAGAGTAAATTATAAATCACTCTTTTTATTTTTAAAAAACAAATTAGTTAGCCTTAAAAAAAAAACTAATTATTTAATCATTTATTAAATATAAAATAATGCCATCGTTTTTCATATGTCCTCCTAAAAGAACCAAATAGATTATATTCTCTTCTCAGTCATAGTCTCATAGATACTACTATTATATTGATTACATTAATTAATTAGTATTATCTTATTTGATTTTGGTTGAAAAAAGAGGAAAAAAAACCTATAATTTGTTTTGAGGATGATTTATATTTGAAAGAGAGAGAGGGAATGATAGTAATAAATAAATCAATTTTTATTTTCTTAAAATTATTAAAAAATTTGTGAGAATATAAAAAGGGTTGAGATTGAGTTATATTCCGATTATGCCCATCACTAAAAATATTTTGATTGTTCCACGTATAAAAAATAATTAATAAATTAAGTATTTTTTTATTAGTTGTTATTGTATTGTCTACAAAACAGAAAATAAATGAATAATTTTTTTTTTTTGGTCAGTTGCTACAAAATAGGAATTTTAAAAGACTTTTATGTGTACAAGGTAGGATATTTCCTATTAGAATTGGAAAAAAATTATCTTTACACGCTGGCTCCTCTTGATAAGAAGCAAGAGGCCCTACCACTTGAGCTAAAAGCCCGTTAATTATTAATTTACTATCCGAGAGGGATGCATTTTGACTCAAAAGTCTAGGACTTAGACTGTTAAATTCAAATTAATTATTTACCGTCTCTAAAATTTAATAAATCAAATAAAAAACAAAAGCTAAAAAACTTGTGGAGTCGATCATTATCATATTTTTTCTTAAATCCACATTAACATTAATGATAAATGAAAAGTGATTTTAACAACATATTTATCTTTTTCCTGTGTGGATTTAGTGTTTTCCTTTACCTGCCTTTCAAAAACAACATTTTTTTTTTTTTGTTAAAATATTTGGTTAAATTATATTATTCATAAAAGTAACATAGTAATTAACATTAATAACTGACTTTCTTTCTCCTAAGAAAACTTATAATATAGGATGGTTAGATACATAAAGGCTTCTAAGAAAGAAAAAGGGGTTAAAGGATGAAGTTAAATTAATTGCTTTAGAATAATGTCAAGAAATTAATAGTGCTACAATTTTCAAGTAAGTTACATTTTCTCTTTATATATAGTTTTTTACATTTTGAAAAACATTCTATAAAAAGAAAAGAACAAAATTAAGAAAAAACAACGTAAATCATAACTACTAGTTAATGATAAATTAGAAAGAAGTTAGTAAGACATATCATATTATATAAGAAATTTTGTTGAACAACGGACCAATTAAATTAAAAAACAATAATGTTTACCACATTATATATATAATAAGTTATTGGTTTAGTGGTAAGTGAATTGATTTCAATACAAATTTCTTTTGGATCTATAAAAGTCGAATCTTGAAATCTTATTTGTTGAAAAAAGTTAAATTTTATTACTCCCGCTCCAAATATGATTAGTTTTATCTCTAATGTAAGATATAAATACCTATAAAAAAAAATTATCCTTTCACTTATCGCGAAGAATACGAGAATAAAGTAAAAAGGAAGCATTATCAGGTAAAACAAAAATCAAAGAACATAAAAAACAGAGAAAAGAAAAAGGGACATTTAAATAATTAAATAAATAATCAACCAAAGATCTCTCATGTTTCCGTCACTAAACTTCAAGTCCAAGTTATTCTACATAATTCTAGATCTGATGCTATTGCTTTTTGTTTCTAGCTTGCATTTCTTCCATAAATAGGGCAATAAGTTGCTGAGAAATGGACTGCATATAGCGGCAAACAAGCTGAGGCAGTCAGGAATAGGATTATGATCCATGCTAATTACAAGCTATTGTCTTCTAAGGAGTAAGCAGTGACTGCATTTGTTTTATTTTCCTGAGGAGGAGAGAAACAAATGGCCTATGTCACTGGTTATTCCTTAGGAGACGATGACTTGTGGTTGACACTTTCTCTTGGTTCAAATGGAAGCTAGCTGCTGTCTGCATGCAAACTCTTTGAACAAGTTTTTTTCTTTTTTTCTTTTTTGCCTATAAAATCTTTACAAAAAATCGCAATATGTACAGGCTAGCCTCTTTCTCAATGTGTGTGTGTTTGATATTGTTAAATATTCCACTAGCTTGACCAATATCCTTACTAATTAATTGGAGTAAATTTTTTATATAATAGCCTGAATCTCAAATTTCGTTCTATATTTTGATTTATATTAAATAATATTTAAATCTTCAATTTGTTAATCTGATCATTTTTTTTATAGAATTTTTACGATCGAAATCCCTCTCGATTGAAATAAAAAAAAATCTAAATATTTTAAAAATATAACATGCACATCATGCATGCGTGTTTAAGTTTTTTTTTTTTTTTTTTTCCTCGTATTTCAATCAGGAAAATTTCGTTCAAAAGCTTTACTATCTAACTGCTTTATGTGACCCAACACATCAAAAATCAGCAACCAGCCTCTGGAACTAGAATTGTGTGCTTTTTTGCCTATAAACAATTACAAAATTTGTCAAATGTTGACTTACAACATGGTCTCAGTTCCTTTTTCCAAGATATTTATTCTTAGATAAATGTTGTTTATATTTTATATTTTGATGAGAGACTATTTGCCTATAAACATGACAAATTCATCTGACATTATCCAATTCAGTTGGGCTGGATTATACAATATTTAAAGTAAAAAAAATCTTTTTTTTTATTTTAATATGTAAATAACAATATTATATTAAAAATCAATCAAAATTTATAACTTTACTTTATAATTGAAGATTAATTTATAATTATGAACATATGATAATTAATTATGAGAGAAGATGAAATAAACCCTTCCTGTGTGACAGAAGAAAAGGGGTTTCAGGGAGATTTTAGGCTACGATACAGTTTCAGGCTTTTAGGATTTGGGCCTAATTAATTGTCCATTAAACTTTTTCTTGGGCTCTACCTAGGGATTGTCAAACATCGGCTAGTTAAGACTTAAAAGCTTAAGAACAGAGTATGGATTGCTGATGATACAGAGCATGAACCACAGCTCCGAGAAAAAGGAAAGTGAAACCTGCAGATTCTCTCTCTCTCTCTCTCTCTCTCTCTCTCTCTCTCTCTTTCTCATGTATTAGATTATGAAATGTAAATCTTTTGAAACTGATGTAAATGCTATTTGCTATACGTGCAGTCCACAAAGACTCCTCTGAGTCCTTCATATTCCCATGCACATGCTCTCATCCGATTCTCTCCTTCAAGTACAATACACCGAACAGAGGCAGAATTTGCTTAAGGATTATGCCTTGAGTGCCTCGACAGCATGGGGATTCCATTCACAAGCATAAACCAGTTTTGCTCTGGCCCTACTCATCACATCATTAAAACTCAAAAATCAAATACAAACAAAAGTGAAACGGTGAAAAGTAAGCTTTGTAATTCGGTGGTAGACTGGAACTAAACTGTAAGACAATGCACCACCATTTACTGAATAACTTCCACCACCGGATTGAGAATAAACTTAAGAGGTGTTCAAGGGATATTACAATAGAGAATCCTGGTCTTTCCAATTTCTGTCAACATTGGAACTTTTGTAGCTCCTCATGAGGATTTGTTTTGCTTTGTCTATAATTGACTCTTTGGAACAGGGTGTATCCTTTGCTTTTAATCAATGAATATCTTCATCCATAAAAAAAGGCAAAAAAGGAAAAAGAAAACTAATCATAGCGTCCATTCATTTCACATCACATCACAGGAACATGTCCAACAAGGTGTAGAAACTAGAAGTCAATGGGCGGCCAAGATTTAATTTTTTATTAAGTAAATAGGTCAATCATTGGTTGTATAATAATTTCTTTATATAATAATTTGAATGTTCAATTTATTTTTAAGTTTTTAATTTTATTTATTATTTTTAAAATAATATTTAAATTTTTAATTTATTTTTCTGAGCATGTACAAAATTTTTGAACTAAATACTTCTAATTGAAATGTCAAAAAAAAAAAACTAAAAACTTAAAAAATAGAACATGCAAGCCATATAACGTTACTTGAGTTTTTTATATATTTTTTAATTTGAGAAATTTCGATAAAAGAATTATCCATCATCCAAAGGGCATATTGGACTTCACTTTTCTTTTTCTTTTTTTGGTAATATTTTCAAACTTTTCATGGCCATCATTGTAATTTAATTTCTTTTGAATTACATTTTTAAAATCAGGATATCTATTAACAATCATATTAATATTATTTAGGATTAGATTAAGATAAATCCATATATAATTTACCTAATAAATCGATAAACTGATGTGGATAGCAACCGAGACAGAATCTCTTAAATGTAAACCAAATCCATTTAACTGTGGTTAATACCTTGGGCCAAGGATCCTTTAATGACAATACGCCCACTATCCACAGGACGCTTCTCGTAAACTGGGCGGGCCTACATTCAGAGCTTGCAGAAAAAGCCGTTTTCTTTTCTCAATTGATGGAGCCCACTGGGCCCCCACCACGACTACCGTTTTTATGGTAGGCATGAATTCCGCTGAGAGTCTTCTAGCTAATGAAACACGTGTTTTTGGCGGATGCAATCCAGCCAAGGAAACATCTCCTACACCACGCACCATGGAGATCAGGCTGATGTAACCACCTTTTCTTTGACACGTCGCAGTGTTAGACTGTTCTAGGAGCTCTCCCTTAGGTTCGGTGCCGAAAATGCTGATAGACACGTGAGTGTTGCTGAGAAAGAGTGCGGTATCGTTACGTACTCGCGAGCGTGAGGGAGAACTCTCCTGAATTTGCTCGTGTTTGTAAGAGGACGACAGACGTGGCAAAGTCCGGTGACAGGACGAGTAGCCGTCACTGCCAAGCGTCACGTCTTCTTTTTTGCAGCCTCCCGAAGTTATTGAAAATAATATCAATTTAAAATATTATCCCTATATTTTATTTAACTGAACTTATTGTCCCCAAAACTGTATGAGTAAATTATAAATGAGCCTGTCTATTTTCAATAAACAAGATAATTAGTTTTTTTATTTTAAAATTATTTTTATTTAATTTTTTAATCAGTATTAGCCATTAAGGTTAATAAAATTATTTATTTTGGCTTTTGACCCTATTAAAAATAAATTAAAAAATAACTCCATTTTTCAAACAATAGCTGAAAAACCTCTAATATATCAATAATTATTAAAAAAAATATTGAAATTGAATATCAAGCATCGTAAACAATTTTCTTTTTGAAAGGTGAAGTCATATTTTCAAGCTAATTTTTTATCTATATGATTCATTCAAAGACTATTTACACTAAGTTATAAATTATTTTTAAAAAATTAAATCCTAAAAATCAAGGAGTAAGTAGTCTGAGTTATCCATAACATCATAGCCCTACTCTTGTTCTTGAAGATAACGTACCTGTCGATGACAAAATATTAACTGGCGTTGTTTCACTTTCTTAATGAACAATGCCAAACCTACTCCAAGAAACCATGAAACCTAACACTTATGGGGTTGAAAAATGCGAGCGATGAGTTGTTTACCACCATCAATGAATTTGTAGTTTAGTAGCCATGATTTATTACAAGAGGTCATGAGTTAAAATTGTAATAAATTGATTATATTAAGAGTCTTAAGTACATAAATTAAAAAAAAAAAAAAAAACTGTTTTTCAGCATGGGCTTTATATACATATATAATTAATTTTATAAACTGAATCATCGATATTTATTAATTTTATAATAATTATAATTTGCATGGAAATAAAAATCATTTTAGAGTATATGTGTATATAATACATTCTACATTCTATATGTATGTTAAATTTAAATTCTTAATGCTTATCTTTTTTCTTTTTATTTTTTATTTTTTATTTTTACACGCAAATGGCATAAGTATCAAAAATACATTAAGTAAGAGCATCCACCGCTCTGTATTTCATCTACTTAAGTTGAATTATATATATTAATTACATGTTAAAATGGATTTTATTTTTATTTTTATTTTCATATATATTTTTTCGTTTTGATAAATCAAATAAAACATATTTATTTTAATAAGATTGTACATCGGTAAATATTAATCAATTTAAATAGATTGAGTGCCAAATTATAGATACTTCGAAAATACTGAAGATATTCCCACGTAAGTATCCATTTCATTCTTTTATTTATTTTGATAAATCACATAAATTAATTCTACTAACACGAGTTCTTATTCTTACCAACCCAACTTTTTGAGCAGAGGACAAAACTATTTGGATAAGTTGGATCAATGAGGCTGCTATACCACTTACTAGAAAAACAGCAGCAGCCATGCCGGAATCTTGGTCTGCACCCTGCACGACAACTTCCAACCACCACCGAACCCACCAAGAACGAGTGGCCAACTTGCTTTTGTTCGCGTCCTTAGAACCATTTGCTCATCCCAAGCCTGTTACCATCAGCAGTCAAGATTGACAGCGCACCCATGTACATTCTACAACGACTAGGGTTTTAAATCACTTTTTTTTTTCGTAGCTTCAATGTAACACAAGTATGTGATGGAATTTTTCTAGATATATGTGGATGTAAAATAATATTCTTTATTAAATATTGAATATTTTATTTAATATCCATTTTGAGTAAAAATAAAAAAGAAATATAAACCGCAAAAACGCTGAAAATAAAATAGCAGAAAAGGCAAGCAAGAACAAAGTAACCTTGGTTACTTGTTAGCAAAGGTATAAAGAAGGCAGATGGTTTTAGAAAGCACGGAAAGTATAGGTGAGAAAGAAGTTATATAATTTTGATTTCTTAAGTAATTGATAACGGAAGAGAAGTGGGTTGATCCATCCGATTTCAACTATCCCATTAATCAATTGATTGACCACTAAAACTTCCACTCTACTTTGCATAACAAAGAAGCTAAGAAAGCATGGAATTATTACTTGTGTGATGTCTAGTTAATACATTTTTTATTCTAAAAAAATTATTTATTTTTTTCTTAAATATATAAAAAAAACTGTCTTTATATAATAATCAATAATTTTTTTAATTTATGTAAAATGTTAAAGAAAATAATCTTTTAAAACAAAAGAAGTAGACCACAGAGAAAAAATATTTATTGAATCTGTTAACTTTTTCGTCTTAAAAAATTAATTATTATTTATTTATATCTGTTATATATATATATATATATATATATATATATATATATATATATAATGATTAATACTTTTTTAATTTTTGTAAAAAATAAAAGATAAAATAATCTCTATAGAACAAATGAAGGTTTTTTTTTTTAAAAAAAGAATAAAGATGATAAATTCAACTCAATATTGCATTTGTAGATTTAAAAACGGTTTAGTTACACATCTAATCTATCCTAGATTTTGGAACATAACAATTCAAGGACGCATCTCTCTATTTTTTTTTTTTTTTAATATCATTGTCAAATGTTAATAAAAAAAATAAGATTTTTGCTTTTTGAAAGGAAATAATAATTAATTGATTTTAATTGCAACGATCATGATGGCATCCACAAAGCACGACTAGTCTCCTTTGGCCGCCTGTGACTCATTCATTTGCTTAATTACGTCTCGAATCAAAAGGATGTGTACTCGCCTTTTCTTATGGGTTGAATCTCTTAAAAGCATGATTCATCGAGAATCAAATTGCCATTAAATATATACTAATTAATTAAAGACGAAATTATAATACATGAATCGTTGTTAATTATTGGAATACTGGACAATAAAATAAAAATAAAAAAAGAGAGAACCCAACAGAGCACTTAATGGCATGGTATTAATTTTCAAATTATTATTATCATGCTCCTGAAAGTGAAGTGAATGGCATGGAATCATTGATACATATTCTTTGCTAATTAGTACCTTTTTTTTTAGTGTTACAAAATGGGAGGCAGGTAAACATGACATACAAATGTGTTTTAACATGTATGTATGTTAAAAAAACAATACAAATTATATTTAAAATTTCATATAATATATTACAAATAATTTAAAATAATTTTTATATGATATCAAAGTCTGATTATCAAACAATAATGAGTTCAAAATTTATTATTATTTTTTACTTAAATAAGTATATTAAAGAGTAATATAAACCATGCATGTAGAATTTCAATAAATTTAAATTTTATTATTTTTATTTAAAAAATTATTAAAAAGTAATATAAACCATATCGTATGAAATTTTATTTAAAAATTTAAATGTTTGAATTAAAATAATTTTTAGATGATATATATTTAGAGAATTCTATGTCCCAGTCTATATAAAAAATTAATTACATTTGATAATATATTTGAATATACTCATCGAGTTGATGTCTTTTCTAATGTTTTCAAATGATTTAATATGCTATGTCAAAATTATATAAAAGAAAACTCCAATCACTTACACCATATTAACAATCATATATTAAGAATACTTCCATAAATTAAAACATAAAAAATAAAGCTATCGTTAATCAAAAGCTATAAATTTCGAACCACCTATGTAGTGACAATAATTCTTGTCATTTTTACAATTATGTAATGCGGATATACCTAAACATCAAAATAAAATAAAACTAATTGCAATCATATAATAAATATAGAATAAATTATAAATTAGTTCCACTGGTTTTGTAAAATAAATTAAATAGTTTCTTTAGTTTTAAAAATTAATTACATAGTTTTTTCATTTACTTTTTATCATTTCTCAATTCATTTTTTAACAAATAAAAAATAAATGTTATAAAAAAATTGATGAAAAAAGAAATAAAAGATGATTTAATTCGTTTTGAAAAAAAATGGGACTAATTTATAATTTATTCATAAATATACATGTCAGGTGTAAAAAAGAAAACGAAAAGAGAGCCGTTGAGAAGTAAATGACGTGGCAGAAAATACGCAGAGGAGATGGCAACGATAAGTAGAAGAGGGAGTAGTAGTAAGATAAACCCACATAACGCAACCTAAATCATTACACGCGCTTTGCATTTCTTCTTTCTCTTCTCTCTCTCTCAAAAAAAAAAAAAAAAAATCAAGAAAGAATCGACGCAAGCTTTGCCGTTTGATTTTTTATTGTACATATACGTAGATTAAACCAGAAATTAATCGAGAAAGAAAAAAAGAAAGAGAGAGGGCGAATAATCATCCTCATTTACTGCTGCTGCTGCTTTCATTGTAAATTATGGCTACTGGAGTAGAATCATCACCGTCGTCATCGCCGTCGCCGGAGAAAGGGGTGGTGGCTGGTGGAATTGCGCTGGATTTTCCTGCGAGTGAAACGGTATCGTTTTCGTCTCTGCGGAAAATTCCGAGAAAGATTGAGAAAAGGCTCCTAGAAACCAAGACTCCAACAAGTAGGAGTGTTGAAGAAATCGAAGCTAAACTTCGCCACGCTCATATCCGTAGACAGGTTCTTTTCTTATTAGTTTTCCTTTTTGTAATCTATTTTTATTTAACTTTTGCCTTTTATTTTCATGATCAAAGAGAGAAGCCTTTTAATTTTTGCATAAATTCATACCGATAATTATTTTATTCTCTTTTGATCGATGATTGATTGTCATAGTTATTATCTGTTTTTTTTTTTTTGGTTGTTCAAGTCATGAAGAAGCATTTAATTACCATTTTTTTAATTTTTAATTTATTTTTTTACTACTGAATTAGAGAATGAAAACTTTTATCTTTGGTGTAGAATAATTTTTTTTGGGTGTCAGAATTCTGGACTAAAGAAGAATTGTTAATAAAAAAAAAAATCATCCTTGCCTGTTGATTGGTGTCAGAGAAGAACTTTGTTTCGAACTGTAATTCTGTAATGAACTCGAATATTTTCTCTTCTTTTCGATTGAATTCTTTCTTGGCAACCAAGAATTGTTATGATTTTCTTGTTTTAGATACCAAGTTTTATTTTTTTTAAAAAAAAAAATTCGCAACTTTTTCTGTCACAGTTTATACTTTCTCGCTCTTTTAGATTTAAAAAATTGAAGTGTTTTTATTTATTTATTTACCTTTTCCTTGGTGGTAGGTACGTGGTGGGCGGTTTGCTGCTTTTTCCTATTTTGGGTACTTGTTTATTAGCTTGTGGGTTTTCTTTCACATGGTTAATCTAAAATATGTTTTAATAGTTTTGGATAATAATCTCTTCCTCTCTACTAAGTTTTATTTGGTGATGTGGTGATTTTATTATTAGTCAGTTGTGTTTTTAATGATCTTCTGTGGAAAAGTTTTTCCGTTTCTTTTTGGTTACTCAATTCCTCGGTGGAATCATTTTTGAATATTTGTTTCTTTAAAGAAATGTGGATTATACAACACTTTGCATGTGAATTTAACTTTGACACAATTTTGGCCGCTTCTTCGAGTGCAGCAATTCTATGAGAAGTTGTCGAGCAAGGCTCGGCCAAAACCAAGAAGCCCCTCACAGTGTTCATCTCATGAAGAAGACCTCGGCCAACGCCTTGAAGCAAAGCTTTATGCTGCGGAGCAAAAAAGGTTAGGCTTTATTAGTTCTGATTATGCCAAAAATTTTGATGGATTATTGACTTGTTATTGACTGGGTTCTTGATGTTTAAACGAATGGTTTCTGTATTAAAAGCCTGGTGGTTTGGAATGATATACATGTGATCATTAAGCATCGCCATTAGTTGGCATAGATTTTGTTGATTTATCATTTACTTCAATGATGGATCGTGATACTGCTTAGTTATGATTTTTAGTTTGTTTTTCGTTTTTAGTGACTTTCATATGAATTTCTTCTTGTTTTTTTTTCGTTTCCTACCTAGCTTTTAACATTGGTTATCATTGCTAGTACCACTTTGTGTCTTTATGCTCATAATCCATGCAATACTAGCTGACAACACTTGTTTCTACACTGCATTGTTTTTACAGGTTTTTCACTCATCCTTATTGCATGTCACCTATCATCAAATGATATGTCATTTAGTAAAACAAAAAAAAAATATTGGTCTGTTTCATCTTTTTTCTCGATTATATCTAAATAATATTTGGTGAAAATGTTAACCTTAAAAAAAGATTTCGGATTTCTGATTTTCTTCTGTTGGCGCCATGCTGCCATCGGACTGCACCCCAGACCTATTCTTTTGGTTTACTGCTCTGCATGTGTTCTTTTTGTTTCTGTATTCTAATTTGGTTTCTTTATAGTTGATGCAATGCATCAGATTTGCCCATTAGAAACAAATTGAAAGAACCTTCCTTTCAAACCACGATATTTTATAATTATTACTCAAGCTGCTTGTTTGGGCTCACATTCTGATATTACAGGTTGAGCATTCTGGCAGAAGCTCAGATGCGCCTGGCTAGGTTGGATGAGTTGCGGCAGGCTGCTAAAACTGGGGTGAAGATGCGTTTTGAGAGAGAAAGGGAGAGGCTTGGAACAAAAGTGGAGTTACGGGTTCAGCAGGCTGAAGCAAATAGAATGCTTATGCTCAAGGCTTACAGGCAAAGAAGGGCCACATTGAAGGAGAGAACATCCCAATCGTTAACGCGAAGAATGGCTAGGGAAAGTAAGTACAAGGAGCGTGTACGTGCAGCAATTAACCAAAAACGTGCAGCTGCTGAAAAGAAGCGTATGGGATTGCTGGAAGCAGAAAAGAAGAGGGCACGTGCTAGAGTGTTGCAAGTTCAGCGAGTAGCCAGGTCTGTCTCTCACCAACGTGAAATTGAGAGGAGGAGAATAAGGGACAAGCTGGAAGATCGACTGCAAAGGGTACAGATATTGTCTGAACTCTGAAATTAATAATTAATAACACCTTCCTTGTATTCAATTGTAAACTGGTTGCCTTTGTGTTGCTCTTATTTCCTTGTTTTCTCATTGAAATTTATGATAACTAGGCAAGGAGACAAAGAGCTGAATATTTGAGGCAGAGAGGACGACAGCATAGTTCTGGTCGAGTGAACTGGAATGAGATGCACCGGCAGGCTGATCTCCTTTCTAGAAAATTAGCAAGGTATATAATCTTAGCTTACTATTTTCTGAAGTTTTGGTTAGCGTGTCAAATCATTAGCACTGTACGAAAATATCTGACTTGTTCTTCAGTATAAATTTTACCTGAACAATGTATGCTTGCTTACTTTCTTTTAGGTGCTGGAGGCAATTCCTTAGGTCAAGGAGAACCACCATAGACTTGGCAAAAGACTTTAATGCCTTGAAAATCAATGAGAATTGTGTGAATTCGATGCCGTTTGAGCAGCTTGCTCGTCTGATTGAATCAACTGGTACTCTTCAGACTGTGAAAGCTCTACTTGATCGTCTTGAGAGCCGCTTTAGAGTCTCCATGGCTGTTGCGAGTATGGTTCATCCTTCCAGCTTGGACAACATTGATCACCTTCTCAAAAGAGTTGCCACCCCTAAGAAAAGGAGGACTACTCCCAGGTCCTCCATGAGGAGCAGAGAGGCAAAGAAAGTAGGTGCCACTAGGGAGTCTGCCAGGACTGCAGCTAAATTGTCAAGGTATCCAGTTAGAATAGTTCTTTGTGCCTACATGATTTTAGGTCATCCAGATGCTGTTTTCAGTGGTCATGGGGAGCGGGAGATTGCTCTGGCCAAGTCTGCTGAAGATTTCATCCGAGAGTTTGAGTTGTTGATAAGGATTATACTGGATGGACCCATCCACAGTTCTGATGAGGAGTCTGAATCCGTGTCACCAAAACGTTGTACGTTCAGGTCTCAAATTGCAGCTTTTGATAAAGAATGGTGCTCCTACTTGAATTGCTTTGTGGTGTGGAAGGTTAAGGATGCTCAGTTATTGGAGGAGGACTTGGTGAGAGCTGCTTGCCAGCTTGAGCTCTCTATGATCCAAAAGTGCAAGCTCAACCCAGGAGGGAGTAACAGTGCTCTTACTCATGATATGAAAGCCATTCAGAAACAGGTCTTCTTTTTATACCCGTAAATCTTAATTGACGCACATAACATTAACAAATGTTGTGAACTCAAAGCAATTGAAAATGGTTTTGCCTAGTGTTGTCATAGTTTTGACTAATTGCTGCGTTTTCAATTCTAGAAATGTACTACCGTCAACTGCCTTTGGATTTGTTATTGAAAGGGGGTGTTCCAGTAATTGAATGAATGACCATCTGAATCTAAATTGATTTATGTTAAGCCTTTTGATAAGGTATTCATGCCCGGTGTTTCTTCTGTTATTGGGAATTTCACTGAGATGGTTGTCTTTTAATTTGTTCAATACAGGTTACAGAGGATCAAAAACTTTTAAGGGAAAAGGTACAACACCTGAGTGGAGTTGCTGGTATTGAACGTATGGAAATTGCACTATCTGAAACACGATCTAGGTATTTTCAAGCCAAAGAAAATGGAAGTCCAGTTGGGTCACCAATCGTGCACTTTCTATCTCCTAGCATGCCCACAACTGGTTCGGCTAATAGAGATAATTTGAGTGATGGTATTGAGAGGCCAAGCCGCGTAGTCCGCTCATTATTCAGAGAAGATACCTCCTCTCCAAAAGAATCTGGCTCCTCTACAACTAGCAGCAGCCATGTAGATGGCCCATCAGGTTCTGCTGTTGGAAAATTGATAACAGAGAATGAATTGATTGTAAATGAATTTCTCCATGAGCAACGCCGTGGTTTTGTAGATAGATTCAATCTTGCTGACAAAGATCAAAACAGTATTATGGTTAGTGCCTTAACACAACTATGATCATTAGCCAATAGTTAATCCATTGGAAGATATTGAAATTGTCTTAAATATATCTTCATTAGTTTTGTTACTTAGTTTGTTTTCATCTGCATGTTTTTCCAAGGGAATAATGGTTGCTCTTTTACAGCTCTTTTTCATTTGCTCCTTTTGCCCCTTTGTGGAAGTTTGTTAAAAAGAGATTTTTGCTAACATTTATTAGGTCCTAGCCTCTAAAGTTGATTGCGACTGACATTTATTCATCCAAATTTCACTAAAAACACTACCCATACTCTTTATCAATAATCAAAATTTGTCTTTTAATTTTCCACCAAGCTGGTGATGAGTTTGAGATTTGTCAATAATCAAAATTTGTTTTTTAAAAACACTACTCATACTCTTTGTCAATAATCAAAATTTGTCTTTTAATATTCCACCAAGCTGGTGATGAGTTTTGATTTAGAATTTAGATGTGCTAATTTTCCCTGCTTACCTCGCTACTTTCAGGCCAAGGTGAGAGAGACAATGGAGGCAGCTTTCTGGGATGGTGTCATGGAATCGATGAAACAGGATGAGCCCAATTATGAGCGGGTCATTCAACTTGTGGGGGAGGTGAGGGATGAAATTCAGGAGCTGGCTCCTGAGAGCTGGAAACAAGAGATTGTTGAAGCTATTGATCTAGATCTTCTCTCTCAGGTGGTTTTCTTTTCCTACTACTGCTAATGTAGGAAGTTATATCTGTTGTAATACTAATCTCCCTTCTCTTATTATTAGGTTCTAAAGTCGGGTAATCTAGACATTGGTTACTGTGAAAAGATTCTAGAGTTTGCATTAGTTACTTTGCAGAAACTGTCCTCTCCAGCGCATGAGGATGAAATGAAGGCCCTGCATCAGAAATTGTTGAAAGATTTGGCTGAGACCTGTCAGACCCAAAATGAATCAAAGTATTCACATATAGCTGCAATGATCAAGGGTCTGCGCTTTGTGCTGGAGCAGATTCAGGTGTGCATATTCATTCATGCCCTCCCTTTTGTTCTTTTCTTTAGAATCGTGTATTGCTTTTCTGAGTCAACTTTGCAGGAATTTTTTTCTTGTCATTTCAGAGGGAGAAAAATATTTTGTGTTTGCTTCAATATACGTAATTGAGTTTTATGAGCATGGCTTTCTGCTTTCAGAGAACTTTTTCGAAATGTTCCCCTGCCACTAAAGTGAACAACAATCATATATGTGTATGTATGTACGCGCAAGTGCAGAAAGTCCACGGATTATGAAACTAAGAAATAAAACGGTGCATTTTTATCTCTAACAAGTCAGAATGCTGAAACATTGATTATAGTTTTAGAAGGTTATCACCAGAAGCTGATTTCGGTGAGAAATTTTAATACTGGAAATACACACACACACCCCATGTTTCTATGCAAATGTAGCACTAAAGGATGCACAAGTTATATATATATATATATATATATGCATTTTGTGGATCAAATCTGCTGCAATTTCCATATAAAAGGATATGAGCACCTCACAACTGCCAATCTCTGCATTATTTGTGATTTCTTGAAACTTCTCTGCAGAAACTTGTAATTGAGTTGATTATGACTTGGGTTTGTTAAGTACTATTAACTCAACGGCTAAGATCAACTGCTTGACATTCATAGTAATTTTTCGTGTTCGCTGCTTGCTACTTGTGTTGGCCATCATTTTCTTTTCTAGCTGAACTAGATAAGCTTTTGAGATTTATCTTAATGATCTACCTATTTGACAGGCTCTTAAGCAAGAGATCAGTAAAGCACGTATAAGGATGATGGAGCCTTTGTTAACAGGTCCTACTGGTTTGGATTACCTTAGAAAAGCCTTTGCCAACCATTATGGGTCTGATACGGATGCCCATAACACTCTACCACTGACAATGCAGTGGCTTTCATCTGTTAAGAATTGTGAAGATCAAGAGTGGGAAGAACACAAGAATTCTCTTTTTGCTTTGAAAAGCCAGGATGGTTCACCACAGGTTTCTGTACCTTTCACCACCCTTAGAACTGGTGGAAGCTTTCTGGGCAAAACAGATGGAAGTGTAATGGGGTCTACTTCTGTCGCTTCAGAGACAGGTATGGGAAAATATCAGGTTCTTTGCTAAGTGAACAAGAAATTTTGTCATGATATAAGCATGGTTAGTTGTTTGCTTGAAACTGAACAGCTGCAGTTATGATATATGGTAATTACATTTCATCCAATGTCCTCATTTGGTTTCCTGTTTCAATCAGATAACCAACAACCAGAACCAGAATGCACTGGTGAAAGAATCGATTTGCTGGTGAGGCTTGGATTGTTGAAGATAGCAAGTGGGGTTCCTGGTCTAACACAGGAAACTTTGCCTGAAACTTTTATGCTAAACCTCTCTCGATTGAGGGCTGTGCAGGCTCAAATTCAGAAAATCATAGTAATTTCTACCAGGCAAGTGATCCACTGTCTTTCCTTCGGAATGCTGCTACTAAAGTTTCTAACAACTTAATGCTCTTTCGACACCAGATGGATTGATTCAAGAGTTGCTCTCTTCATTATTGTTCTCCTATTTCCATGTTTTTGGGACTGCGTTTTTTGTAGAGCATTGCCTTCTTTGTCGATTCTTTATTTGATGCTAGTGGGTTACTAATTGATCTGAAATTTTACGATTTGCAGCATTCTTGTTTGCCGGCAAACCCTCCTGATGGAGCGAGTGGTAACCAGCAGTGCAGACATGGAAAGCATTCTATTAGAGCATGGCAATAAACTGTTGGAAGTCCTAGACCGTGTTGATGATGTGGGTCTCGAAGAAATAGTTGAAATAGCAAGTGGGTTCTTGCAAGATAATGACAAGGTAGTAGATGAGGAGAAGCTTAAGCCAAAAAAGTTGGTCATGGCTAGGATGTTAGCAAAGAGCTTGCAGGCTGGGGATCCAGTTTTTGAAAAAGTTTCCCATGCTGTTTATTTGGCTCTAAGAGGAATTGTGCTTGGCGGAAGTGGACCCTTGGGAAGAAAACTAGCAGAAATGGCGCTCCGGCAGATTGGAGCCATCATGCTGACCGGAAGAGTAGTGGCAGCTGCTGAAGTATTAGTGGTGGCAGCCACTGTATCTATCGGCGTTCACAGGCCATGGTATATAAATCTGACCGATAACATGTGATTTGCTTGTGCCTGTGTAAGAGTAGAATAATAATAAATACATGCACAACACCTGTATAGAGAAGTGTGTGCAAGTAAAGCTTGTGATTAATTGCAGTTGTGTAGATATCTGCCTGTAGATGGAATAACGTGGGTTGTAATGTGAGAATTATTAGATTTAATGGAACAAGAAGCTGTAAATGGTATTTAAGATCCATATCAAAGCTTTGCATGTGAAGCTGTAAATGGCATTTGATTCAAAAGTATTCCTTGCAGTCCTCCAGTTCAGATATCACAAATATCTGATCTAGTGCTTTATAAATGCCTTCAGATTGCAGATGTGATTCATCACCAGCCAAAAATTCATGAAACTTGCCCTCAACCTCTATCTTGCTACATCCAGGAATCTTCTTAACCCGCCTCTCCCTCATAGTACTCCTTGCCATTCTTACATCGTCCCACCTTCTTCCCTTGGCACAAGCATTTGCTAGTAGAACATAGGTCCCGCTGTCTTCAGGGTCCAACTCCAAGAGTCTGGGAGCAGCCATCTTAGCTAGTTCGACATTCCCATGTATCCTGCAACCGTGGACTAGGGCACCCCAAGCAGCTGCACTTGGCTCCATTGGCATCTTGGTTATCAACTCATATGCATCTTCTAGGAGTCCAACTCGACCAAGAGAATCGATCATACAAGCATAGTGTTCTCTCTTGGGTTCTATACCATATTTTCTTTTCATGTTTTGAAAATATTCTCGACCTTCAGCAACTAAGCCACCATGACTGCAAGCTGACAAGACACCCACAAATGTAATATCGTCTGGCTTAAATTTTTCACTCATCATTTGCTCAAAAACAATCAGAGCTTGCTTAGCATGCCCATGAGAAGCATAAGCAGCAATCATGGAGTTCCAAGAAACCAAATTCCTCTCTGGCATGTCATTAAAAACTTTTGCAGCTTCATGTATGACTCCGCATTTAGCGTACATGTCTATGAACGCATTTGCTACAATCAGACTCATTTTGCTGTGTTTCGTACCGATGAAGTTTCGATGGATCCAATGTCCAAAGTCCAAGCAACCCAATTGACCACAAGCAGAGAGCACACAAACTAATGTATTCTCCATTGGAACAAATTCAGCTTCCAACATGAGATGAAACAATTTTAAAGCTTCCTTTGGTTGGTTATTTTGAGAATACCCAGCAATCATGGCATTCCAAGAAACCACATTCCTCTCTGGCATCTCATTAAACAACGTTCTTGCCAGCTCTAGCTCACCGCTTTTAGCATACCCATTAACCATGGTTGTCCATGAGAACACATCTCTAGCTCCCATGGTATCAAAAATCCCTCTAGCAGAATCCAAACAGCCGCATTTCACATACATATCCAAGATCGAATTCATCAGATTTAAGCTACAAGTCACATTCCTTGTTTTTACATATTCGTGACAAGTCTTCCCTAATCTCAAATCCTCCTTTTGCGTGCAAGCTGAAAGAACTGCAATCATAGTCACCTCATTTGGCTCGGCATTACCATACATTAACATGGAGTCAAAAAGCCTCAAAGCCTCATCAGACCAATTATGCTCAGAATACCCATCAATCATAGAAGTCCAAGACACAACATCTCTGTCAGAAATTTCATCAAACACTTGACGAGCTAAACCCAAACAACCGCGCAAACCATAAAAATGAACCAACCCATTTTGAACCAACAACGCATAAACAAAACCCATCTTCCAAATAACACAATGAACCGATTTCCCTTCTAAAACTCCCAAAAACTGCTCGCACGCTTTGAGCGCGAAAACAATGCTCCTACTGTCCATCTCGACACCTTGTTGCACCATTTCGCAGAAATACAAGAAGCCAACGTGGCCCATTTTGGCTTTAGAGTAGCCTCTAATCATTGTATTCCAAATATAAGTATTGGGGTTTTGTAGCTGAGAAAACAGAAGATGGGCATAGTTTATATCTCCAGCGTCAGAGAGAGCGCAAAAGGCTAAGACACGACTAACAGGGAAAGTGTGGGTAATGAGAGATGTTTTTGTCATGTGGGCTTGGATTTGCTTCAATTGAAGCATGGAAGTGCATGATTCCAAAGCTACGAGAATTGGATGGGTGATTATGGTGTTGGTCGGCGAGTTCCATTTGGTTGGTTTTGCTGAAGTAGTAGATGAGAATTGCTTTAGAGATTGAAAAGTGAGAGAAGAGATTAAAACTATGGTGGTTCTTGAAGAAGACAGAAATGGGTTCATATGAAGGAAAGGAGAGGCTGTTCTCTTCTCCTTCCAAGCCTCGAAAATCTTCTCTCATTGGTGAATTCAGAATTCCTTTTTGGGCCTTTTTTTTTTTTTTTTTCCATCTTTATTTATGGATCTTGCAGTTGCAGCGAGTAAATTATAAATTAGTCCCTTTTGTTTTAAAAAATGAATTAATTAATTTCTCTTGTTTTAAAAATTAATTATTTAATCCTCATAGTTGGAAATCTACGTGTAATTTAGTTTTTTTCTCCCTTTTAAATTGTTTTAATTTTTTATTTTAAGAAATGGGAAAAAAAATAAAAAAGTTGATGAGAAAATAAGATATTTTATGAAATAAAAATAATATTAAATTAAATATTATTAATGATGATTAAATGATTAAATAATAATTTTTGAAATAAGAGAAACTAATTAATTTATTTTTTAAACTAGAGAGATTAATTTATAATTTACTCATCTTATAGCTAGGGTAGAGATGACAATTGAAATAAAAAAATTAATAATAATCACCCCAATAAAAAATAAAAGATTGGATACTAAATAAATATGTAGTTTTCTATTTCACAATTTATATATAGATACATGAGGACAATAGACATAGCAATGAATACCTTAAACAAAAGAAAGCTTGGGGAGAAATTAGGCAGATTTTAAAGGTTAGGGACTTATTTGTTAGCGACTATATAGTTTAAGGCTGATTTATAATGACTCCAAAATTTTTTAGTCACAATAATGCAGCTTGAATTTTTGTTTTTTTAAGTGCAATTTCGTCTCCTTCTCCAAGCAGATTCCAATTCTTTAAAAAATCTACCTATCTCTTGCCTAATCTTGTATTATATATGACATCTTCGTTTAAGCTTATTCAGTTGTTGGTTTCATAGAGATTTAGCTGCTGATCAATCTCGTCTTCGTTGACACGACGAGCACGCTAACTTCTTCAAAAGCTTGGAGATGTTCTTGTTTTTGATCTATCTAAAGGAGTAAGCATCTCTTCCAAATTTAAATTTGTTTAGCTGCAGCTAGCAGCAGACAGCAGTGGCAATTCGCTTTCTTTCTACTGTTGTTGTTGTTGAGAAATTTTTGTTTGATTTCTTGTTCAGGAAGGTCCTTGTTCTTCTACAAGTCTTTAATTTAGCAGGAGTTTTGCACTGCAACTTTCTTTGCATTTTCCTCAGGCTTTGACGTTTTAATGGATCTTTATCTGGGCTCATCAAAAAATGAAAGAAGTAAGTTTCTCTTCTCAATCATGTATGTATTTGGTTGATTTCAGTGCTTTATTGAATTATTCTCACTGTTCTTATTAAATTAAATTGTGAAAATTTTGAAGGAATGAAGATCATGAAAAGGAACATACCTAGTTGTAAATTTTTTCAAGTTATTACGAAAAAAAACTAAAGGAAAATGCAATTATATGGTTTTTTGAACAGTAAATGACTATTGTTAGACTGTTCAAATCCCTAAATTTACTATTCACTGTCAGCAATTTGCCTTACTAATGTTATTTCTTTTCCGCCCTTATGTTTTTGACTTATTTTCTTATATGCCATTCGTTGTTATGTTGTTTTACCTGTTTGGCCCTTTGTTTCTTTGCTTTCATTTCTTTGTTTTTTCACTTTTTCGTAACTTTCTCTTTTTATCCCATGCTCAAGCATGGTGGGTGGTGTTGCAGGAAATTTCTTTTGCTTGCAAATAATCGATGCATGTTATTTTTAATTAAATTACCTTTATTTTTATTTCCTTACTTCTTTTTTTAACAATAATAAAAGTGTTTTAGATTTGGTATTAATATATTTAGAGTAAAATATAGCAAAGGTTTACGCTTATTGATTGATTAAAGAAGGAATGATTTTTAAATAAATTATTCAGTATAAATAATTTTTAAATAAAATTTAAAGTAAAATTAAATCTTTTTGTTGAATAGGAGTAGACTTTATCCAATTTGGATAAATTAAAAATTACATGCTTAGTATGGGACACCCTAGCTCATTTAATAGAAAAATCAATTAAAAAATCACATGTTTTATTTATTTTTTTATATATAATTAAAATTTGTCAAAATTAATTTTATTCTTACTATTTTTTTATTTGTGCTGCACACTCAAAACCCTGTAAAATATGGTCATGATATATATATACTTTTCAGACTAGAAGATTTTTTGTGCTATATCTCCAATGATTTGATCAACTATCAAATTCTTCTCATCCCATGTGTACATTCGAGTTAATTTATTTTCTTCAAATACAAGATTAAAGCAATTTTAAAACATTGTCGTCAAGGAATTGAACTTTAAGAGATTTTTTATTTTATTTATTAAAAAAAGAAGAAAGATTCTCGCAGGCTTTGCTTTGCGTCTAAGATCAATGAATGAAAGATAGAACGGTATCCATATCAACTACACACACATATATATATCACTTCAATTTGCTTAATGAAAATTCTCATCAATTTTTTTTTTATTTTTCTTTTTATATATTTTTTGTTAATAAATATGATTTATTTTTTTATATGTTTGAAATTCTGAATTAATTTTCTTTTAAATAAATCATCAATTAAATTGTAAAATTCATGTGTTTTATTTATTTTTATTTTTTTTTGTATAATAAAATTTTATCGGAATAAATTTTATAGTTATTTTTATTGCACTTTACTAACTTCAATATATTTCTTGCAATTCTTTTTTAAATACTTTGTAATATATACTGCACACTTTAACCCACTAAATATGATCATGATGATTAAAAAAATAAAATAATTAGTTTTATTAAAAATTATATATGTATCTACATGCATAAAACCAATAATTTACGTTTATTTTTTCAAATATTTCAATATTAATTTCTTTAAAATAAATCAATTAAATCATCAATTAAATAATAGAATTCACACTTTTTTTTTTTTATAATAAAATTTTATCAAATTAAATTTCGTAGTTATTTTTATTATATTTCATTAACTTCAAATTATTATTTTTTAAAATCTTTATAATTTATACTGCACAATCTAGTCCATCAAGTATGGTTATGATGTACAAAAAAAATTAATATCATTTGTTTTATTAAAAATTATTTGTGCATCTACACACAATAGAGCAGATTCGAGAAGTTATTATGTGGTTCAAAACTCACAAACTTTAAGATAAACCAAAAAACTTACTCGAGTGAATGCTGGAGTGTTATTTTCATCATCCAAACAGAAAATTCGGTGCTCAAAACTTAATTACAGATGCGCTTGACTTAGTTCTGATGAATTTAGAAAGACATAATTAACTTGTCATTTTTCATTTTTAGGAAACATGGTTTGAGGACGGGACTACCAGAGACAGAATCTCATCGTAAACCGAGTGAATTACTGCTTCTCTACATAAATGGAACATACAGATCATATATAAACAAGCAATCAGAACATGAACATTACACTGATGATGACAACATTGATTATCTCTACAAAAACATGAGACACAAGCAGATACATAAATTTAAACAAACACACAACGCTTGGGAATTCTTTATTGCTTACATATTCTGGCCATTCCTTCACACTCCATGCAAATAATATCAAACTAGCTAGCTAGTTATCTCTAGCCACATCACCCCAAGTCTCCTCACCATACAAGATGATTTTCCTCTTTGCTTCGATCCTGAACTGAGACCCGAGGTGAGGGTCGTCCTCACGAAGAAGAACAACCTTGTCAGCAACCCTCAGATTATAATCGGAAACAAATTGAAGCCAACCTTTAGACAGCACTGGCTTGTCGTACTCCCCATCTCTTTTCCTGCAACGAATCACCCGAAGCTCATCACTGCTGTCTTTAACATACAAATCAACAAAATTATTTCCCCCGAAATCTAGATGCCGTAAGGAACTAGTTGGGAACGAGAAGCGAACACGGAGATCAGTATCTTTTAGCTCTTTGCTGAAGACCAACATTTTTTTCTTCTTTTGGGTGGTTAAAAGGGAGAAAACGATTATGTTTAAGCGATCAGGTGCATTGATAATTGCAGTCAGCTAGAGGTGAATTTGTAGGGAAAAAGACTACTGTATTCAGGGTAGAAAGACATCACCTTTTACTTGGTGCTATAATCGCCTTTTTTAGTCAAGCACGTAAGTCTCCTTCAGAATGTGATGGATTGATTTTTTAGGTGTCTAAGTCAAACACTTTTCTTCTTTACTCTTTAATCCTTGCTTTTGATTTTTACTTTCATTTCAGTTCTTGTTTTTGCCTTACTTTTTAGTCTTCTCTTTAATCATTATACCTACAAATTCAAAGCATATGGGGATTAATTTATATCAAATAAAACATAAATCACGTGCATAATTAATGAATTCAAGCTCCAAGTTTACATAAAATATATGTATAAATTATACTTATCAGAATTCACAACCTTCCTTCATGATGTTTACCATGATGGCAGCAGTCTCCCCGTAACATTCTGTTCAGCCTTTACTTCTGAGCCATTAGTTTCTATATCATGATAGGAATGGACAAAATCCAGCTCATCATCTAGGAATTGGTTGCAGTAATCTGGCTCCACAGAATTAGGAACCTCGGAACCTTTGCTCTGCCTCATTGCTGCCCTTTTCTTTGACCGACCAGTGCTTTTAGTGAATTCATCATCCTCTTCCATATTTCCATTTGGAGACTTACTTGCATTTCTCCTCTTCGTTGAATCAGTACTTTCATTGCTACTGCTACTATTTCTCTCTGCCTTATGGTGTTCCCTAATAGTAGATTCAATGGTTTCCAGCAACCGATCTCCATACTTGCTGACCTTGGCCCTGAATATAGGAAAAATGTTTATTCAGCCCCGAATAATGCAAAGAATGCCTGTCAAATGATCACCGTACAACCTAAAATCAAAACTTACTTTCCAATGCCATTGATCTCCAGGAGTTCTTCCTTTGTTCTTGGAATTCTCTTGCTCAAGTGCTGCAGTGTAGCATTACTAAACAGAATCTCATCAGGACACATTGTGATAACTCCTTATTTTAAAAGGAGGGGTGGGGGACGTATCAGGACAAATATTCCAATCCCTTGCACCAATCAAATATTCAAATGATTCCCTTCATTTTCAGCATAATTGATTTCAAAACAAAATTTTTATTGTACAGAGATGGACATTGAAAAGGAAAAACTAAGAGCTCACCCAAATATGTGGTATACCATAACTCCCTCTCCAGCTTCTTTAACAAGAACAGTCCGAAGCATTCTCAAAGCAGAATATAGTTTGGCCGACAGGTTCTGTCATGTGATGAGAATGTTAAATAGATGGTCAGGAATCTCATCAATCATGATGAACAAAGAGAAAAGAATCCCAAACATAAGTATACCAAGTCCACTTCAGATTGAGATTGGACAGGGATGCCAGCTTGTGGAGCACAAAGCTTCCCTGGCACGAGTGAGCCTCTTGCTGAAGTTGCCTCACATTTTCCCTGTTTAGAAGCTTTAAGAGGAAGGGAATCTGCAAGGTATATGAGATACCAGAATCAACATTGTAGCTGATTCTTGTTCATGTCAGCTAAGAAAAAAGAAAAATTGAAAACGCAAATGATGATGGTTTGTCCAGAGGATCATAATTTGCCACGCTGAGCACGCCAAGCACAAGGTTAAAATTGCTAGCTTCATCCAAACTCTCAAGTCTCCAAATTTTCAGTCAACACCTCCCTAGCCAACACCATCTGTAAAATGAAAATTCTCATCAATTTTTTTTTATTTTTCTTTTTATATATTTTTTGTTAATAAATATGATTTATTTTTTTATATGTTTGAAATTCTGAATTAATTTTCTTTTAAATAAATCATCAATTAAATTGTAAAATTCATGTGTTTTATTTATTTATTTTTTTTTTTGTATAATAAAATTTTATCGGAATAAATTTTATAGTTATTTTTATTGCACTTTACTAACTTCAATATATTTCTTGCAATTCTTTTTTAAATACTTTGTAATATATACTGCACACTTTAACCCACTAAATATGATCATGATGATTAAAAAAATAAAATAATTAGTTTTATTAAAAATTATATATGTATCTACATGCATAAAACCAATAATTTACGTTTATTTTTTCAAATATTTCAATATTAATTTCTTTAAAATAAATCAATTAAATCATCAATTAAATAATAGAATTCACACTTTTTTTTTTTTATAATAAAATTTTATCAAATTAAATTTCGTAGTTATTTTTATTATATTTCATTAACTTCAAATTATTATTTTTTTAAATCTTTATAATTTATACTGCACAATCTAGTCCATCAAGTATGGTTATGATGTACAAAAAAAATTAATATCATTTGTTTTATTAAAAATTATTTGTGCATCTACACACAATAGAGCAGATTCGAGAAGTTATTATGTGGTTCAAAACTCACAAACTTTAAGATAAACCAAAAAACTTACTCGAGTGAATGCTGGAGTGTTATTTTCATCATCCAAACAGAAAATTCGGTGCTCAAAACTTAATTACAGATGCGCTTGACTTAGTTCTGATGAATTTAGAAAGACATAATTAACTTGTCATTTTTCATTTTTAGGAAACATGGTTTGAGGACGGGACTACCAGAGACAGAATCTCATCGTAAACCGAGTGAATTACTGCTTCTCTACATAAATGGAACATACAGATCATATATAAACAAGCAATCAGAACATGAACATTACACTGATGATGACAACATTGATTATCTCTACAAAAACATGAGACACAAGCAGATACATAAATTTAAACAAACACACAACGCTTGGGAATTCTTTATTGCTTACATATTCTGGCCATTCCTTCACACTCCATGCAAATAATATCAAACTAGCTAGCTAGTTATCTCTAGCCACATCACCCCAAGTCTCCTCACCATACAAGATGATTTTCCTCTTTGCTTCGATCCTGAACTGAGACCCGAGGTGAGGGTCGTCCTCACGAAGAAGAACAACCTTGTCAGCAACCCTCAGATTATAATCGGAAACAAATTGAAGCCAACCTTTAGACAGCACTGGCTTGTCGTACTCCCCATCTCTTTTCCTGCAACGAATCACCCGAAGCTCATCACTGCTGTCTTTAACATACAAATCAACAAAATTATTTCTCCCGAAATCTAGATGCCGTAAGGAACTAGTTGGGAACGAGAAGCGAACACGGAGATCAGTATCTTTTAGCTCTATGCTGAAGACCAACATTTTTTTCTTCTTTTGGGTGGTTAAAAGGGAGAAAACGATTATGTTTAAGCGATCAGGTGCATTGATAATTGCAGTCAGCTAGAGGTGAATTTGTAGGGAAAAAGACTACTGTATTCAGGGTAGAAAGACATCACCTTTTACTTGGTGCTATAATCGCCTTTTTTAGTCAAGCACGTAAGTCTCCTTCAGAATGTGATGGATTGATTTTTTAGGTGTCTAAGTCAAACACTTTTCTTCTTTACTCTTTAATCCTTGCTTTTGATTTTTACTTTCATTTCAGTTCTTGTTTTTGCCTTACTTTTTAGTCTTCTCTTTAATCATTATACCTACAAATTCAAAGCATATGGGGATTAATTTATATCAAATAAAACATAAATCACATGCATAATTAATGAATTCAAGCTCCAAGTTTACATAAAATATATGTATAAATTATACTTATCAGAATTCACAACCTTCCTTCATGATGTTTACCATGATGGCAGCAGTCTCCCCGTAACATTCTGTTCAGCCTTTACTTCTGAGCCATTAGTTTCTATATCATGATAGGAATGGACAAAATCCAGCTCATCATCTAGGAATTGGTTGCAGTAATCTGGCTCCACAGAATTAGGAACCTCGGAACCTTTGCTCTGCCTCATTGCTGCCCTTTTCTTTGACCGACCAGTGCTTTTAGTGAATTCATCATCCTCTTCCATATTTCCATTTGGAGACTTACTTGCATTTCTCCTCTTCGTTGAATCAGTACTTTCATTGCTACTGCTACTATTTCTCTCTGCCTTATGGTGTTCCCTAATAGTAGATTCAATGGTTTCCAGCAACCGATCTCCATACTTGCTGACCTTGGCCCTGAATATAGGAAAAATGTTTATTCAGCCCCGAATAATGCAAAGAATGCCTGTCAAATGATCACCGTACAACCTAAAATCAAAACTTACTTTCCAATGCCATTGATCTCCAGGAGTTCTTCCTTTGTTCTTGGAATTCTCTTGCTCAAGTGCTGCAGTGTAGCATTACTAAACAGAATCTCATCAGGACACATTGTGATAACTCCTTATTTTAAAAGGAGGGGTGGGGGACGTATCAGGACAAATATTCCAATCCCTTGCACCAATCAAATATTCAAATGATTCCCTTCATTTTCAGCATAATTGATTTCAAAACAAAATTTTTATTGTACAGAGATGGACATTGAAAAGGAAAAACTAAGAGCTCACCCAAATATGTGGTATGCCATAACTCCCTCTCCAGCTTCTTTAACAAGAACAGTCCGAAGCATTCTCAAAGCAGAATATAGTTTGGCCGACAGGTTCTGTCATGTGATGAGAATGTTAAATAGATGGTCAGGAATCTCATCAATCATGATGAACAAAGAGAAAAGAATCCCAAACATAAGTATACCAAGTCCACTTCAGATTGAGATTGGACAGGGATGCCAGCTTGTGGAGCACAAAACTTCCCTGGCACGAGTGAGCCTCTTGCTGAAGTTGCCTCACATTTTCCCTGTTTAGAAGCTTTAAGAGGAAGGGAATCTGCAAGGTATATGAGATACCAGAATCAACATTGTAGCTGATTCTTGTTCATGTCAGCTAAGAAAAAAGAAAAATTGAAAACGCAAATGATGATGGTTTGTCCAGAGGATTATAATTTGCCACGCTGAGCACGCCAAGCACAAGGTTAAAATTGCTAGCTTCATCCAAACTCTCAAGTCTCCAAATTTTCAGTCAACACCTCCCTAGCCAACACCATCTGTAAAATGTAAATTTTATAACCAGTAGCTCCAAAGTTGTGTATCTACACCAACCAGCGCAAAACTGACTCAACTAGATTTCTGACTGCTTCATTTGAATCTCTTTGCAAAAATATGTATTCTGGAAAGGTTTTTCCCAATGAAGAGGCATGGTTTAGTACGAACATTGATTAAACAATCCAACCCAAAAGAACTATGAACCTAATGTTGGTTCTCCACTTCTACTTCCTCTTAGGTCCAATATTCGCATGCATCTTCAGAGAATAGTTATCTAGTGAAAAGTAGTTGGCATTTGGCAATAAAACACTTGCATAAAATTAACGAAAACAGATGTACTCATAAGAAAGCATGCTAAAAGACTGAACCTTAAAACAATCCTTTGCCCCCCCAGAGTGTAGTTTGTATGCCTTGGATTCGTTCACCTGAAAGAAATTAAAAAAAAAAAAAACCATTTAAGATGTGAAATTAAACAATGACGATACTTAAGAGTTGCCCTGTCAATCACAGTGGGTGAAGCACTACAGACTAGGAAAAACCACGAGTACCTTTAACACTGATGATACAGATCCATAAATATCACTTTTCTTAACATCCTCAGCAAGAAAATCCTCAATAACAAGATAACGCAATATACGGCAAGCTTCACCCTTGGGTAGATGTTTTCCAGCTCCATGAAGGCTCAATTTCTCATGTCTGTATTTCTTGACCTAGTTTAGGCAATAACACAATGAAGTTATACAAGGATATGACAACTAAAGAAGATAGGCATATCTTTTTGTTCACAAGACATACAAATTGGCTTAAGGAACCCCTGTAGACTTCTAAAATGTGAGATGATGAAAATTGCTGCCTAGTTAACTTCACCAGTTCAACCTAGACAAGACAAAATTGAAATTTTGCTGAATAAGGATGCAAGGAATGCACTATGTCAGCATAAAATAACAGCTACTTTTTTCAAGTAGGCCCAATGAAAGTAGCAGAAGAAAAAATGGTTTCAAACCAATTGTTTTGCGCTCTCAGTGACATCCTTCTCCACTAGAGTTTTGATCTTAGAGCAATTATCACATGTATTCCCACAGTTCCCAGAATCAAATTTTTCTCCAAAATGCAGAAGTTGTAAGAGACGTCTGCAATCAACATCATTTTCGCAATAACTGACCTGAAGTGGGCATAGTCAAATTTTAGAATGCAATAAGTAGGGATAGTCATATTTTAGCAGCCACAGTAGAACTTTCATAACAGTTACCATTCGCAGCAGATTTTCAGTATTTTTTTCCAGTATCCTATCTGAATTTGTCATATTATTGCGACTATACCCAGCTGTCCAGGGACTTTGCTCTGTTTGTCCTTGTACGATCATGTGCTTGACTCGTATCTTAAAAGGAAGAGAAAATGGATAAGTAATCGAACCAAAGATAACATTGAACAGAAAATAATATTAAATTAAATATTATTAACGATGATTAAATGATTAAATAATAATTTTTGAAATAAGAGAAACTAATTAATTTATTTTTTAAACTAGAGAGATTAATTTATAATTTACTCATCTTATAGCTAGGGTAGAGATGACAATTGAAATAAAAAAATTAATAATAATCACCCCAATAAAAAATAAAAGATTGGATACTAAATAAATATGTAGTTTTCTATTTCACAATTTATATATAGATACATGAGGACAATAGACATAGCAATGAATACCTTAAACAAAAGAAAGCTTGGGGAGAAATTAGGCAGATTTTAAAGGTTAGGGACTTATTTGTTAGCGACTATATAGTTTAAGGCTGATTTATACTGACTCCAAAATTTTTTAGTCACAATAATGCAGCTTGAATTTTTGTTTTTTAAGTGCAATTTCGTCTCCTTCTCCAGGCAGATTCCAATTCTTTAAAAAATCTACCTATCTCTTGCCTAATCTTGTATTATATATGACATCTTCGTTTTAAGCTTATTCAGTTGGTGGTTTCATAGAGATTTAGCTGCTGATCAATCTCGTCTTCGTTGACGCGACGAGCACGCTAACTTCTTCAATAGCTTGGATGTGTTCTTGTTTTTGATCTATCTAAAAAGGTAAGCATCTCTTCCAAATTTAAATTTGTTTAGCTGCAGCTAGCAGCAGACAGCAGTGGCAATTCGCTTTCTTTCTACTGTTGTTGTTGAGAAATTGTTGTTTGATTTCTTGTTCAGGAAGGTCCTTGTTCTTCTACAAGTTCTTTAATTTAGCAGGAGTTTTGCACTGCAACTTCCTTTGCATTTTCCTCAGACTTTGACGTTTTAATGGATCTTTATCTGGGCTCATCAAAAAATGAAAGAAGTAAGTTTCTCTTCTCAATCACGTATGTATTTGATTTCAGTGCTTCATTGAATTATTCTCACTGTTCTTATTAAATTAAATTGTGAAAATTTTGAAGGAATGAAGATCATGAAAAGGAACATACCTAGCTGTAAATTTTTTCAAGTTATTACAAAAAAAAAAAAAAAAAAAACGAAATGGGTTTTTTAACAGTAAATTACTATTGTTAGACTGTTTCAAATCCCTAAATTTAGTATTCACTGTCAGCAATTTGCCTTACTAAAGTTGTATTTTCTTATATGGCGTTTGTTGTTATGTTGTTTTACCTGTTTGGCCCTTTGTTTCTTTACTTTCATTTCTTTGTTTTTTCACTTTTTCGTAACTTTCTCTTTTTATCCCATGCTCAAGCATTGTGGTGTTGAAGGAAATCTCTTTTGCTTGCAAATAATTGATGCATGTTATTTTTAATTAAATTACCTTTATTTTTATTAGTAAATGAACCAATGGTATCCTTACTTCTGTTTTTAACAATAATAAAAGTGCTTTAGATTTTAATATATTTAAAGTAAAATATAGCAAAGTCTTACGCTTATGGATTGATTAAAGAATGAATGATTTTTAAATTAATTATTCAGTTTAAATAATTTTTAAATAAAATTTAAAGTAAAATTAAATCCTTTTGTTGAATAGGAGTAGATTTTATCCAATTTGGATTAACTAAAAATCACATGCTCAGTATGGGACACCCTAGCTCATTTAATAGAAAAATCAATTAAAAAAATCACATGTTTTATTTACTTTTTTTTATAATTAAAATTAATTTTGTTCTTATTATTTTTTTATTTGTGCTGCACATTCAAAACCCTGTTAAATATGGTCATGATATATATATACTTTTCAGACTGGAAGATTTTTTGTGCTATATCTCCAATGATTTGATCAACTATCAAATTCTTCTCATCCCATGTGTACATTCGAGTTAATTTATTTTCTTCAAATACAAGATTAAAGCAATTTTGAAACATTGCCGTCAAGGAATTGAACTTTAAGAGATTTTTTTATTTTATTTATTAAAAAAAGAAGAAAGATTCTTGCAGGCTTTGCTTTGCGTCTAAGATCAATGAATGAAAGCTAGAACTGTATCCATATCAACTACCTGTATATATCACTTCAATTTGCGGTATGAAAATTCTCCTTAATTTTTTTATACTGTAAACTCTAGTCCATCAAGTATGGTAATGATATATAAAAAAAATTAATATTATTAATTTTATTAAAAATTATTTTTGCATCTGCACATATAACAATAATAATTTGTATTTATTTTTTTTCAAATGTTTTAAAATTAATTCCTTTAAAATAAATAAATAAAAACAATTTTTTAGAAGAATCGTTGAATAATTCAGATGCATCTGATATATACATATATTTCAAAAACATAAAGAAAAAAATAATTTGTTAATTTTTATCCAAGTTTTTATATTGATTGTTATTTTTTTATGCAGTGCAATCTTATGTAAACAAATATTAAGATGTTTTTCTTTTTAATTTTCAATATATATTATCATAAGTTTTTATTTAAGAATTAATGAATAAAGAAGAACAAATAATATAAAAGATATTAAAAAGAAAAAGGAAAATACAAAAATTTAATTAAAAATATAAAATTAGATGATTTTGTTTCTTTCAATTCAATATATATTTTAGTACATTTATGATATACTGCATGCTATCAAATTATAATAATTTTTTAAATAAATTTTATCAAATTTATCTGACCGACAGTATAGCTAGCGTGGATAACCATCTAATATTACACTATAATGAGTTGCATTGTTTGATTTAAACATTGAATCTCGACCATTGATTTACAACACCGTAGCAATATTTTTCAACTTATCAATTAAAAAGAACTTTTATTTGAATAACTAAAGTTATGGATTATAATTTAATCTGAATCCGATAAATAATCATCCGAACTTATTTGAACCGATGTTATATATATATATATATATATATATATATATATATATATATATATATATATAAACTTTTTTGAATCGGATATAAATATTCAAAATTCTTTTTGTTTTTTAATAATGAATAGGATATGAATATGAGCAAATTATTTTTTTTTGTCTCTCAGTTTTTAATGCTATTGTAACTTAGTCTCTTAATTTTTTAAAAACCTATAGTTATGTCTCCTCCACTTTAATTCTCTATTTATGACTTAGTTTTTTTTTTTTTTTTCCTTGTTGACCGTTAGTGTGGGGAACTTTTTCAAACAATGGTATTTGTTAAGTGGCAGACAAAGGGTATTTTCTTTTTTCTTTTTTGAACTAAAATGATTGATAGTATGACAGCTCAGCCAAAAAATTAAATTATAAATAGAACATTAAAATGAAGGTGATAAATGTAGGTTTTTTAATATTAAGGGACTAAGTTACGGACTTATTGAAAACCCAGGGACGAAAGATAATTTATTCTATTGATATCGCTCCAGTATAAATATTGTATATACGCATATATTTATTCAACTGAGCCCAGGTGCAAGCGGAAAAAACCCATGCTTTGCTTGGGCTTCGCTCCATGCCCAAATACCTTTCATGTTATTATTATTATTATTTTAACAATTTCTTCAATTGAATTTCTCATTTTTTTTTATATTTTTTGTGTATATTATACATACAATAAAATATATCAAAATTTATTTATTTTATTTTATGAATTTCTTATGTTATTTTATTTAATAACATTTTCGTAGTTAAATTGTGGACTTAAAATCTTGTCGAACTAGTTATTGTATTCATGTAATCTTTTTATTATTAAGTTGTTGCGTAAGTGTTCAATTTAGCACTAAAAATATCAACATGTAGAAAATTATTAGGACGGACTTTTAATTTTAAACTATAATTCTTTCCTTAAAAAAAGACCATTAAATCATCTTAAAAGATACTAAATTAAAATAATATGTCAGAACTCATTCCAAAACAATATAAGAGCAAAAAAATCCATTTCAAGGTTAAAGCAGACATTTCATATTCGTAATTCTTTCTTGTCCCCCTTGACCAGATAAAGTCAAAGATAAAAATTTCTCTCTTTATCTATTTAATGATACATTAGTTCGTCTCTTAATATCCTATTCTCACTGTCCAGTCTCCAAACCAAACAGTACCTTAGTCAACAATTCCTTAAAGTAACATATGCTACCGGGATTGAAACCATACGATAATGTTTGTGGAAATTAAGTTGTTGGTCCTTAGAATTTATCTGTCAAATTTATTTGGAGGTGAAAGGACTTGGAAAAACCCAAAACACTGTTTCTTTGGCAGTTAAATATCATCCAGAGTACATTTTTTTTGGTATCGAGATAATAATTTATCATGTATTTAAGTTTAAAGTATAAATTTCTATTTTCATAAAGAAATTTACTAAATAATCAACCATAATCTATCGATTGTCTATCCAATATATTTTTTTTTCAATAGAGCAGATTCGAGAAGTTATTATGTAGTTCAAAACTCACAAACTTTAAGGTAAACCAAAAAAATTACTCGAGTGAGCGCTGGAGTGTTATTTTCATCATCCAAACTGAAAATTCGGTGCTCAAAACTTAATTACAGATGCGCTTGATTTAGTTCTGATGAATTTAGAAAGACATAATTAACATGTCATTTTTCATTTTTAGGAAACATGGTTTGAGGACAGGACTACCAGAGACAGGATCTCATCGTAAACCGAGTGAATTACTGCTTCTCTACATAAATGGAACATACAGATCATATATAAACAAGCAACTAGAACATGAACATTACACTGATGATGACAACATTGATTATCTCTACAAAAACATGAAACACAAGCAGATACATAAATTTAAACAAACACACCACGCTTGGGAATTCTTATTGCTTACATATTCTGGCCATTCCTTCACACTCCATGCAAATAATATCAACTAGCTAGCTAGTCATCTCTAGGCACATCACCCCAAGTCTCCTCACCAAGCAAGATGATTTTCCTCTTTGCTTCGATCCTGAACTGAGACCCGAGGTGAGGGTCGTCCTCACGAAGAAGAACAACCTTGTCAGCAACCCTCAGATCATAATCGGAAACAAATTGAAGCCAACCTTTAGACAGCACTGGCTTGTCGTACTCCCCATCTCTTTTCCTGCAACGAATCACCCGAAGCTCACCACTGCTGTCTTTAACATACAAATCAACAAAATTATTTCCCCCGAAATCTAGATGCCGTAAGGAACTAGTTGGGAACGAGAAGCGAACACGGAGATCAGTATCTTTTAGCTCTTTGCTGAAGACCAACATTTTTTTCTTCTTTTGGGTGGTTAAAAGGGAGAAAATGATAATGTTTAAGCAATCAGCTAGGTTGAAAGTTGCAGAGAGCTGTGATGCATGTATAGGGAAAAATCTACTGTAATGTTTAAGCGATCAGGTGCACTGATAATTGCAGTCAGCTAGAGGTGAATTTATAGGGAAAAAGACTACTGGATTCAGGATAGAAAGACATCGAGCGAAAGATTTCCGAAATCTTGTTCAGTCCATCGATTTCGTGTGGCATTATGGTTTAGTTGTAGGTAGAACAAGAGATCACAAGCGATTATGCTTTTTCAAAGACTAAATGGGTCAGGATAATGATATTTCCTGTCGTACACTCGATAAAGTTGGTTCTTGATATCTATAGAGTTACATCCTACCTTCTCCGCAGATTTCTGCAAGTTTTTGTTCTATTAAGCAAAAAGGTGTACGATATTACCGAAGGGTATATTTTTCTAGTCTCTGCAAAATTTTCTAGTCAACTTCAAGGTTCTACTGATGCTAGAATTAAGCTCGATTTCTGCAGCAATGGTTTGGAGTTTGACTTACAACTGCAGACATTACCAAAAAGTAGAGCTTTAAATGCGACGCAACGTAAGTTGGCTTGTAAAAATTATTGCAACTCGATAGATCGAAATTCTAGAAGGATGTCGTTAGTACGGCGGGCGGGCGTGCGTCACCATCGATACTCGCAGGTATGTGATTTCTTTTCGATAGACAAGGCAGGTCACGACTAGACGACAAAGCCCAAACGTACCTGGACTCGGCTAAAAGTTCAGGTGCTTTGGTTTTTTTTTTTTATAAATAATTTCATCTATTGAATTTCTTCTTTTTATTATTTTTCATATACAATAAAATGTATATCTAAGAGTTCTGTATATGTTTATCTATGTTTTCAAGTTAATTTATTTAAGAGTTAACACATGACATTTTATAGTTAAACTAGTTAATGTATTAAAATAATTTTTTTATTATAAATTATTGGATAAGTATCCAATTTAACACGAATTTTAATTTATCTTTATAGAAAAATCATCATAGAAAAAATTGTAGGATTTATGTATAATTTTAAAATTTAAATTATAATATTTTCCTCAGAAAAGAATATATATATTGAGTATTCATTCCAAAAACAAAGACAAGATAATTTATTTTAAATGTAAAGCAGTTTTTTTTTTTTTTCTTTTTTCTTTTTGTCTTGTCCTCCATAATAATAGGGAAAAAAATATATAGGGACAAAAAAAAAATTGCCTTTTTATCCAATCAAACACAAATTAGTCTTGTTCATAATGTCTCATCTCGTACTATCTACTGTCTGACCCCCACAATTTTGTTTCAAAGCCAAGAGCTACCTTAAGTTGGATTTGGTTCGGAAAGTGGACAATAGAGACGGAATAATAGAGCAAGACAGTACAAGACGGGATGTTGGGGACAAGAGTGATTTGTATTTGGTATGATGGACATGATAAATATTTTTGTCCGAGGTCGAAGATGGAGATCGAACAAAATGCTGAAATGTTTGCTTTGTTCTTACATATCTTTTTCTTGTGCATGTCATGTTTGGCATATGATTTAGACATTTACTAAAGAATTCAAATTCCGAATGTGGAAACTTGAAAATCATCTCTTTGATCAATAGAGCAACCATCTGTGGCCCTTCCTGGAGAAATTTGGGGAATAGCAACATCAGGACTTGCACAATTAGCAACAGGAGAGTTGCTACTGTGGATATGAGTAGTGGAATTATGAGCATTCATATTCAAATCAAGATTTTCATCATCTTCGTTTCCGTCAAAGATAACATTATCAGGATCATTGGTCTCCAAATCAATATCCACATCGACATTGTCATATGAGAGGAAGAATTCAGAGTGGCAGCAGACATGTTTTTCTCACCTTCCCACAAACTAGAACTACATGGACAAGATGTCTTTCTTCCCAGCCAATTATCAATTCTTCTTTGTCCACGCAATTCACAGTCACTTATAGACACAGCTCCTCAGTCACCTCAATGTTAAAAACAGAACCATGAAGTCCCTTAGCGAAGTATTGAGAAGAATTCGCCCCACATCAAATTCCAGCTTCTTGAAGGCAGAGTGATCCATCGTGATAAATTTTCCAAAACTTGCACTGATGAATTTAAAAAACTCAACGTCCCATGCATGAAGAGGGACACCATCGACAAAAAGCCTAGTAAAACGTTCAGTGGCCACTAATTCTGGTTCCCATGGTTTTACCAAATCAAGCCACTGTCCCAACCATTCACATTTCACAGTCCGAGTTTATCATCTCTTGCATAAAGGTAGCATTATCAAAAGTGAGTAAAACTGCATTACCACTCGTAGGTTTGGGGAGGACACACGAGACTCCTTCCATGGGGAAATATTCATGGAGATTTGGGATGACCTCAGAGGATCGAGCATAATCTACAGAACTTCTTGAAAGCCATTCCATAACTTCATCATTGACATCATAAGATAGACTGGGGGTCTGAGTACTTTTTGGGAATGTAGACATCCATGGCTTCACCTAGGCCTTGAAAGACTTTTTTCATGTCTAAGGTCCTCCAGTGGGGAGAAAACCTTTCAAAATAAAAGGTTGGTGAGTGCAGGAGTGTTATTTTTCATCATCCAAACTGAAATTTTTGGTGCTCAAAACTTATTTTCTTTGTCATCAACGTCAATTAGAGATGTGCTTGATTCAGTTATGATGAATCTTGAAAGACAAATAATTAGCATGTCATTTTTTCAATCTTTGGAAGTTGGAACACATGATTTGAGAACAGGAATACTGAAGACAGAATCTGAGTATATCTGAATGCATCATTGCTTCTCTATATACATCCAACATACACATATTATATAAACAAGCAATTAAGAACAACAAATTTTCATTTATTTAGATCGATCGATGCTTACAACAACCTTGATTAACACTAGAAACATCCAAACACAAGCGCAAAGTATAAATTTTAGCAAACACACACTTAGGAATTCTCCCTTTAATACATATTCTGGGCATGCCTTCACATTTCACTCTCTTGGCATGTAATATCAACTAGCTAGCTAGTTAGCTCTAGGCACATCACCCCAAGTCTCCTCACCAAGCAAGATGACTTTCCTCTTTGCTTCAATCCTGAACTGAGACCCGAGGTGAGGGTCGTCCTCACGAAGAAGAACAACCTTGTCAGCAACCCTCAGATTATAATCGGAAACAAATTGAAGCCAACCTTTAGACAGCACTGGCTTGTCGTACTCCCCATCTCTTTTCCTGCAACGAATCACCCGAAGCTCACCACTGCTGTCTTTAACCTACAAGTCAACAAAATTATTTCCCCCGAAATCTAGATGCCGTAAGGAACTAGTTAGGAACGAGAAGCGAACACGGAGATCAGTATCTTTTAGCTCTTTGCTGAAGACCAACATTTTTTTTTCTTTTGGGTGGTTAAAAGGGAGAAAATGATAATGCTTAAGCAATCAGCTGGGTTGAAAGTTGCAGAGAGCTGTGATGTATATATAGAGAAAAATCTACTGTATTCAGAGTAGAAAGAGATCGAGCGAAGATTTCCAAAATCTTGTTCAGTCCATCGATTTCGTGTGGTATTATGGTTCAGTTATGGATAGAACAAGAGATTACAAGCGATTATGCTTTTTCAGAGAATAAATGAGTCAAGGGCTGATGTTTCCTGTCATACACCCGTTCTAGCTTGCAGAAACTCAAACATTTGATAATGTCAGCTCTTGATATCTAGAGAGAGAGCTATATCCTGCCTTCTCTCGAGATTTCTGCAAGTTTTTGTTCGATAAAGCAAAAAGATGCACCATATTACTGAAGGGTATATTTTTCCTAGCCTGCGCAAAATTTTCAACTCTGATTCTGCTAATGCTGGAATTACGCTCGATCTCTTCAGAATTGGTTTCGAGTTCGACTTATAACAACAGACATTACCGAAAAAAAAAAAAAAGAAGCTTCAAATGGGCCCCTACATCAGGAGTTGGCTGAGAAAAATTATTGTTCGATATCGTTAGGACGGCGGGCGTGCACTAAGGTCGATACTGGGAGACTCCGTGATTTCTTTTGGACAAACAAGGACCGTTAGTGGCGCGACGGAAAAAGCCCAAGCATGCCTGGACTTGGCTTCAAGTTCAGGTGCCTTTATTGTTATCTACTTCTATTTATGCTATTATTTTTTAGTTTTTTTTTTTATAATTCCATCTATTTTTAATTATCTTTTTTTATTATTACTTATATTACACACAAAATAAAATATATCTAATAGTTTTTGAGCTTTTAATATGAGACCTATGCGTATCCCCCAACAAACTTTTGTTTTACCAAACAGGATTGGTTGGTTTTTAGATAGAAAAAATAAAAAAATTCCACCTTATTCTTGGAGCCAAACGGATACTTAATGATTGATCTCAAAATACAAGTACGACAATGTTTGCAGAAATTGTTGGTCCTTGGAATTTATGTATCAAATTAAATTTAATATTATTTAATTTGGACAAGAAAGAATCTGAAAACCTCAAGGCATTTTTTTTCTATTAATCAAAATACATTAATCTGGCTTGGAGGTAATGAGGTAATAATTTATCATGTACAATAGCTTATCTGAAAGTACAAATCCTTGTTCATAAAGAAAATTGGCAAACATCAAACATTCTGTCCAATTATTGAGGTATTATTAATTTCACATCCAAATCATTTTTTGTATCAATTTTACTCTTTTAAGTTATTTTAATTTCTCAATTAAAATTTATGTTAGAATCGCTTAATAGAGTACATTAAACTCACTAAAAAATGACGTCATTTTTTATCCCAAAAAGGTATAATTTGGATGAAAATGTGGACAGAAAACCTTAAGCATTAATGAGGATCCTTAATCGGGAATTTCTTAAAGTTGTAAAGTTGATACGAAGTGAAACTACCGATATAATTGAAGGGTATTCTCAAGGTTTGTCTAAGAAAATATTGCTACTACAAACCATCAACTTGAAGTGTAATTTTCGTCATTCACACTGACAAATTGGTGCTCAAAACTTATTTTCTATGTCATAAACTTCAATTACAGATGTGCTTGATTTATTCATGATGAATCTTGAAAGACAAATAATTAGCATGTTAGTTTTTCAATTTTTAGAACATATGATTTGAGAGCAATACTACTAAAGACAGGTTTGATTATATTTTTTTGGGTTTTTCTAAATATCTTCACTAAATATTATAGATAAAACTAATCGTGTTTAGAAAAAAGAGCGACAAACTAGTATAACCCCTCTCCAACAAATATGATTTCAACATTCGAATCCTGCACGTTAACATAAAATTTGCTTAGAGAATAGCTCATTTACTACTGATCAACAACTTGTTGGCAGATCTTATTTGAATGCATCATTGCTTCTCTACATATATCCAACACACATATTTTATAAACAAGCAATTAAGAACAACAAATTATTCGTTTATTTAGACTGACCGATGCTAACAACAACATTGATTATCACTAGAAACATTCAAACACAAGCACAAAGTAGAAATTTAGACAAACACAGCACACTTGGGATTGGGAATTCTCTATTTGCATACAAATTCTGGCCATGCCTGAACACTCCATGCAAGTAATATTAACTAGCTGGCTAACTAGCTCTAGGCACATCATCCCAAGCCTTCTCACCAGACGAGTTGGTTTTTCTCTTTGCTTCAATCCTGAACCGTGATCCGAGGTGATGGTCATCCTCACGAAGAAGAACAACCTTGTCACCAACTCTCAGATTATAATCGGCAACAAATTGAAGCCAACCTTTAGAAAGCTTTGGCTTGTGATAGTCTCCATATGTTTTCAAACCTCGAATTTGCCGAAGCTCACCACTACTGTCTTTAACATACAAATTAACAAAATTCTTTTCACCGAAATGTAGATGCTGTGAGGAACGAGTTGGGAACGTGAACCAACCACTGACATCAGTGTCAGTTAGTTCCTTGCTGAAAACAAGCATTTTTTTTCTTCTGGGAGGTGAAAAGAGATAAAATGATTATGTTTAAGCAATAGGCTTGATTAATGAATTTATAATGTATTCAGGTTAGAAAGGCATTGAGCGAAGATTTCCAAAATCTTGTTCAGTTCGTCGATTTCATGTGGCATTAACTAATCTAGATGATTTTGTTGTAAATAGAACACGAGAAGACAAGCGATTATGCATTTTCAGAGACTAAATACGTCAGGATGTTGATATTTCCTGTCGTACAATCGTTCTAACTTGCGAAAACTAAACACTTGATAAAGTTAGTTGTTGATATCTATAGAGAGAGCGCTACATCCTGCATTCCCTGGAGATTTCTGCCAGTTTTAGTTGGACTAAGCAACAAGGTGCACGATATTACTGAAGGGCATAGTTTTCCTATCCTGTCCAAAACTCCAAATTAAATTTTCAGATCATATTTAGGGTGTTCAAAAAATATTACTGAAGGGCATGGATATCGAGTTCCACTATTTAAGAGACATTACAGAAAGGAGGAAGCTTCAAATGGCAAGCAACATCTGTTGCTGGAAAAAATTATTGCCCCACAGGATCACATGTATGAGCTACCCCATAGATCGAACTAGAATTGACCAATATCTTTAGTACGGTGGGAGTGTGATTTCTTTTGGACAGAATGATTTCGCAAGAGAGGAATGCTGTCAACATTGTTTATGAACAACTGTTGTTGTCAGCCAATCACTACTTAATCGCAATTAAGTTTACATTTTACAGTTTACACAATCGGAAACTTGAAACACCAGCTCCGTTTGGCTATCTTAAACTTCAAAAGCAATAGCTAAAACCTCCTTCCCAAGCAACACAACTTCCTTTTCGACTTCAATCTTGAAATACTGTGTGCTCTATTAGTGGAACGATCATCTTGAAAGAGTTATAATAACTATTGGGTATGAGCAGCATTCGAAAAAAAAAAAAAACATCAAGAGAGAGAATGCTAACACAAGTTCATTTCCTGCAATTCAATTACTTACCAGGACCTGCCCTATCCCGTGTAATGTGAGCAAGTGCATGAGTTGCATGAGATGAAAGTCGCAGCAAAGAAATCCTGCAAATATTTAAGAGATGAAAGAATATGCTACTCTGAAATCATGTTACAAGCAATTTGTTTTATATAGTTTTGGGTGTTTTAAGCAATCAGATGAAAGAATCATCGGATATCACGCTTAAAAATGAGCAAAAAGGAATTTGACATTCAATCAACTGATCAAATTAACGCAAAGCTGTGTACAATGAGGTTTTGTTCCAACAGCATAGAGATAGGTTGCAGGATGTTGGAATTTGTTTCTTATACTACAGAAGATAAGATGCTTGCTGTACAGAATAATAACACATGGGGCTGTTGAAAGCATATTCCAGACACATAGTTCGGTTTGAATTCACAACCTTCCTTCCTGATGTTTACCATGATGGCAGCAGTCTCCCCGTAACATTCTGTTCAGCCTTTACTTCTGAGCCATTAGTTTCTATATCATGATAGGAATGGACAAAGTCCAGCTCATCATCTAGGAATTGGTTGCAGTAATCTGGCTCCACAGAATTAGGAACCTCGGAACCTTTGCTCTGCCTCATTGCTGCCCTTTTCTTTGATCGACCGGTGCTTTTAGTGAATTCATCATCCTCTTCCATATTTCCATTTGGAGCCTTACTTGCATCTCTTCTCCTCTTCGTTGAATCAGTACTTTCATTGCTACTGCTACTATTTCTGTCTGCCTTATGGTGTTCCCTAATAGTAGATTCAATGGTTTCCAGCAACCGATCTCCATACTTACTGACCTTGGCCCTGAATATAAGAAAAATGTTTATTCAGCCCCGAATAATGCAAAGAATACCTGTCAAATGATCACCGTACAACCTAAAATCAAAGCTTACTTTCCAATGCCATTGATCTCCAGGAGTTCTTCCTTTGTTCGTGGAATTCTCTTGCTCAAGTGCTGCAGTGTAGCATTACTAAACAGAATCTTGTCAGGACACATTGTGATAACTCCTTATTTTAAAAGGAGGGGTGGAGGACATATCAGGACAAATATTCCAATCCCTTGCACCAATCAAATATTCAAATGATTCCCTTCATTTTCAGCATAATTGATTTCAAAACAAAAATTTTATTGTACAGAGATAGACATTGAAAGGGAAGAACTAAGAGCTCACCCAAATATGTGGTATGCCATAACTCCCTCTCCAGCTTCTTTAACAAGAACAGTTCGAAGCATTCTCAAAGCAGAATATAGTTTGGCCGACAGGTTCTGTCATGTGATGAGAATGTTAAATAGATGGTCAGGAACCTCATCAATCATGCTGAACAAAGAGAAAAGAATCCCAAGCATAAGTATACCAAATCCACTTCAGATTGAGATTGGACAGGACTGCCAGCTTGTGGAGCACAA